TGCAACTGGTGAGGATGCAAGATGCCATCCCGTGTGCATCGCTCACAAATTCCACCAAGATCCTTCGCGAAAGATCCGTCGTGAAAGATCGCGACGTGAAGGTTTCCAATCATCGTGAAGATCTTCCACAAACCACCACAAACTCAATATAAAGACAACCAACCACACTCAACAAACACACAGCCACATTCCCATTTGTTGCATGCCTTGCAACACTCACTCCTACACCTCATCAGCAAGCTAGGAATCCAAAAATGGCAACAGTTCAAGGAGTTAGAAATAAGACCATATAAAAGCAGTTCAAACAGCAACACAAAAGCTCACCTTTCATCCTCTTCCTCTGGAATGAAATTCGCATCATCAATCTCGTCCCCATTGTCGTCAAACTGAACCTCGTCTTGATCAACCAACAAGTCAATAACGTTGCCGTCCCTGTCAAGCTCAAAGCCAAAGAGATTGCCCGTCTCCAGTCGAGCCGCTACATCCTCCGCACTCTCCTCCTGGAGAACCGCATAACCACCTCCAAGATGCGGAATCGCATCGTCATGCCACCACTGGTACTTCATCGTCAGAATATCATCCACAATATTGCGGTAGCGAGCACCACCGCGACGTTCAACGAATGTACCGTCCTTCACCATTGCCGCTTTATTCTCTTGAGCTCGAATGCCCTTCTGGTCGCCAAGGCCTTGGACGACAGCGCCTCTAGCCAGGTGAATCGCCATCATCGAGTCTTCGAATCGATCCATATCCTGGACGATGCGTTCGCTTGGCGGTGCACCTTGGAGGACACGATGGTACGCTTCCTGCCCACGCTTTGGTGTCGAGATGGTGAACTTGGTTGGGTCGTCATCATCCAAATGGCTCGTAATGATGATATGACGATTCACTGAATCATTCACGTCCTTGTTGAGAGACGTATCCAAGCGTTGGCCTCTGGACTGTTGCCTGACGGGAACTTGTCGAGACGATTGCTGGTGAGGTTCAATCCAACAGGAAGAAGCCAGTGCGCAAGGTAGCCGTGTTCCTCCATCCACTCGTAGCATTCTTTGGACGTCATCTGGGACAGCGCATCGTGATAGAAATACCAGCCGTGAAAGTTAGGTCGGTGCTTGCGAAAGAAGCGCCTGGATTCCTTGTACATGTGCTTGACGACCTCTGTGACACATCCGGTCGAATTCAGAGTAGTGGATCGTTGAATGAAGTCTCGCCAATCCTCACCATAGCGGGACTTGTAGGGATTTGGACGCTTGCGGTAGTCAGTTGTGTGTGGACCACATTCGAAGCCTTCCGACACGCGGCACGCCAACCTTTGAGAGTCTTGAGATTTCTCGAAACAAACGGGATCATAAAGGTACACCACCTTCGTCCCCATAGGTAATCTTCCGTCATGTCCCGCAGCTCAAATGTTTCCGCTTCTGCAAAGTCACGAACAGTGAAGATGCCGTGTTCGTTGAGCTTTTCGATCTTTGCCTTTCCACAGTAAGGAATCATTCCTTTACGAGGTTGTCCGACATGTAGAGTTTCCCCACTTCCCGTGTCGTAGCCAACCAACCTTGCGTCTTGGCTGGACCATCCCGCATCTTCTTGATCCTGACAATCTCAATTTTGACAAGCTCGCGGTATTTCTTCAAGAGATGATGTTCCTGCTGTGTAATCAAATGGATCCAACACCCATCCTCTTCTTGCGTTCGACAAACCATCAGCGTTGCGGTAAGAGACCATTGCACAGCCAAGTCCAAGGCGGACCTCATCTCGTACTTGACGTTCAAGCAGTAAGCAGGAACAGCATGATTGTAGCTTCCGTTGGGATCTGGTTGCCCCTCGTCGTTTCTTGCGAACTGGACAACAGTTTTCCGACCAGCCTGCGCATTAACCGACCCAATCTTGCACTTGCGGTTCATCTCATCCCAGACGGCACAATCATCGACTGAAAATCCCATCCTGCGGCTTTGAGTTTCTCAATATCAAAGCAGGGCGGAAGTGAAACTCATAGCCAGAACGGACGCACGAGAGGAATCGTCATGCTGTTGTTCCGAACTGGAACTCGCACTGCTTTCGTCGTTCGCATGCCTTCATCAGGAGGGGAGTCGGAGGCGTTTACTGGAAATCGAGCTGGAAGAATCAGCCTTGTAAGAGGAACCAGACGATTCGTCACTTATCCAGCCGTCCAAGCCCAACACAACCTGTCGCTGAGGTAGTTCCTCTGGAGGATCCGTTAGCGCTGCTTCACGAAGCCGGTCAGGAACCTCAACATCATGTCCCATGCGAAGTAACAGTGTGTAGCCCAACCATGACGACAAAGTGCCCAAGGGGAGTTCACGTCCCTGTTGCCTTGCTTCCGCTTGCGAATTGGCACCACCCTGTGCTTGAGTCGTTTCTTCAACCATCGACGGCAGACCTGAATAAGGGACCAAGCCTCTTTCAATTCAGAAGACGATTCAGATGTTGCATCGCCATTGTCACGCTCATGCTCTTCCAGTTCAATGCAGTTGGCAATGAAGACGGCATCAAACGAGTCGTTGGGGATGATGACGGGCTTGAGTCCAGCATGAACCCGCTGGCCAGTGTAGAAATGTGTTGTCGCAGCAATGATGCAAGTCTGTGAAGACGTGCAACATACTTGGTCCGGTTGCTTTCTTCGTACATGGTGGATTGCTTGTGAGAGAAAGCATCTCTTTACAGGTGTTTCAGTGGTCAAATGGTGCTTGGTCGATTGACGGGGATTTATTGTTGCTTTACTTGAGATCGTGGATTTTCTTCTTTTCTTATCTGTGACTAACTGGGATTTAAAGAAACGATTTGCCTTTCCAGTCCCAATTCGGAAAGAAACTGCCGTGACCGGCACTGAAATCGCCGGGCGAGCCTCACTTTCTACCAAAAATTACATTAACATGATAGACAACTCAACTCAAAGTGACCACTTGGCGATGCTGGAATGGGTATTTGTAGTTGGTGAACCTTCTAATCGGCCTACTGTAGTGTGGTCCTTACAGTCAAGGGAAGCCATCCCCGCAAAGAAAGAACAACATTTTTTTTTGGATGACACAACTTAACCATAGGTACGGTATGACGTCAACTCGGAAGCTACTCCAAGGAGTACAGTTTACGGTACCGTGCCATACGTACCGGTACGTAAAAGCTGGCACCGGTCAATCATCATCCACTCATCCACAGAGCTATCCACAGTACCAGGTACCGGTACATGTACTAGTACCGTCTGGTATCAGGGTGGCGAGCCACCAACCCCTCGCCACGCCAAAGCTGGCTCTATATCTATCTGGCCACTGTGGCTAGCTAGAAAGCAAGCTAGCTACCAGAGAGAGCTATTTGGCTAGCTGATTATGCATTTTGAAAAATGTTGCTCGCCTGAGCATGCATGTTTGTTGGTTCCCTACAACTTCCATGTCATGTCTGACCTGGGAAAGAAGCACGCAGCAGGAATATCTTTTGGAAGCAGCAGTGAGGCCGAGAGAGGGGAAAGCTGGGCCTGGGTTGTGCACCCAGGATTCGATTCCATTTGATCTGCGACGAATCAGAATCCCTCTACCAGCTAGAAGGGCTTTCGAGGATGGTCAACTCCTTGGCTGGCAGCAATCAGCCAGGTTTGCTACAGTTGCTTTGCGAGGGCAACAACTACTACTAGTAAATGAGTCCATGCTTTCCTATAAGCATCAACCTAAAACTAACTTGGTTATTTTCATACTACAGATAGAGATGCAACGGAATGGCCAACCAATCAGGCTCCATGAATCTTACTCAAGGATTCGGATTCATTTTGGTCGCTTGACAAAGAGCCCCCCTTGTCTTGGGAATTCAAAATGTCATCCTCTGTGATGTCGTGGCTGCCAGTGATGTTGACACTTATTGGAGGCTTCGCCATGTGTAACATGGCAGCAACAGCAAAGAAATTGGAAAACAGAATGGCCACCAACAAGATAGTCAAAACAGCATTGACGGCCCTGGGGTCCGTAAAGAAGGGACTGGAAGGTGCCCACTCAGAAAAGCTGACTTCCTGGTATGCCCATGCAATATCCGAAGATCCAGACTGCTGGACCAAGAGATTGACAACGAGGATTACCACAACCACCCTGCTGGCCACAAAAAAGAAACAAGCAATGTGACAAAGTCTCGGCCAAATACTCCTGTGAGTCTCGCGGAATCCAGTAAGTCGGAGCAAGAGTACAATGTACAAGGGCTGCTCTGACATTGCCAAGATAATCAAGGCCATGCCAAACTTTAAGGCCAAAAGACTGAAATTGACAAAAGCAACCACAATCAGATACATCATGGTACACGAAGTCGTGATATGGTGCAGGACAAGTGACCATCGGACGTCAATTCGATAGAAAAGTTCCATCAAATACAGCACAGCTTGGGTCATTATGAGGCCTCGCGAGATAATAAGCATATTGGGATCCACACCATTGAAGGTGGCATCTTCCTTATAGATCGAAGCCAGATCCATGCACACAATCGGAAGTGCCACTGTGCTGAACACTAGCTCGCCAAGGTAGACCACAGCATTGCGCCGTTCCCTCAAGTCACAAGTGTGGATTCCAAGAAACCTCAAGAACTTTTTGCTGGAAAGGAGAGTGACCCCCACAAAAGCTGCAATGGCGACAAGCTGTGCATAAACGGCTGGGTCGCCATAGGTGATTGTGTTGGATTCTGTCATCTCCATTAGCAATGGCTTGCAGATATTCCTGCGGTGGTCTGAGAGTTGGACAAAGTCATGGTTGCTCTTGGGAGTGGGTGGATATTTGTAGTCACTGTATGGTAGCTTTCTTGGATCCACTGTGATGTTGGTCCCCATGTGTGTATTCTTGAAAGGCTCTCCTTCTCTGACATAGACCCCAATAGGCCTCCCATAGTTTGGAATTGCTGGTGCCACGCCGACATAGAAATGGCACATTTCATCATCGACACTGTTGCCACCAACCACATCTCTATCAACAAGAGGCCGATATGTGCATGAAATTATAAGGGCATCACCAGGAAGGTACCTCCAGCGGGTGAAGTCTGCGGTTTGGCGATTAAAATCATACGATTTGTGATTGTAGACATCCATGATGTGCGTGCCATTCCTGATCAAGCTGACCCTTCCTCGAACTCCCAGTTTGTGCATATGCAACAAACTCCCAATGGCCTGAACACCGCCTTGAGGCAGATGTTCTTTGGTAGCTTCCCCTGAGATAAGATACTGCAGTGTTATTTCTTTTTGCTGAGGGTCTGCAGGGATTACCAATGATTCATACAAGCCAAGGTGGGAAGCCATCGTTCCTGGCTGGGTGCTTCCCGAATCAAGTGATGGCGGTTGGATCCAGAGTCTAAAGCCAGTAGTGTCATTCACAATCGGCTTGCCAAAAGGGTTTTCGTAGTGAACTAATAGGACATGGACCCCCGCATTGAGATCTGCATGTAAGCCTGGTGGGCCTTCCATCAAACGTGTTCCCACAGCATTAGAGATCATAACATCACAGGCAGGCATGTTACTAATGCAGTCCCATGGCTCTCCATCCATGTGCGATGACACAGCTGATGGGTTGGGGCAGTAGTAAAAGTGTTGATGGTGGAAGACTTCATTTGTGTCGCCATTGTCGCCTGTGTTGCCTTCTCCCCACACCATCTGATATGCTGTGTAAGTCATGTGTTCGGAGACGTTGAAAACCCTGCACATGTAGCTGGTTCTGATATTAGCGTCCAGCGAAACGTTGGTCATTTGAATATCAAAAGGCAGAGGGGTCACAGCAGTATCCAGATTTCCGTGGACTACCATTCCCTTCCCAAAATATGTCTTTGTAGAGTTGGCGGGAGGTGCCACAAGATTGCGTTTGAACAGGAGCTCTTCATCAATCATGAAATTGACCACTCCGGTTGCCCGGTCTGGACCATGGTAAAGCATTCCTCCATCTTCTGAAAGCTGGCCGGATGCACAGATGATGTATTGCTGGTGGGCCGCAATGTCAATATCTTCTTCATCACAAGTGAACAAGTTCCGTTCAATGGTAGCCTGAATCCTTCCTTCATCATCATGGTGGGCCTCAAGGAGCTCGACATTTTTAATAAAGTCTAACTTTGGAAGCCCATATACAGTGGAGAATCTATCCTCAACCTGGAAGCCTCCCCCAGTGTCTCCGCCAGTAAACTTGACCACAGCAATGTCAGCACCTTTCATTCCTCCATATTCTGATATTCCAAAGGCTGTCCACTCAGCACCAACTTCACCCTTCCATTGTAGAGTTATCTTGAGTGCTTCCCTGTCAACTGTCCATTTAAGATCTGTACAACCACCTCCAACAAGGGTGGCATTCCTCTCAAACTGAAAGGGCAGGGAACCCCTTGCTGAATGGAGCAGGCAAAGGAAGAGAGTGGCCAGAGCAAAGCACCGATCTAGCACCGGTCGTAGTGGTAGCGTCATACGTTTTTTGTTGTCTTTGGTGTTGGCTTTTGGTGAGTTTCGGAGCACAACCTTTGGCGTTACGGTGGTTGACGTCTTGTTCTTTTTGCTCTCCGTGGGTTAGTTTCGGGCGCAGCAGCAGTGCTCTCTGCGTTCAATGCTCAACACTTTTATTTTCGGAGAGGATTTATTTGATCCACGCCACCGTGTTCCCAGTGGTCTGGATGGAGCGATGGAGCAACTCTTTGAACGTCAACTCTTCGAGCGAACCCTTTCAATTTTCTTGAATGAGGCTGTATGCGAAACCCTGTTGGTCTACAGCTCTGGCGGCGGATTCATGCAGATGGACTACTTCCTTGTACATGTCCGTAAACTTTGCAAAAGTGAGGGACTACGCATTGGTTTTCGTCGGCGCATGGGCTATGGTACTTACGCGATCAAACCTGGATAGTAACCGTTGTTAATGCGATCTAACCTGGACACTAACCGTTGGTGGGTTTCGATCCCGCACAATAATACAGGCTTGAGTATTTGGTGATGCCCGCATCATGACTGCGTTCAGTCATGAATGACGTACCCTCATTTTCATTCAAAGAAAGTTCGGAACGAATTCATCGAATCTTCAATCTCTCGGAAGCAGTCAACACCATGAACGTCCTTGGGAATGGAAATCGTATCCCTCATTTCCCCCAACCTTCTCTTCTTTGGAAGCAAGATAGAAAGATAGAAAGCTCTACTAGATAGCTGGCAGTTGGTTTAGTGTAGTTGAAAGCCAAACGATACAAAGGAAGATGACAATACCCATGCCTACAAAATCTAACTCCCACCACCCAAGGAAAGCACTTGGGCTATATACATGTTTTCTTGTGCTGCAGTTGTGTTTTCATGCCGAGCCATGCAACGGTTTCTCAGCTCCAGCTGTCAATGGAGATTCCAGTGCCGCCAAGAGTGCGGGTAGTCAACAGCTCCAAATTGCGTTTGTCACGGGAAATGAAATGAAGGTACGGTAGGCACTGACTGCTTTCACTCCAAGTGATCAATCTGATCATGTTTAAAATTCATGATCTTACGTATACCCATCTGATCTGATCTGATCTTTGCGGTTGCTTATAAACTTTTATAAATGCATAGGCCAGGGAATTGAATATGATTTTGGCCGAGTGCACCCAAGACGATGTTACTCATCGTTCTTCCTCGGATGATAACAATGATAATGCCAAGGATGCCAATGACAGCACTACGGTCAATTCTTCCTTTGTCAATCTCCGCGTGATCACGGTCGATTTGCCCGAAATTCAAGAAGTCAATACGGAAGCCATTGCCAAGGAAAAGGCATTGCTGGGAGCGCAATTGGCAGGAGGACCTTGCGTGGTGGAAGACACGTCCCTACAATTCACCGCCTTGGGAGGCATGCCGGGTCCCTACATTAAATGGTTCCAAGAACGATTGGGCAGTGAAGGACTCTACAATATATTGACAGCCTACGAGGACAAATCCGCCCAAGCCGTCTGTACACTGGCATTTTGTCCCTATCCACATGCCGATCCCGTCTTGTTTACTGGAGTGACACATGGGACCATTGTAAAGCCCGTACCGGGACGTGGATTTGGATGGGATTCCATTTTTGTACCCGACAATTGCGATAATGCCGAGGAGGATGAAAACTGCACCCCTGAGCAAAGGAAACCCTTTAGTTTAATGACGACCGAAGAAAAGAATCAAAAGTCGCATCGAGGCAAAGCCGTACGACAATGGGCGGCTTGGTTGCGACGGAATCAAAACGAATTGTGGGAACGACAAGGTGGAAGACCGGCGATTGGACACAAAGGACTGGATTTCAAATGCACCAGTGTGGAAGAATGATGAAGCGGATGACAATCAGGGTACAGACCACCAAGACCATTTTATTAAATAGGGAAAGAGATAGAGAGAGGAACAAACTGTGAATGCATGCACAAAAGGAACGGCAAAAGACCACAAAGTTGGAACTACAATCAACAAGTTCAGATCAATCAAATCGACAACCAACAAAAACCACGCATTTGTAATTATTTGGAGCGTGATTAACCCCAATGTAAATACTATTCACTTGATGCTGACCGTCGAGTCGCTCATGCTTGTCGACTTGACGGAATGCGCTCTCCAGTACCGGTAGCTTCGTTTTATGCCTTGCATCAGCACATATCTTGAAAGTAGAAGCAGCAAAGAGCACCACAGAACGACCATGCGCAATGCTTAATCTTGGCTGGATCAAAGCTCACCAGCGACAACGTCTGAGGTTAGCCAGCCGGAGGCCACCACCACTAGTGGATTCGACGTATAGCTCGAAGTGACAGCCACTGTTTGGCGAGGCCCTGCAGCAGTCCAGACGTCGGGTTCCTGCCAAATCTAGAGTCGCTCGGTACCGTGTCACAAGTTTCAGTATCTTCTAAAAGTTTTTCTAAAAGTTATGCAAGGCTACCTAAACCTACCCATGTATAAAACAGCATCAGACGAAACAAGATACGATTTGCCACCCATCATAGAATCAATCAAACAACTCCTGCTGATTGCTTACACAATTTCCGAGCTGGCAACAGGAGGCGCAGCACTACGAGGGCGGTTCTTGATGGTCATGACCAATCGAGCAAAGTTGCGTGGATCCTTGACACCAACATATCTCTTGGATGATGAGCCATTGGCAACCCTGAGATGGATCAAGTTGATGGTTTTGTTAGTTCCAAATAGGCCACAATAAGGTTTCAATTCGCGTTGCTCCACCGTACAAGTGGTGATATCTTGCACGGCAATGGCTGTGGAAACCATGGGCTTCTCCTGATCGTAACGGACACAGGAACTGGTAATGGCCATGTGGATTCCTCCAGTGTTAAAGGCTGCAGTGGCCCTTTTGCAAGTCAGCCTTGTCAAAACACCAAAGACGAAAGCAATCACCAAGCAGACCGAGGCGATACCATACAGCCCCATGGCAAGGAAAGCAGCGTACAGGACTGAGTATCCAGCCGCAATGGAACCGTACTTGATGGATGCCTGACTCTGATAGAGTTGAATGGCTTCCGTGTCTACATCGAACACAGCTTCAATATCCGGCTCCCCGGCATAGAAGGTATCCTTCCACATCATCTGGCCAGTCCTTGTCGTCGACACAGGAACGGCCTCTGCTGATGGAGCTTCTCCAGTCATGATGACAGCCTTGCTGATAAGAGAGTTAGATTCTTCTATTTTTAGGTTGGGCATGGTTGTCTTGTGTTGCTCAGCTGCGAGGTGCGTGATAGAGGTCCTGATGATGAAAGAGATGTGGGAGAGTTGTGTTCGCTTCTTGCTACCTGGCTAGCTCTAGCTAGCTAGCTAGTAGCCACCGGTAGCTTTGCTACAAATAAATCAAAACATCAAAGATCCGAATTGCGGTGGAGCATCAATTTACTCTCCAAGAAAGAGTAGTACTCTTAAACTCTGGCCTAGCTAGTTTGTGTCTGGGAAGGATCCACGGTCGAACCTTCAGTCGTGATCTTCCTAAACGCAGGGGGATCAACGATGCTCACGCTCGCCTGGCCAACAACTTCGAGAGGCCCCCAAAAGCACGCACCTTAAGGTTTTGAGTTTCAAGGGTATCATGCATATAATATGTATCGTACGTATTGTATGTATTGTACATATTGTATGTATCGTACGTATTGTACGTATCATAAGTATTGTACGTATTATACGTATTATACGTGCGAACGTGGACCAATGAGAACTCCCTTGATCAGCAGCAGCCATTTTTTAAAAAGCACACCAACAACAAAAACACCACCATCCACACTTCTTCTTCTCTCCTCTTGTTGCTCCTGCTATTGTTGCTTCTGTTGTTATTCAGCTATCACACCATCTCTACCACTACTATCAGGTACATTTACTCAGCTTCCTGCTTGTGAAATGGTCAGAGAGAGTGGCTATTCATCAGATGAGCAAAAGTTGATGTCATATCACCCTCTCTTCTTTCCTCCCTCCATGCCATACCCAAGTCTCTCAACAATGCTTTCACTCTTTCTCTACTATTCATAAAACAAGGTGAACAAGGAAGGACACCACCCAGGAAGTCAAGGAAGTCAAGAAACAGCACATTTCCATTTCACCAGTAGATCACAGTACTGAAATCCTGTAAGTACCCTTTGTATCGTACGTATGATATATATAATATGTATCGTATGTATGATACGTATGGTATATATCGTATGTATCATACAAACCTTTTGTATGATATGTATGATATGTATCGTATGTATGATATGTATCGTATGTATCGTATGTATCGTATGTACTATATCTATTATATGTATAATGTATATCATACATATTTCTGTATTGTACTGACTGCAATCTTTGTTTCTGCTGTTTGTTTATGGCTTTATTCATAGGTATCATGGCTGAAGGTGACACTAACCCCATGAGGGATGATGCCTTAGCAGAAATGCAAATAGATGAAGTGCGCGCTCCTCTTGGCCCGGACAATTGTGGACCTTTTTGGCGTTGGGAAATCTCTGAAGAGCAGCTTGTCGAGTGTGTGAAGGACAAGATTCCCCTTGTTTTAAGGTCTTATGTTGATCCCGAGAAGAAGGGCAAGATTCAGCTTCATACTATCTTAAACCCACAGGATCAAGTCTACTGTCTGAATGTCCGTGATAGACGTGCTGCAGCTGCTCAACAAGAAGCAGAGGTTTCCAAATCTCTCCACCACTTGAACCTTCCGTGTGGTCACAAAGGTAGGTATGACATGATTTCTCCTGATGGAAACCTTTCTCCAGTGATCCAGAGTTCCAGTCTCATCCACCACAGAATTCTTTGCCTTGCTTCTTCTGACATAGTACAAAGTCGGGGAAACACAGAATGCTGAGTAATTTGATCGCTGAGACCACTGTTGAATCAATTGAATGCTGGCTTCTTTGAGGATTTCACTGCAATGAATCTCACGATCCATGTTGTCAGTGAAAGAAGAGGTAAGGTTCTTGGCAGCAGCTATGTCCTTCTCTCTGTGTCGTCTACCTTCACGATTATCAATGCACTCTTGAGACATGTCGATGCTATGATTGGCAGAGTGTTCAACTTCACTTATGGTACTCGTAATCATTCCAAAGTGAGCTCTTTGCTTCAGATGATACCCAAACAGGAGATCCCTTCGGGGAAGAAATGACTCGTTTATGAAAACCTTCAATTTGTCTCTCAAAGCTTCCCCCAGTTGCCCCCGATGGAGAGACTCATCTTCTTCAAGATATTCGGTAAGCAGCTTCAAGGATAGGTCGGATTCTCCCTCGGTTTCATATCGTGAAAATCTCCACAGCCATGATACTAACACTTCCCATTCGACCAAGTCATCTCCATCTAACTTGCTGACATACAAAATCGGCAAACAAGACTACAAAAGTCTTTGTCTTATCTGACTGGAGCCGTGCGAGTAGCCGGTCAGCTGCTGTTGCTTCATCAGCAGGGACTTGCGTTTCAACACCATCAGCTGACATTATCGAGAGCACAATCCCTTGCCGGAGATTCCGCTTCATGCCTTCCAGCTGCTTTGAACTCAGGGTAGCACCAGTGGTTTCATACAGCAAAGTTTTTATCACACTGGGAGGCAAGTGATTTTTCAGGCACTGATCTGCCAATGTGACCGCCTCGGAACCCAAATGTTTGATCTGGACTTGAATTTGGCTAGGGTCGAGCTTCCGGATGTCCAATGTGTTTGGTGCTTCCGCCTTGTTTGGCTGGCAGGAACCATCGCCTGTGCTCATTACTGAAGTAAACATTAAAATACTAGAAAGGACAAACTTTGTCTTTTCCAATTATAGGTAACTGAGTTTGGGTAGTAGGACTGTGTTGGGTTGCCTTTGATGGTGCTTCCTTATAATACCTATGTCTCGGGCACACGACAGTAAGGTAGGCTCTTCGTCTGTCATAGCCTCTGTTTTTAACATTAAAGCCTGCTTCCTTGCATGCAAGTGCAAATACAGACATCAGTTCCTCTTTGATAAACTTTTTGTCATCTTTGTTGAATTTGCTTGGCAGCCAATACACGTCGGTCTTGTAAATTTGAGCATTGCCAATCTGGCCAAGCGTTTGCATAATGTCAATTGTAATAGGAGTTTCATTTATTAGAGACGTTGCCACAGCTACACTAATAGAAGGAGGGATCCACTCTTCTACATTGGTATCATATTGGGCAACATCATTCAGTTCAGCAAGATAGGTATCCATATTGGTTGTTGTGACACTTTGGTGGGTGCTTCAGTTCAGATCTTAGAGATCTGGCAACTTAGAGAACTGGCAAAAATTCGTCATATCATATGATACATATTGTATATATTATATATCATATATATCATATGGTTAATATATATCATAATATTATATCATCTGGTTTTTATGATAATTGTGTTTCGTATGATACGTATCATGCGTATGATATATATGATACGTATTGTATAGTATAACCCTTCCTCTAAGGTGCGTGCTTTTGGGGGCTTGTCTTTTTGGTCCTCGAATGAGGGCGTCAACACTGAGAAGAGTGTCGGATTGTCCCCAAAATTGGTAAAGTTAACCAGAATCTGGTTTTTTGTGTTGCTGCTGTCTGCGAATTCCTGGGGTGGCGGATGGGTGCTGTGTTCGGCACCAGAACTCCAGCTTGATGGGTTGACTCTGTCAATCCCAGTAAATTATTTAGTATACTCACTTTTTGCTGCAATTGAGAAGTTCATTGTCTGAAGAAAAGCACAAAGATCCAGGAGCAACTCAGCTCGCTCAACTCGACTCAAGCAACTCGACTCTGACTCGACTCACCATTCGCAAATATCCCGTGCTGTAGGGGAAAGACTTCTACTCAAAGGTTCAGTCGTGAACCTGGAAAAGGAGAGGGAAGGCGAACCTTTGACCGAGATCAAGTCGTCTCTTACCACGATGGCTGCACTCCCGTCCTTCCTTTTTAAAAAGAGAGCAAGAGCACGGAGCTTCTTCATTCACATCTGGGCAGTCTCCTTCATGTTTGGCACTGGAACTGCCTTGGCTGATTGGACGTCTGCATACACGACGACAGTCTTGGTGATAAGCGAACTACGCCCAGCCATCAGTTTGATTGGTCATAGTTCTTCTGGTGTGTCGCTCCTGGTTTTGATATCCTTCTTGTATGCTATGAAGAAGGATTGTAGTCGTCGGAGGTCTGCGTTCGTGTTATCAAGAGCGCAGAGAAAACGTATCTTGCACCTTGCGGGTCAAGGAGGCTTGCCTTATCGGCACTCTATCAAATGAGGCAAACATGACGCCCCATAGGCAAGTGAATGTGCTGCCTCTGCCAAATATTTAGCATTTTGGTGCTTTCCATTCCTTTTGGATAGAACCATGGAAGAGGCCAGCCCTGGCCTTATCGTCGTACTCGAGTAGGGTAGTACTTCCGAAGAACCGAGGCGGGACCAGTCCTGTACTCCTGCTAGTATCATCCATTGCATTGGATAGACTCTCAAGGGGCGCCACCCAGCGGCTCATCGTACTGCCAAAAATCACGGCGGTTTAGAAAAATGTAATCTACAGCCAATGTACCTACCTGATGACATCGCGGTAGCATACCTAGCTTGATAGCTACCAGGTACTAGCTAGCTAGGAGGCTAATACATGTAGTCTACTGCCGCAGCCGGTAGCGAGCTGGAGCTGTTCTTTTATTGAATACTCCGAATTGGTGGCCTGGTGTTCTGCCGAATGTTCCCCTGTTTCTTCAAGTCGTTAAATCCCACTTCGAATGCTGCTGAGAGGACTTCAACTGACGTTGCACGCCCTTGTTTATTCTTCGTTGAAGCCACTTACGTCATCAGCTCTTCATCCCTTCCACGGTGGTTGGTTGCTTGTTGTTGTTGTTGTTGTCTCCCTTTCAGCTTTCGGCGCTATCCCTCCTGCACCGTACCGACCACGACATGCCCACCTCTGAGATATACGGTACCGCGATACCACTGGCTCCTCTGCAACGGCAAATGGCGACTTTCGCGTCGAGTCGATCGATATTGGATGGATGCCTTTTCGATCTTCGGTTTGGCCGATGGGTGATACCTATCTTAACCGTACCGATCATGACCTCTAATATCATTCGCCTTGGAAGCAACCTCCGACAATCAACATTACCTAAGAAGTAGGTAGCTCGAACCTTCACCGACGAGTGAGTCGTTTCATTTTGAAACCATGACGACTCCAATTTTGATTTTTGATGTTGACACCTTTTTTCGATTTTGAGTTGGTCTTGCCAAATGTTCGGATGAAACGAAACGATCGTTTGCCTGAAATGAAGACGTCGTTGCCTCAAGGCAAGCTTTTTCTCTCTCAAACACAACACAACACAACACAACTTCTTCCAATGCATGACGATGACACCTTTCTCCGGTGCTGCTTTTGTTCCTGCTACTGTTGGCGGTTCCTGTGGTTTGGTTGGTTGGTTTGGTTGGTTGCCTAGTGCTCCATTGCTGGTGGTTCCTGTGGTGGTCCCTGTGGTGGTTCCTGCTGCTGTTGGTGGTTCCTGTGGTTTGGTCGGTTGGTCGCCTAGTGCTCCATTGACTAGTGCTCTATGGCCCTTGGATTTGATCGAAAGTCTCTTAGGAGGTTCCAATTTCGACATGATGATCCAAGAGTACTACAACCTTGTCCCTGTTGGTGGTCCCTGTGGTGGTCCCTCTGGAGGTTCCTGTGGCGGTGCCTGTGGTGGTTCCTGCTACTGTTGGCGGTTCCTGTGGTTTGGTTGGTTGCCTAGTGCTCATTGCTGGTGGTTCCTGTGGCGGTGCCTGTTGTGGTGCCTGTGGCGGTGCCTGTGGGGTGCCTGTGGCGGTGCCTTGTGGCGGTGCCTGTGGGGTTCCTGTGGCGGTGCCTGTGGCGGTGCCTGTGGCGGTGCCTGTGGCGGTGCCTGTGGGTTCCTGCTGCTGTTGGTGTTCCTGTGTTTTGTTGGTTCCTGTGGTTTTTTTTTTTTTTTTTTTTTTTTTTTGTTGTTGTGTGGTTTGGTCGGTTGCCTAGTGCTCCATTGCTGGTGGTTCCTGTGGTGGTCCCTGTGGTGGTGCCTGTGGTGGTTCCTGCTGCTGTTGGTGGTTCCTGTGGTTTGGTTGGTTGGTTGCCTAGTGCTCCATGGCCCTTGGATTTGATGGGAAAGTCTCTTCGGAGGTTTCAATTTGGACATGACTGAGACTGTGATACACTCTTCACCATGCCCTGTGCAGAGGCTTAGTCTCCTATAATTAAGTATGGGGCAGCCGACCTTGCTAGTGCCAGGCAAGCAACCTCACCGCACAGTACGCCCTGATTGACAAGGTTGGAATCTTGTCACTGCTCGTGTTGCTTATGGAGTCAAGTCAAGCTTGTAGCTCCTACTAGCTAGTTTGAAACTAGTGGCTGGCTGGCTGTCCAGAAGTCCAGCAAGTGCCTTGTCTCGTAGTGTGGTAGGTGTTCGCACGTACCGTTACACGGCACAACACGCTCCTTGCTGCTTTCCAATTTTCATTTTCCTCTTTCCAGCCGAGCGGTACTAGTACTGGCTGTGTGGGCCGGGTCTCTAAGTTGGCTGGCTATTGTTTTGTTCGTTTCTTGTATAGTATAGCTAACCAGTCAGTTAGCTAGCTAGCTAGCTAGCTAGCAAGTGCTCCAATCGTGCTGTTGCGCAAGTTGCTCTGGTAGGTGGTTCCAGCAGATCTTGCTGTTTTGGAGGAGGCAGATCCTTGGCTTTCTTTCTCTTGCTTTGCCGTGTGCGCCCAACAAGCAGCTTGGTTTGTATGTACAGTACTTAGTATTTCTATGTTCTGCATGAAGCCATGTGCGAGCAACTAGCTTTGGAACTTTGGCAACCTAGGCTGACTGGCACCGCACTCTGTAGTGTACCGCTACAGTAGTACAACGATTAGGTCTTCCCTCTCTCTTCACCTTTTCAGTTCGCTCCACCCTGATGATCACCACGCACAGGACTGCCATTATCTTCCACGACGAGAGACAGTCAGCCCAAAGTCGCTTCTGTCACTTAATTAACTAACTTTCATGAAAATGATGGTAAAACGTCACGTTTTGTGCTTTTTTCTTTTGCTGATTTTGGTCGAATCCGACCAAAGTCTTGTGTGATCGTGGCCGAAAGACTGCTTCATCGTAGAAAGTCCCTTCTCGCCTTGCCAGTCAAGATCATTCATTCGATCGATCGTCCCAACAAGAGACAAGGCAGCTATTACTACTAGTAGCTACTAGTAGTAGCCATAGCTCGTGGGTCAGTGTCTTTTTCTGTGGTCTTGATTGAACCTAGGTTAGAGTCCTTAGCTGGAGGCAACACAACACTAACGATCACAAGCAGTACAAGTACAAGTACAACGAGTACAAGCAGTACAAGAGAATGGAAGACTGGAGCGAAGAAGAAGCGCCGTTTGTTGCGGCAGTGGCTGGTGCTGGTCAACCACCACAACGCCCTGGCTTACGAAGAAGCAGTGGCAATGCCAGTGTCAAGTCGAGTTCTAGCTTGCGCAGTCGCAGCAGCAAGAAAAGTGGTCGATGGGACGAAGTGAGTGAGACGGATTCGGGCTGGTCGGACGTTTACAAAGATGACGACGACGATTCGTTGGAAGATTTTGACGCGTTGAATGCGAGCAGTCATCATCAGCATCATCCCGATCCACTCAATCTAGAACGAATTGCCGAAGAAGATGTGGTGATTCACGCTCGCATGAAGAAGAACGGATCCAAACATTCCCTCGATATTCACACTACGAGTAATCATGGTGATGACGACTACGATTCCGAAGATGAGTTCTGGAATTCCAGTGGCGATTGGGATGGAAATGATACCACATTCACTCCTAATGATATTGATACTACTACTACTACTGATGCTGCTGACACACAACCACAAGATGATGATAGACAAGACTTACCCAACAACAACAACAACAAGTCCAAACGAAAGAGTTTTCTAGGCAATTTTCTTCCAGACAAAAAGAAGGAGATACAAGAACCACAACAAAGACAACTGACCAATGGCAAGAAGAATGGAATCCATGATGATCATTCCGACGCTGCTGACGAACAACACCCAAATACTAATCGTAGAACCTCCAAAACAGAGACTCCCGCCACTCCCGATATACAACCCAAACCAAAAACACGTCATGATCTATCCGTTCCACTAGGATTGCATCCGGATGATGATGAGGATGATGACGATGATGATGGCGATTGGAATGTCGAAGAAGAAGAAGACGACGATGGGGGTTCTTGGGACGACGAGGATGAAGGGGATTGGGATGATGATGATGACAACGATGATGACGATAAGAAGGAACAAACCAAACAACAAATGATGGATGGGGATGAAGCCGATACCATTGCCGAGACGGCCGTCACGGAAGATTTGACACAATCCACATCCTCACAGCAACAGCAACAGCAGGAACAAGAACCTCAGCAACGACCACCACTACAACCACAATTTCCAAGACAATCCACACGAAAATCATTTCGTCAATCCAATCGGCGGCGACAATCCTTTCCCAAACAACACTCCCGTGCTAGAATTCCACCACCACAACAACAATCACAGCAATCGTCGTCTGCTACCCAACCGCAACAACCACCAGAATCATCGTCGTCATCTACTACTCAACCATCACGAACTTTGGTGGCACCACGTCCACCCGAAGAACAACGACCATCCAAACCACCACCACAACAACAAACAGGCAACAACAACAAGAAACCACCTCGGTCTCCACAAGATTGGGAACGGCTCTTTAACACGTGGGAACGAATGCAACAAGAAGACACACAAAACAACAATTCCAACTCTACTCCACAAACGTTACCTGAAGAACCCAGTATGCACGACTTTTATCCAACACCCGACGGCGAACAAGAATCCAAACAAAAAAAGAGTGGATGCTTGGGGGATACTGTGTTTCCTTTTTCCTTCTTGTCCTCCGCCAAAAAGAAGAAGAAGCAATCACGACAAGCAAAGGAAACGTAGCTAACCAGGAGGCGGGGTGTTGAAAGAACAATGCAGTGTCTGTCTTGCTCTAGGAGTCGATTCGATGGATCATTCGATCCTGCGACAACCAGTCTCGAACTCAAACGTCCTTTGGAAAGCCGATCGATCGATCGACGTCGCTCGTGCCTGAAAATAGGTACTACCATCATCCCCCCTCCCACCCACCCACACATGCATGCATGCTCGACAACTATTTGTGGTTTTCCATGAAAACGGTTGTTGTTGTTGTTGTTGTTGTTGTTGTTGTTCAGCTTTAAAAGATATTTATAGCACGCTACACGCTACGAGCAGGCCGACATGCGTGAATGAAGATGCAGTTATGTCCTACCCGTAGCCGTCTTGCAATCATTGATTGTCTTTGAATCTTTGGTGGAAGCGACCTCTCAATCGACATCTTTCCACGTGCGTCTTTTATGTGCGTACGTATATAAGATGCAATACGGTACATGTATGTAATGAGCAATGATGTTCCAACATGGGAGCAAAGACAAACGATCTTTCCTCTCGTGTCACGGTTGTCCCGGTGCATTGGGTAGGTATGCACCCATACACTGCACCGGTGGTATTGCCGTACTTTTTGCCGACAAGAGACTCCATGCGGACCTCGGACGTGGAATCCAATGAGAATCTGTTCGTGTTGCTTCCGTGTCTTTGGAACCGAGGAACATACCCATCCGACACAGCGTCAACTACGAGAGATGCGACAGCTTTTGAAACCAGTCTATCATACCACGTCCACCAAGCGTGCTACGTCCTGAGCGGTTCAAAAAGACTCCCGATCTTCGCGTGGGCGGAGTTGCTCAAGCGGCGAGGGATTGCTCTTTTGTTAGAAGCAGGGGCAACAACGGCTGCATTGTATCCAACACATCCAAGCATGCATGAAAGAGTGCCCTTCCCAAATTGTCATCCTCATCTACGTATATGCCTTCCACGAAAGATACCTGCCAAAACCAAGACTTTTGCAAGATCTACCGTACAGGATATGCGCCGCTCGGCTGTGGTCATGGCCCTTCGCCTTGACCAGGGTAGGAACATCGAGCCATTGAGTTGGTGACGCGAGGACCCTCATTTTACCAATACTCGAGGGAGCAGAGCACATGCCCGGGTGCGTCTTTGGCATTACCCCTCTACGCCGATCACTGGGGACAGCCGATGCAGACCTACCACAATCACACAAGAACTGATGGATGTGCTAGTACCGTACCTTGCAGAGGATCAAGAGGCCCCAAAGATTCTCGATGAAATCCAAACCAAATCCAGACTCGACAACCTGAATGACTATTGGAAACGAGATTTTGACAATATGGGTAGTAGCCAAAGTCTTCTTTCGACGAAACATGAACACGAGCGGGCTACTGTTCCACAGCCCAATCCTACAGTTCCAACGCGAACGAGATTGCAGTCCATGCACCGAATCGCAATCCAACACGGAAAAAGAGGAACTGCCTACGAACATGTGCACCACTCGCAGGATCGATTGCCCAATAAGACAATCATCACACAGCTGGAGGATGATGACACTCTCCCGCACGGCTCTGCTCGAGGTCGTTTATGCTTGGATCTTCAATCGGTGGTGTGTACACAAGGATCCGATCTCACCTCTGTGGCCTTGACGGCGGCAGAAACCGATCCCAATCATGTATGTATTCACCGACTTTTTTCCGGGTCTTGTCGAGAAGAGCGACCCAACCAAAGTGAACACGGGAACCTCCCAGCGACTTTGTCATCTCTCAGAAATGCTATTGGCATTACTATCTTGTTGCGGGGGCGTTATGTTCATGCCGAACCTTCCACCTCCACCGATTAGTAGAACTTCATTTGCCCCCTCCAGGATGTTCTCCGCTTTGATACGGCACTTGCGGGAGCCGTGAGTCAGAGTGACGATCCTAGCTGGCTAGACTCACAGTGGTGTCCGCGAATGATTCATCCTTTCGCGGGGCTGCTAAAAAGCTTCTGCGTGGCTGCTGACAGTTCGTCTTGACTGGACTCGGAGCTTGATGTGATTCTGTACATGTACTTGGATAGAAATGCGAACTAATATGCGTAAAAGAAAGGCAAAGCTGGGATTTCATCTCTAAAGGACTTACCGGTACTGTACTTGATCATCTTCGTACTCGTACGCGCTAGCAAAAGTACCAGGAACATCGTACTGCTCATACCGATAGCTGGCCAATGCTCTTTTGGGGGTTAGTTTTGGTGCAAAATGCCCCCTTTCAGCGGCTGTGCAACGAACTATGCAATGCCAACATACACTCCAGGTACCGTAGTCTTGCTAGCTTGTTAGAGGTGTTACTGTTGATCGATATTTCTTCAGTCTGCCCTACTCTGCGGGCAAGCTAGCCAAGCATTCCTCATACAGCCAAATCAACCAACCGTGCAAGTGTCAGCTTTATACTTGCATGTACATGTAGTTGTTGGATGCAACGTTTCAGTTCGTTGATGTGGGAACTTCGAGTCTTCGAGTGATGAATGCCTCCTACCGGTACAGTAACCCGTACCGGTTCCTGTGCGTTTGGAGGGTTTTCGCTGGTTGTGTCCCTGCTCTCCGTCTTTACTAGGACACGAGGTCCGGACTTCGGAGGTCTGAAACAACAACGGCGATGACATTGCAGGCAGGAGGCACCATGACATTGTACCCAACGACAAAGGCACATGGGCAACCATCCTTTCATTCATACTGTTCAGCACCTCCGCTTCGACACAATGACAGTCAGAGATACCAATGCAAACTAACGTGATGCATGCAAATTGAATCCGCATTTCATTGTGAAGAGGGTTGTCTACCAACCACTAAAGTTGCCAAAGTTCATTTGGACTTTGGCTTGGAGGAGTTGGCTGGATTTGCTGCTGCCTTTGGTAAAACGGGAATGTCATTGTCGTCATCGTCTTTGCTGTTGGTATCCGCCGTCTTGGGCAAGTACCGTCCAATCATTGTCATTTTTGCCTTGGCAACTGGCTTGGCTGCCCCAGCAGAAGTGCTTTCCTGTTGTGATGCAGCCTTGTCAACGGCTTTTCGTTTGGCTTCAATTCGTGTTTGTTCCATCTCTTCTGCCTCTTCGACTGGATTGTCCACCACGAAAGTGTCCGTGATGGTGATTTCTTTCATTGGTCGATCTTTCTTATCTGTGGGTATCCTTTCCAACTCTTTGAGTACCTCCAACCCCTTAATGACAACCCCAAGATGGAATGTTTCTTGTCGAGGTGTTCGCACGGTGCAAATGTAAAAAAGAATTGTCGCTTGTTAGTGTGCTGGCCCGCGTTCGCCATGGAGAGTATCCTGGGTGCTGTAGAAGGATGAATGAATCGAATCAAGAGGCATGCTGCCTATTAGAAGCCAATTTTCACCTTGCACAAAGCAACATCACAACAACAAAAAGTACAGTACTCACCAGTATCTTTGAGTCGATCATCAAATTCATTTCGAAAGGAGCCACCCCAATAGCACTCGTCACTACTATCAGTAGTGTCGATCTCTAGAGTTCTTGGGTGGTTTCCCTCCTTGAATCATGAACTTCTTGATCAACCGATGAAACAAACTTCCATTGTATTTCTTCTCTTGACACAATTTGATAATATTGGTGACGGTCCGTGGCACATAGTCGCAATGAATTTCCAATACCAAATATGCTCCCGTGGACAATTCCATGCGCACATAACCCTTTTTCTTGAGACGTCTGCAATACGGCACACATCGAACGTAAGACTTCTTCTTGAGTGGCTTCTCGTGTCTCGTTATCGTGTGCGATTTCTATGACGGTACTGGTCAAGGATCCCTATGCCTTTCCCGATGAAAAGGTGTCACCGGTGACATCGCTTGCCTTCTTGTTGGAGATTATTGTCGGACGACGATGATCTCTTTTTAGTATTGTTGTTGTCATTCTTTTTCATTTTATCCGAAATGCGACTGGCCGTGACACTGTGTCGTATATTACTGGTCTGCTGTTTGTTGGCTCCTAGTTGTCGCTGATGTTGAATATGATAAAGTGTGTTGATATCACGTCGCTTTTGGATCTTGAGATCATCTGGATCATTGAGAATCCACACATCCGTCTTGCGATTGAATGTTTCTCCTGAAATCAAGTCTTCCCAATTCTTGGTTTTGACATTGAGCTCATGGTAGGCTTCGTACGAGTAGACATTGGCAGAATTGCCGTGTCGAATGGCGACAATCTTGGTGTGATCGGCAAAGGGTTTGGTGAGAATGGGACACTGCCATCGGGTTCGTCATCTTGATCCATTTCCAAGGCAATCAAATCTTCTCGGGGCTGGAGTTTCTTGCCTCATGATCTTTCAAAAAGGTTTCGATCGATTGCTTGTCAAAGACAATCCCGTTGCTGCTGGTCGCGACGGGAGTGGAAAAGGGCATCAAACTGAGTGCACAGCAATTAACGGGGAGTTTGCGAATACTGCTCGTACTACTACTGTACTACAGTTGACTCGCTCTATTATTTATGGGGGGGGATTGCGGATTTCGATAAATATATTAGAGAGAATAAATATAAGGCTTTCAAGGGCCGGTTCCACTAGTAAAGTACGAATGGATAGAGCCGTCGCGTTTACGTTTGCCTGCCCTAGCAGCCCTAGCCACATTCAATGCCCTAGCAAACCTGTTAAGATGCACAGTGGCTGCCTGGTTGATACCCAAAGCAGAGGCACTTTCGGACAGCTTATTGAGTGCTTCTTCAGCTTCCGCAAATGAGGCAAACACATCGGCTGGTTCGGGATCATCCTCCATTTGTTCCGGTTCCTCGTCATCAATCACAGCCAGTTCCGCTTCTGTTGTTTCGACTTCCAGCGCTTCAATCTCTTCGTCGACGGTTGCACTAATGACTTCGGGCTCATCCTGACATCGATCAATTCTCCGCCATTTGCATCACATCTGGTTGGGTTGAATCGGCGCCGTTCATGTTGTCTGTCGATTGGAGGGTTGTTATGGTTTGTGATTGTTTGGGCTCAGGAGAATTGTTTTTGTCTCCTCGAAACCATCTTCGAAAACTGCACGTAAACAACCAGCGCTTGGCTGGCCCAGACAAGACAGCCACGGGCAGAGGTGCGAGGAATCCCACCGTCCATTGGATCGATATTGGCATTTTACATGCTGTCTCGGTCAAATTGAAACGGTTGGAATGGATTGGACGACGTTGTCGGGCTGCTCGAAAGATTTGTTGCTGCTCGAAAGATTCATTCACGGATACCTGGGACTGAGGGGGGGACCTCGAGATTTAATAAATATTACAGCGAGGATAAATATAATATTATAAATATTAGGGCGAGTAGACTGTAGCTAGCAGTGCCAGACCACAACTGCGAATTGGCTTGATGCCCTCGCGCCGATTGGGTACCAGGTACTGCTTCTCCTTTTGTCGTTTCACCATGGTTATGCCGTTATGCCGACTTCCAATTCCTGCTGTGCGGTACTAGCTACAGTAGTAGAGTTGAAACCAGAACGTCGATTTTTGATTTAGCCAGCTAAGTTGCTTTTGAACCCTCAGCTCTGGTGTATAGTCTGGGGGGTGGAGCAATTCCAAGCCAACCATGGTACTAGTAAACCACGACCAAGACAGTAGTAGACAGTGGCAAACAGTGGAACTGTCAAGCCTCAATCATTTTGAAAGTGTTGAATAGTGTTAAAAAGAGGTACAACAGTGGTAAATATTTTGGTAAACAGTGACTGAGGGCATGGGATGGAATTGATTTTCTCCATCCCCCTGAAATCTGTTCCTGCTGGTCGGTACAGTCGTACCGGCAGTACTCCGGCAAAATTGCTAGCAAGGAGAAGTCGCTTAGTTAAGGCCTTGTGCTCCACACGACCGATGTCCCACAGACCGTACTAGTACAGTCGTACTATTAATAGTAGCTTTAAAGCTACTACTAGTATGACATAGTGTGCATAGTACTGTAGAACATGACCTGAACATGCACGAATCCACGCAGAAAGCAGAAAGCATGTATCCAACCAGCTGGCTGTATGCCATAGTTGGCTTGTCACACCACCATCAACTCACAAACTCACAAACTCACAAAACGAAAACCCAGAAAACAACAACAGCCTCCTCAAACCATCAAAGCATCCACATTCATTCTTCCACCAGTCTTCTTTTCTTCAGCTCAAGTTTCATTTTCCACTCTCGAACTCTTTCTCTCCTTTCTACTAAACCAAATCAATAATCATGGGATTGTGTCAAGCCCTTGGAAACATCTCTCGCCTCCTCATTGTTGGCGCTACAGTCATCGCGGTGGGTCATTCTTCTTTTCTTGCCATTTCCAGTGTAGTGGACCCTCATCTTTTGCACCTCACACCTCTTCCTTTGTTTCTCATGTCAAACAGCTGATATTGTCAATTCTGACCGCAATGTCCTGCGAGCTTGTTCAAGTCGACGAAGCAAGTGGATCCACCTGGGGATTCTTCTTTCGAGGCGCCAACGGTACATGCCAAGACATGGTGTTCGGTACAGAGGATGAGATGATCTTGGCTGGAAGAACATGCTTGATTGTTTCCATTTGTGCTGGATTCATTGCAGGAGTCATGGTCACTTTCGAATGGCTCTTCTGTGAGATCTGCTGTGCCGGAGTTTTGGAGGGCATTGCCTTCTTCCTGGCTTGGGCTGTAGGTGCAATTTCCTTCATGTTTTATGGATCAGATCTCTGCACTGCGGATGGCAAGGAGTGCACCTTCTATGATGCCTCTGGGTACATGACAGCCGCTGTCATTCTATATTTGGGTTGCGGCGTTGTGCTCTGCTTTGCTCCTCAGCCATACCCAATCTGCCGTAGCAGCAAGGAATAGAGGGACTGTAGGCCGCGCTCCAGACAACTCTTTCGGAAGGAATTCCTGGGATGGTGAATGCACAATGCACATAATGATGGACCTTGGGTCATGGACCTGCAGCCAGTCGATAACAAATTAGATATAATTACATGTTCCTACTGTGACAAAGATTGATTTAGTAGTACTGGTGTCAGTTGCAGCTTTGCTGAAGAAACCATTACTTTAGCTGTGCATGAAAATACCCGTGTGCACCGATCCCGACACATTTCTGACGAAAGAGAAAGATCCGCTAGAATCTTCTTGCAGGCTGCCACTCCTCGCGACTACAAACCAACCTGCAACTGTATACTCGTCTACCGTATGAAAAACGTTGAGAATGCTGCATATGTATTGTTTCTTGGAAATGGAACAACTCTAGCGGATGCAGCCAGGTGTACTGAACACACTCACCTCGCAGTTTTTGGGCAACATGAAGAGCATTCATGTGTCTGCCATTGACCCCTCGGATGATCATCCCAGCGGGCAATCCTTCAAAGTATACTCAAAGTTAGTAAATCGCCACAGCCGGCCCACCCTGAGCATTCAAGCCGTCCCAAACTAACTCTAAGGCTCAGTCCCCATTTCGTGATTCGATTCAATACACTTTAGGCTTGGTAGTATGCACGCATAATCATGACGTGCCCTCCGGCCCCTGCTAGCTAGTATCTAGTAGGCAGGATTTGAAGAGTTATCCCGAGTGAAGATCTGTTGGCTACTCTGAGTACATGTACGTCTTAGAGCTCTTCGTAGCTACGGTAGCTAGCTCTACGTGTTCTGAATTGGAATTTGCAATACTACGGCCTCGGGTTGAATTGGCCAGAATGGGCTCGGGAAGAAAATTGGAGGGCCCCGGAAGAAAATCCGACTTTCCCTGTAGAGCTCTGGTAGAGTTTCTACTGAGTGACAAATCCGAACCTTCATGGAATCGGGAAGAAAATTCGACGGTGTCGCCCGGCGCGCAAAATCCAACCAACAAAGAAAAGTGTCCTTAAGTAAATTTTCTTCCCAGCCCTCGGATTTTGCTCCGGGGCCCTCCAATTTTCTTCCCGAGCCCATTCTGGCCAATTCAACCCGAAGCCGTAGTAGTTCTCTGGAGCTCTCTGTTTAAATCTTATGGTCATTCATGCTTCGAAAATTGTTCGAGGTTCCCATTTCCCATCACACCCATCCAAAGTCCCATTCCCACAAGGTAGATAAAACTGAGATGGGCAAAAACCAAGACTTTCAAGCGAAGGTAAGTTTGTGCTTAGAACTTGCTGCCACCGTTGATCAGGGTCCAACGGAAGGCTAAGAGAGGACCAACACCAGTCTCTCCGACTGTATCTCCGGCGCACGAAACAAAGTGTGGATCCTCTTCAGTCGAAGCAGTCAGGTCGAGCCATAAATTCTTTCACCGTCGAAAACATCTCACCACAATCAATAATAAACCCATGGGATATCACACTGAAATTTTTGGTCGCTTCAAGCTCGACCAGCCGCTAAGCCCGGAGCAGTTGAACTATTAATACCTCGAGCTATTCTCTGAAACTAGGCGGATGAAATGCAATGCAGAACTTACGGAGAAAAAACTGACACAGCTAGACTTGCAGTAAACCTCTCTGTAGGCCCAGAGGGAAGTTACTTTTTAGGAGAGCCGGGTCTTCGAGGGCAAGGCCACGGCAAAGATGTAGTCGACTACAACAACCCGCCCCAAGGCCAACCTGGTTTATGGTGCCAATGGATTCCTTCAGAAGATGGCAAAGCTATCGAATGGGACGGCGGCGAAAAATTCTACAAATAATGCGCCCTACTGACACATGCCGAACCTTGGTGGTCTCTCCTGTAGTGGAATTCTCTAGAGTAGAAGCTTGCCCTGAACATTCACCTCGCAGTTTTTGAGTGTCTCTGCAGCTTCTGCCATTGACCCATCGGATAATCACCCCCGCGGACAATCCTTCTTCCGCTTCAAAGTATACTCAAGTTCCTGCGTGAATCGCCACAACTGGTCCACCCTGACCATTCACGTCATTTCGTGATTCGATCCAATACACTTCAGCCTTTTGGTGACGAAACCACGGCCATGATCATGAAAGTGGCCGCCCGCCCCAGCTAGCTAGTATCTGGGCCAGAGTTTGAAGAGTTATCCCGAGTGCAGATCTACCGTATTTGGCTTCTCTGAGTACGTCGTAGAGCCCTTGGTAGCTTCTTAGCGAGCTAGCTCCCAAACCGCTTGCTGGTCAGGATGGTGTTTTCGCTTTGGTCCGCTCAGTCCGCTCAGTCCTCTCGTCATGCAGCTCCAGACTCCAGCTCCAAAATGTGATCACAATGAAGTGTGACCGAATGTAGGACTTATTAGCAATAGTTCTGTGATAAATCTTATGGTTCTTACTGGTTCATTTCCCAAACGCCGAACCCAAGATCTGCGCGGTTTTGACCACGATACATGACGTTTGATCATTTTTGAAGGCAGCAAGCAACAAGCTACCCTTCAGCCTTCAGCCTTCATCAGCCACACACAATGAACTAGACAACAAACGTCGTCCCTTTTACTCCTCACACACCTTTTGATTGCAAGCTACCTCACTACGGTATATCAGACATGTGCAACGCCATTGGGAACTTCTTCCGACTCATCATTATTGCTGCTACGGCTGGCGCTGTAAGAACAAAGAATCCTGGAGGTGACGTGCCCTTCAGCACCTCCAAACAGCTCACAGCATTTTCTTTCTTTCTCTGGATTATCTAGTTGACCTTGTCTGTTTTTGCCTCGGTATCTTGTGAACTTGTGGAATACAATGATTCTGGTGGCTTAACCTATGGGTTCTTCTTTCGAGGGATTGATGGCAATTGTGCATCAGAGTACTATGAGACAGATGATCCTGTCATCAACGGAGCAAGAACCGTCCTCATAATATCCATGGGTGCTGGATTCATTGCAGGAGTAATGGTGCTGTTTGAATGGCTCTTTTGTGAAATTTGCTGTGCAGGTGTTTTGGAGGGACTTGCCTTCATGGCGGCTTGGATGTTAGGAGCAGCCTCATTTATGTTTTATGGGTCTGAGCGGTGTACTCAGGAGGGAGCTGAATGCACATTTTATGATGCTTCTGGCTATATGACAGGTGCCTGCATTCTCTATGTTGGCTGCAACATCCTTTTGTGTTTGTAAGTACAACCAAGAGTCTTCTTGTCTTGGCTTGGCTTGTATCACTGATAACTAATCTCACAATTTCCCACCACGTCCTTCTTGAACAGCACACCACAACCAGAGCCACTGTGCAGCAAGAAATAATCCACAGCCAGGAGATGTGAAAAAATGTCAAGTACCAAGAGCGGCGATGGGAAGAGGGCAAGCAGCTCAAGCAAAAATGAAAAAGGTGTACATGTAGTGCTAAAGTAGACCAATTTGGATGTGAATGCTTCCTCAATGGTTCCTGGCTGGCTTCTGTACTTCTGAAACAACTTTGGTTTGTCAAGCACAAACACAAGTTGGTGTACACATACACATGCACCTGTGCTGTGGCTTAGTCTACTGTCTACACAGTAGGGGATAGTAGCAGTGTGCACGGAACAGAGTGCCCGATTGGAGGCACGGAAGGCTTACCCAGGACTTAGTACCGGTAGTGAGCATAGTGCACTAAATCTTTTCGTCATTCCTGCTATGGAAATAGGAACACGAGTAATGACCGTTGTTGGCTTTGCCGCCACAACCGCTCGAAGATTTCAAGTTGGTGTCACGGACCCTCATTCATCTATCTCGCCTCCACCTTCCACCTACAACCGGTGCTTACATCCGAATGCCAAAGGAATGCAAACCTCTTCTCGCACCTCTTGATATCGCTACCAGTACCGTTGTCAGCCAGCTAACACTATACTTCTTTCTTATCAGAGATGTGCAACGCACTTGGAAACTTGTTCCGGCTCATCATTGTCACTGCTACTGCCGGTGCTGTAAGTGAACCCACGGGCAATTTTTGATTGTGGTGACAACCAGGGCTAACCAATCTTGGCTCCCTTTCTGATCCTGCAGCTGACCTTGTCTGTTTTCACAGCACTGTCATGTGAACTTGTGGAATACAATCAAGCGAATGGTATAACATTTGGGTTCTTCTTTCGAGGGATTGATGGCACTTGTGAAACAGACTACTATACTACTAATGATGGTATCATCACTGGTTCCAGATCTGCCCTCATTATATCCATGTGTGCTGGATTCATTGCAGGGGCAATGGTTCTTTTTGAATGGCTCTTTTGTGAAATTTGCTGTGCAGGAGTAATGGAGGGACTTGCCTATCTCTTGGCATGGATTGCTGGAGGTGCCTCATTTATGTTTTATGGGTCTGAACAATGTACATCAGATGGGTCAGAATGTGCATTTTATGATGCTTCTGGCTACATGACAGGAGCGTGTATTCTCTATTTTGGTTGCAATATCTTATTGTGTTTGTAAGTCAGAACAAATCCTACAGCAATACGAATCTGGCCTTTGCTTGCCAAGTGCAGCTTTTAACTGACAGTTCCATTCGTCTCCATTGACAGCACACCGCAACCAGACCCCCTTTGCAGCAAGTAGTAACAAATCAACCAATCAGCACGGCAAGAATCAAGGATGGATGTAAAACGCACCAAAAGACGAGGACCGATCGTTGAGTAGTAAGTACAGTAGGGGACAACAAGCAGCCCAAAAGTTGTTGTTTGTGTAAAAGGTGCAAAAGTTAATGGTATGTAGTGATCTAATAGACTTTTTTAAGCTGGTATGCAAATAGTTCTTTCATTTCTAGCTGGCTACCGCCGTAGCATGCCATCACCACTGGCTAGCATAGCCCCACATTCGCCTTCGCCTACATACTTATATGATTTCAAAGGTTCTCGTGCACACATACACACAAATCGATGGATTGATTCCAATAAAGGTTTTCGCTCATGACATGAATAGCTGGCTCAACAAACACGTACCATAAGGGTCCACCACAAGCAACTCCGCGCATCCTGTGGCGGTCGCTATCGATTGGGGACTGCTGCTGCGGCAGTCGCTGCGGCCACAGGGCTGCTGCTGCTGCTGAGAGAGGATGCCACTGCCGGAACGGGTGCCCGCGCATCTTCATCGGTTCCCTTCATGTGTCGTTGAATCTTGTGATGTTCTCGTAGTTGCAAATAGTTGATGGTCCCATTCAAAATCATGAACGATCCTACAATTTGCGTGGTCCGGATCATGACACCTCGTGGAAAGAGCGTGGCAAAGAGGGTCCGCGTCCAAAACTTGGTGGTCGTCGGCCACGATGCCACGGCTCGTTCGACGGCAGCGGGAACCGATTTGTCGACAAATGCCGGATAGAGTTCTCGATAGGACCTGTGGGGCTCCAACAATTTGAGTGTGGACAAGTTATGGGGAACGTGACTGAGATATCCCGATACGACACCCGCCAACAGTGATCCGGCCGCATTGGCCAATAGATCGTGTCCCTTGCAATAAGGAGCAATGCGTTCTTCGCAATAATCACTCATTTGATTGAGTCCGACTCCAAAGATAATTTCGCGGCCTCCTCGTGGCAATGCACCTCTCATCCATCGGGTCGTCATTGGTTCAGAGTTCATATGACCTGCATTGCTGGCTTCGAGGACGGACGAAATGGGTGTCATGAGCACTCCGGGCGAAATGGCCGTGGCGAGTCGAATGGCATTCGGACTGTCGTAGAGATCGGGATCGACATTGGAATCGAGCAAGGCCCGCAACCCCTTGAATCCGGTAATGTAGGCGACCCGTGTGGGAACTTGAATGTGCATATTGGGGAATAGTTCGGCGGGTATCCCGGTCAAACGGGCATTGAGTTTGGCATTGAGAGCGGATCGGTAGTAAGACTCAATTCCGGCGGCAATACTAACGGCGGGGACATTGACTTCTTGGGAATGTTGTTCGAGCAACGGTGTTTGAAAGGTTTTGGATCCTCGTCGGAGTTCTTGGCAGAGTCCTTCGGCGATTTTGACGGTGATTTGAGGATTGGATTCGAGTACTTTAAAAAAGTCGTGACGGTACATTTGGTATACCTTGCATCCTTCTTCCGAGACGCACTTGACGGTGGAAAAGGAAGGATCTCCCGATAGGATTCTCATGCTATTGATGGACTTGGCTTTAATGGCAAATTTGACGGTATGCGTCTTTCCATCGGTTTCGTTGTAGTACGACCGTCGAATGTCTCCACTCTGCAACAAAAAGAAACGATCCGTGGGACCTCCTTGGGGAATGAATTCTTCATTGCGCTGCAACAGACGTGGATGCATGGCTCGCACAATCTTTTGCAAATCTTGAGGAGGAACCTTTTTGAACATTTCAGCCTCGGCTATCAGATTCATACAAGACACTTCATCCTCCTTGGTCATCTTCATCATCTTGTCAGCACCATTGTTGTTGTTCTGTCGGGAAGTAAACTTCCTGATGGTAGACAACATACTTCAAAAGCAACCTAACCAAACAAACCTATCTTGACCTGACCTGATCTCAATGGGAAAATGCCGGGTGCACAGTAATTGATGACACCAAAAGGATGGTTTTACTTCTTTTGCTGGATACTAGAGCTGCTATTGACACTCTCGTAGTTTTGACTACTGGTGAGTGAGAAAGAAAATACCGTGTTCTCATTGAAAATGCACCAACCAGGGAAGATAGCTGGTGACCCCTTGGTTGGCACTTCCCGAATTGTTTGTTGACGCCAAACTGTGTCGATGCATTCTCGCCACCGTCCACTTCTCCAAATCCGATTCTCATTGGCAGCGTCACTGCTTCCGATGCTAATGATTGGAACCACAAGCGTTCACGGATCGCATCGAGTCATGAGAGATTCTTGTGACGTCTAGCTTGACGTACTATGTACTAGACGTCAAAATCATGAGGTTGAGTTAGGGATAAATTCGAAAAGTTCGAATATCTGATTGAGCAAATCATTTTAGAGTCGAATTGGATCACACAATTATTTCCATGACCAATTTGACCTCACAGTCTCATTTCTTTTGGCTGAATGACAGGCATCATCAAAGGGCTTCAGTCAAAGAGGACATCCACCATGACGTGCCGTGCCAAGATGCCCTTGCCTGTGTGGATACAGCAGGTAGTACTGATTATTACAATGACAATAATATGCGTTGCTGTGCCTTGTGTGGCCGGAATAATAGACGATGATCCGATTATTGGTGGGAATGGACAAAGACAGCAGCAAGGGGGGACGAACGATGACCAAGACGTCGACACGTATGGCTGGTCCACAATCGTAAGCACAAACTCCAATTTCTTGCAAGAATGTTTTCAAGACAGCGAATCTTGTCGATACGAGTTTGATGGAAAATGCGATGCTGGGTTGTCCTGTCCATGGAAGTAAGTTAAGCAAGCATACAACACAAAACAGCATGTTGGACAGAACATGCAAACTAGTGCAAGGACAGCCTGGAATATTGGTACTTGGCTCAACCATCGTGCTTCATATGTATTTCTATTTCTCTTCTGTGTAAAGCTCTGATTGCTTTGACTGCGACACGGATCCTTGCAGAGGTAGGTTACAGGATCTGTAGAGCTGCCAATGCAATTCCTCTGCTGAGCTTATCCGTCTTCCTAAATCACACACATCATCTTACGGTATCATCTATTTCTTTCGCTTCTTGATTCGATCATTATTTCTGACTGACTTCCAGAATTCGATTACGATTGCACTGGTTGCGTCGGTACGGCCGGCTGTAGTTGGTGTCCAGGAGATGCTCTGTGTGCCGGAAACGGTGGCTGGGAAACTGGCACCTTTGCCTCCGTCAACAAAATACTCTCGTGTCCTCTACCAGACGACTGGAAACAATCCTGCTCGCCAACTAACTCGGAAAATGTGTTTTCTGATCCGCTCTACGATGCCATGGCATGGTCGTATCAACTCATCAATGTAGAACCGGTATGGAGAAACACGGGATTGACTGGAAAGGGGGTCCATGTGCGCATCAATGATGATGGCGTCGACAAATATCATCCTGAATTCATCAAACGATTCGATGAAGCCAATTCGTGTCAAGATCACATGCCGGTATACCCGGATGCTCATGGAACTGGTGAGTTGAGTGAACGAGAGTGTTTGTATGCTGGATGGATGGACGCTATGCCATTGTTGTCGGGGAAAACTTACCACCACAATGCTGTCCTTTTGCATTTCTTTTGGTGCATGCTGTGCGTCTGTCTATCTTCATTGGGGCTATCTATCAATCTGCAAAAAAGCCATGGCAAGTCTAGCCTTGGCAGAGGCCGATAATGACGAATGTGCCGTGGGGATTGCGCCGGGTGCCACAGTCTCATCGTGTACCGTACTTTCCAACGGTGGACAAGTCAAACTGCTCGAAGTTGGCGAGAGTTTGACGCATGCTCTGGACGTTGTCGATATCAGCAGCAATAGTTGGGGACCGGTACCGGTGCGTGGACTACAAGCGTGGAAATGAAATGAAATAAAACAATCCACAAATATGATCCTGACATGGACTTGCTTGTGTGTCTGTGTGTGTGTGTGCGTTTGTGAGATCAGTGCAAAGGCAAGAGTAGACAACGATTCTTGCAACAAGGCAACACGACATCATCTTGCCCCTTTCTGTACAACCACTCTTCCAATCCGTGTGAAGCCTGTTCCGACGGCCTGCAATCTCGATGCAAACAGGCCGTGTCACTATACTGTCAAAGTCTCTATGAACTGGATCCGGCAGCCTGTCAAAACTATCTGGACCTTTGGTACGAATGTGACTACGATCCGTTGCCAGTCAATGCGGGACAAGCCTTGGCGAAGGGAACTTCCCAAGGGCGAGGTGGGCTGGGTGTGATTTATGTGAGTCAAGTCGATTGACAATCTGCCTGAATGGTTGCTCTTCTTGGCAACTCATGTACGTGATGACTGTGTTGGTGCTATTAGGTTTTTGCGGCAGGGAACCAAAACAAGTATGGTAAGCTTTCCAGCAAATGTTTTTTCTCTTGTGTGATTCACGACACTGGTTGCCACGCCAACTATACTACCCATTCATCGAACTGTTTGACAACGACTTGTTGCTCCCTGTCCTCCCACAGCTGTAGATGTCAACATGGATGCATTCATACAATCAAGGTTCACCATCAGCGTTGCCTCTGTTGGAAAAGACGGGTTGCATTCGAGCTTCTCAACACCCGGCGAGGCTAACTTGATTTCTGCACCAGGGGGAGACGTTGAAAACTTGAGCAACAATATCGTTGCAAAGCCGGGAGGTGGATGTGTAAGTTGCTCGGGGGAGAAGCGACGCCCCTGCTGCACCTTTGGATGATGCTAACCTGCCTCTGTCGTTGTTCTGTGCGTTGCTTTCAAAACACCAAAACTCTACAGCATGGTCAAAATGGTGGCACAAGTGAGTTGTTCTTTTTTTTGCTCATGAAGGGGGCTACATGAAGTGTCGTTCTAACCTTCTCGACTTGCTTTTCCCTTCAGGCTTCGCAGCTCCTACTGCGGCGGGGGTCATTGCTCTCATGTTAGAGCAACGGCCCAAGCTAAGCTGGAGAGATGTCCAGGCAATATTGGCCACTACGGCTCAGGTTGTCGATTCAGACGATTCTTCCTGGGTTGTCAATGGCGCAGGTCTAGCTCACTCGTAAGTTTCGTGATTTCTGTCTGGACAGAACTTGAAGAACACTAGAAGTTTTGATTTTCTCATCTTTGACGGTGACTTGCAGGACCAAATACGGATTTGGAATGGTAACCGCGGACGCCGCAGTGAATGTATCGTCCACGTGGATTAGTTGGGGCGACGAGCAACAGATCATGCTGGAATCCGGTACCATTGATTTGCCCATCGAAAACGACCCATCTTCTGGTGTCGCCAGCGTTTTGGTTGTCGAAGATGACGTGACCGGTTTCGTGACAGAGTCCGTCGCAGTGTATTTGGACTTGGACCATTTCTCTCGTGGCGACCTCTTGATTACTCTAGAGAGTCCATCGGGTACTGTATCGGTCCTACACCCGGGTAAGCGCCCCGAGGCGTCAGTGGAAGCGGTGCACTGGAAGCTGACAACTCTCAAGAATTGGATGGAGAATCCTGTAGGAAGCTGGACATTGCGCATCGTCGATGAAAAACCAAGCGTGGAAGCGGAAGTTGGCGAATGTTTGGACTATGAGTTTTTGTATCCAGTTGTATCTGCTTGGTCTGGAAATGTGTGGCGCTATAGGCAATGCGGTGACTTGTCAGGTGTGTATTGTTGGGATGGTACGATCTTTGATGAAGTAGTGACGGAATGGCGGGATGAAAACAATGGCAACATATCCGGAGCTGATGCATGCTGCGTGTGCGGAGGAGGCGTAAAGGTACCGGAACAACAGACCCTTGCATCCTGGACCATGATCATCTACGGCCACTATGATGGGGGAGAAACCAGTACACCTGTCATCAGCAGGCAGGACGAGCCATGAACTCTCGATCACAATACAGAAGAGGCAATCATTACCTGATTTGAGTTTTGATCTCAACGTTTGATCTCCTCCGAGCGCCACCCACACGTCTTCGAGAACCTCTGCCCGGATGATTCAATCGAGTAGGACCACAATCAACCATCTTCAGGACAGGAGTGCGACTCAATGTGAGTGGAGCGACTCTAACGCTGAATCTTTGCTAAGCTTCAATGCGAGGGCCAATTTCCGATGCTGTTTGTACAACGAGAAATATAAAACGAACTCTCGCTATAAACTAGCTTAACGACTAGGCAAAAATCACAGATTGGATCAACGCACTGGAAGAAGGTATTCAAACGGTCCTCCTGAATCAAGACGAAGAGAGGTGTGACTTCCCACTTCGAACTCACGAAGACTGATCCATGAGGTTACGGAGGAAGGACTTGACTCTTTGCTTGCTATCTTCCGGCGCAGTATAAACGAAAGTCGTTTTGTTGTCATCTAGGTAGCCAGCTGAAGAATGATTGTTTTGTATAGCTTTGTTCTAATGTGGTACGTCCTCTTACGTTCGCAACACTGTAGTGGCTGCGATCACTGTCTTCCCGGATTTTGCTTTATGTACAGAGTTTTGCGGGTTGACCACGCCACACCGGCACAAGATTGATCAAATGATTGCCGCTTGTATTGCTGCTTAGTTGGTCAGGTGCTCAATGATTCCTTTTCCATCAACCAACTCTTGGGCCATGAATCCGGCAGCAGCAAGCATAGCCAAACGTCCATTCTGGAGTTCCTTGTTTTGGAGGACCAAAAGTTCCTCAGGATCCTCAGGCCTCAAGCCAAGGGGATCAAATCCGATGTCACCAGGGGTGTATTCAGCTCGCAACAAGCCTGGTTGGTCAACAGGGACATTGGAAGGTTCAACCCAGCCAATTTCAGCACGCTTTTGTTCAGCAGCACCAATTCCAGTGACCAAGAGAGCCCAGAAGAGAGGGGGCACCTGAGCCAAGTGTGAGATGGCAGGACCAGTCACACTGGCATCCCACAAGAAGGAGGACCCTTCAACAGCTTCTCCGGCCAAGAAACCAATAGAGGCAAGCATAGCAACACGTCCATGAGTGAGCTCAGCCTCACGGTATCGCTTAAGGGTTTTCTCATCAGCCTTAGCAGCAAAACCAAGAGGGTCCCAAATACCCATGGGCTCCAGAGCTCCAGGGATGGTTTCAACAGTGAAAGCCTGTCATGTTTTGAGAGAAAGCAAAAGTAAGAAACTGTTTCAACAGTTTGCAGACACTGATATGTTCTCCTTTTTATTTCTTACCGGGGGTGCAACAGCAGCAGGGGCCTTCTTGGCGGCTCCGCCAAAGGGGCTGAAAGCAGTGGCAGAAGTGGCGAAAAGGGCGATGGCAGCAACGAACTTCATTTTGTTTTATTTGTTTTGTGGAGAATGGTTTTTCAAGTGTTGGATTGTTAGATTGTGAGAAGGGTTGGGTGGTTGGACTGCAAAACTCGGAAGTGGACGCGCCAACTCACAAGGGACTGACTGGACTCAGGAGTTTCTTGGTCATCGGTCTGCCACTTGATGGCTGAGTAAGCGAAGCTAGACTACCCAGTACGCAGTACAGCAAACCTTTCTCATCAAACTTCACGTAACGTACGTACATACGTTATACTTTGTCAGTGGAGGTCGGGTAAATGCACGAACATACGTTTGTAAACTTCCCTACTCTGGACCCACTTTTTGAGCATACTCCAAAGAGTCTACATACGTTTTTCTTTGGCTTTACGATTGAACAAATGATTCATCAGAACACCATCAGAGCAATGGCTGAGTCATCAAGAGACCTCTAAAAGTCGCCAAAAAGTGACGAATGCGAATAAAACGCATTGGTTTCCTCCGTTAAATCCAATAAAATCCAATTGAATAATACTTTGGAAATCAAAAGATATATTGACTTCTTTTCATATGTAACACTACGACAAGGATCAAAGATTTATACTACTGGAACTGAGGAACACCATGGCAGACACCAGACACCAGACCTTGGACAGATCTCAGAACCCTCCTGTCGTTCATCAAAAACAAGTCCGAAGAGGATCCATCGCGGATACGATATAAAAGAAACTTCACAGTATCGAAAGAGAATGGCCGAGAGCACTGGCACTGGTACTCCACCGGGCAAGGCGGAGTATGTGCGTGTAGAAGACGTAACTGAGGCGTCGAATGAGGAAACACGGCACCTGCAGCCCCCTCCCGCCAGAAATACTCAGGGTGCTACTGTTACCGAGGAAGCCAAAGAAGAAGTTGGCTCCACCCCGGAAAAAGCTCGTACAACAGGACGAGGTGGATATACGGTGGGAGCTTACGCGGCCAGTGGAGGCACTTATACTCGAAACGAAACGGCCAATTACTCTGCCTTGGCCGAAGCCAACGAAGCTTCCAACCGCCAAGACACCGCAACCGAGACAGGTCAACCTCAAGCAACCATTTCTGTTTCTACTCAGCCTGTACTGACTGCTCCTGATTCAGCTGTTTGCAACCCAGTTGACCCACTAGAAGCGGCTGTCAACCCTGCTACAGGAGCTGGGCAAGAAGCCACGGGCAGTGGAGACAATGAAAGCCAGAAGCCAGATAAACAACTCTTGTTTGCTTATGTTGGGGTAACTATTTTAGCCATCCTCATCATTGTCATTGTACTCTGTGTGACTCTGATTCCTGGGAGTGATTCTGAGGAACAAGCCAACAAGGCAGAGGACATGAGCACTGCCCCGTCAAGAGACCCTCAAGCGATGTCCATGGAAGACCACATTCGAGGCCTCTTCCCAAACTCTACCCTGGAAGCTATGGAGAGTCGTTTTAGTTCACAAGCTGAAGCTTTTCGATGGTTGCTGAAGGATCCTGAACTCACTACCACCAACTCCTATTCAGATGACAGAATCATGCAACGCATGGCTCTCGCTACATTTTATTTTGCCACTGGTGGAAGACGATGGAATTGGAATTCTGGATGGCTCAACTACAGTGTTCATGAGTGTGATTGGTTCACAGATGGAAATCCTCCTTGCGACAATGACATTTCCACTCCAGAGGAAGAATTCAGCAGCAATGTCACGAGCAACTTCACCAACAATTTTACCTTCTGGGATGATGATGACCATGTTATGTATCCTGCAGATCTTTCAACTGAATACCTTTGGCGCCCCACTTTTGATGATAGGATGCTGGCAGAAGGAGATGGTACAATCAAACAGTTGCACCTTGCGGACAACAACATGATTGGGACTTTGCCACCAGAGCTGTTTTGGCTTTCCAATTTGAGATCCGTTCAATTTGACAACAATGAAATTGGTGGACCTTTAGTTGGTTTGGATCTGGCACTCCTAACAGATTTGGAAGTGCTTCGTTTGTACTCCAATCAGTTAGAAGGATCCATTCCTTCTGAGTTAGCAACTTTGACCAACCTGGCCAATATCAACTTGGCACAAAACAGAGACTTGGAGGGAGTAAGTTCTATTTCTTACTCCATCAATATATGAACGCGTGTGCCATTGTGAAAACAAACTGACCTCTTTTGTGTAATGCGAATCATTATATCCATGAAAAGGTCCCTGATGGGCTCTGGGAATTATCCAGCTTGCAAGTTCTAGCACTGGATGTCGGCTCTACCATTCCATTTGAAGCAGTAGCACAGCTGGACCGACTTTCTTCACTAACTCTTGCTGAATTGACTGGAACAGTAAGTAAAAAATTATTGGGAATTTGCTCTGGCAATGTGAAAACTATCGATCTCTTACCGTAACACTCATGCGAATACTATTCGATCATGCTTAGCTTCCAACAGAGATTGGACTGCTTACAAAATTGACACTGCTGAACCTACAAGGTGGCAGGCTTCGAGGCACAATCCCAACAACACTGGGTAAACTATTCGATATGACGTGGCTGTTTCTTGACAGAAACACATTTACGGGCGAGGTGAGCGTGTAAACAAATGGTTCGAAGACTATACCATCGGCATCCAACTGTCTGTTCTTTTGCTATTGTGCGTGTTCGATCACTTCAGATTCCAACAGAATTCGGATTGATGGCTAACCTAACCATTCTTGAACTGAGTGAAAACAGACTCAATGGCATCCCGTCGGAGCTTGGAATGCTCACCAATCTATACTCTCTTCGCCTGCTAGGAAGTCGCTTGGCAGGCCCAATCCCCTCGGAAATTGGGCAAATGTCACGGCTTTCGGAGCTCTATCTTCAAGAGAATGAGCTTACCAGTTCGATGCCTACTGAGCTTGGCGCCCTTTCAAAGATCCGGACCATGTACTTGTACAATAATGAATTGACAGGTTCCATACCTTCGGAGCTAGCCAGGGCGGATAGATTGCGCCTTTTGCATTTGGGTTCCAATATGCTCAATGGAACGTTACCCGGTAGGTTTGGAAGGCTCTGGTACCTTCGGGAGCTTGACTTGGACAAGAACTCGCTATCTGGGTCTATTCCCACGCAGTTCGGAAGGCTGGCCTTCATGCGACGCTTGGAACTGAGTGAGAATGAACTCACCGGCCCAATCCCCTCAGAATTGGGTAGAATGAGAATGCTGGAGAACCTATTGTTGAATGACAATCGGCTTACTGGTACAATTCCAGTGGAGCTAACTGGGTGGAACTCTAGCTTATTTGGTTTGGTGGACTCTACAGATCATCTTGAAGAACTGTATCTGAATGGGAACAACTTCACAGGTTCCATCCCAGAGGCACTTTGTGATGTGGAAGAGGTCAAGACTGACTGTACGGATCACTTTTGTGGTTGTGATTGTGCTTGTCAAGGTTGATGGATGAACACGAGGCAGAAGGCTTCGATTCAGTTGGTCAGCATCCCAGCGAGCGAGAGCAAGCGCTCTTTCATCCATGTCATGTGTGAAGTCTTTCTCGGATGCTTTTTTTTGTGTGTATGTTCGTATTGCCAGTGTGAAAGAAGCAGAGATCTGTACGTGATCCATTCGACGGATAAGAGCAGTGCGTTTCCCGACAGGTGGACTTCGATGGGGCTGTTGCAGACTAGCTTCTACCGCTACTAGTGTGAACTATAAAAATGCATACTACTAAAAGTGATTGATTGGATTGATGGCTGCCAATGAGGGGCACTGCGGTCACAAAGACCGACAGCCATATTCGATTCCTTGGCGATGATGTTCCGCTTCATTGATTCCTTCCTTCCTTCCTTCCTTCCTTCCTTCCTTACCATCCCGTGACATCCTTGCAGAGATTCTTTCCTTCATTGACATGAAAATCGAGCGCAAGTCCACCGACACCGAGTACGTTCATGACGGACTCGATATCGGCCGTGGATACATTGTACATGTGCATTCCATCCCAACAGAGTTGATCTCCCTGTCGCACGGGCAAGTGTCCTCTAAAATCGGTAATAAAGGAAAAGACACCCTCTTCATCGACGGTATCCCATCCAATGTGGACATATTCCAAATGTACTTCTTGCTCTTGTTGGGCCAGGACATCGTAAACGTACTTTTCGGCGGCTTGTACTTCTTGTTCCGACAACATGCCATTTTGTCGGGTCTTGTTTTCACTCGCCAAGTAGTCGGCGACGACAGTGGAATAGAAATCCGGCGAATAGAGCCAAGTCGTGTTGATATGAACGAGAAAGGGATCGAGGGGCATGTAATCGACATCGTAGTTCATGTCAGCAAAGACATCTCCCATGGACCATAAATCGGCAATGGCTCCGAGACCACCCAATGTGCCACCGCCTTGACCAGCCGTGCTGCATCCACAGAATTTCCACAACGACCAAGCTCTCGAGTATTTCTCATTGTTGGGATCTTCTTCAATTTCCACAATGAGATTTTCCGCGTGTGCCGCATAACTAATGAGAATTAGTAATAGTGGTAGTAGGAGTGGTGTGCATTGGAACGAGAACATGATGGATGGGATAAGTGAGTTCGTTGTGGTGTGTGGAAGCAGAGGATACCAGCAACAATCTTCTTCGATGGGCTCGGCAAACAAAGAAACCAAAACAGAAATAGGGAGACAAGACAAGATGATACGCCGCTACATCAGTTTGTAAGGTCGCAATTGCAACGAACCACTAGCTAGCTATCTATTTGCTGGTAGATCTTCTGCGTGTCCAAGCAAGGAATGTTCTGCTTCCTTGCCGTGCATCCAAAGTGTCCTTCATTTATCCGATTTTGTGAGGCTGGTTTTAGCTTGGTCATTTTGCGATCTTTCAAGTTAGCCTTATCCCTCATGTAATAATTAGGGTGAAAGATACAGGTACACGTGTACAGGTACTAGCTAGGTACTAGGTGACTGATGTACCAGTAATACCCGGTACAGCTGTACTGTACCCGTCTACCTTGTCAAAGTGTGCACGGCACCAAGATCCCTCACGATTATGGTAATTAAAGGTCGAGGAACCCTCATATCTCTTTGCATGAGTGTAATTAGATGAAAGGGACCCTTCAAACTCCGATGCATGACTGGTTATCATCAGGAGGTATCGTGATGTGTGCGAAAGATCCAGCGAAAGATCCAGGGAGAGATGCTCGTTGCCATCAAAAGCTCGCCTAAAATGCCTCCTTCAAAAATTCAAAAAAGACTCTTTGCTTGCTTTCTCATTATTTTCTTGCTTTCTCGTGGGTTGTTTGAGAGAGTGCTCTACCATCCTATCTCTTGTGTTGCTTCACTTCTAACCATCAATAGTTAATCTTCACCATGAGCAGCGCCTTTGGAGTAACGCTCAAGAAGAGCAGCAATCCGTTTGGCGTGCAGCTGAAGAACACTCCCAAGTCTCCTCGACCCACCAAAGAACGCCTCCGCAAATTTGCCAACAAGGAAGATCTCTCGGGCAAACGCCAATCGCTGCGTCACGTATCGCCGGCTCCTCCGAAAGTGAAACGCGTGGATAGTACAGGCAAGAAATGGTTGCGCAAAGTGGCGCCGTATCCTTTTACGCTGCGCCATAATCCCACCTTTGGCGTGGTCTTGCGAACAACTAGTAAAAACAATAAAGACAACAAGGAAGGCAATCAAGTCGAAGCCCTCCACGATCATCATCATCACGATCACGACAAACCCGAGTCTCCCGTCAGTACCAGTCACAGTACTACCAACAGTGTTGGATCGAGTAGCAACAACAGCGATACTATCGAACAATTTCTCGATTTGGATTTTCGCGATCGAAAATTTGGCAGCGGCAACCAAGAAAAACCAAAGAGTCTCCACGGTGGAGGCACCGTGGATGGTCCTGTGACCGCCGTGCCGTTTGGAGTGCGTCTCAAGCCCGTGCGTCGGTGTCATCATGCCGAGACGCTTGGCTTGTCGCCACCTCCGGATCCAACTCGGACTTTTCAAATTGACTTGAATCCAGTCGCCGGACAACCCGGTGGAACGTACACACCCGCCAATCGATCCTTTCTCGAAGTCAAATTAAAGCCGGTACGAGCCAAACAACAGTCATCGCCGTCGTCACAAGATGGGAATAATCACGACAGCAGCGGCAGCAATGGTTGGAACAAGGCGTGGGCGAAAGGGGAACTTCCCGAATTTGTCGAATTCAAATTGCGACACGTCGTGGCACCCCGCGATGGAGGACCGGAACGGACCGTCACGGAAGCGACCTTTCAAATTCCTCTGTTGCGTCATGTGTCTCCCGAAGAATTGCGGCAATTTCAAAAGTCCCCCGATCCACTCGAAGATTTGTTGCAAATGACACTGTCGTCATTGAGTCATGTCGTGCCCACTCCACGAGAAATTCCACCGGCCCAGCACAATATTACCTTTCACCTCAAGCGTCGCGATCCCGTCACCAAAGAGGAACGGTCGCTCAGTCATTGCATTGACATTCAATTGAAAAATGTTCCCCGCAGTAACAATCCCAAGGAACGGGAAATCCCGTCGATGCAGGTGAATTTGCGAAAGGTAAAATTTGATGACAAGGAGGTCGACGACAACAAGGATCCGTTTGACATTAAACTCAAGCACGTTCGCGTCAAGGAGGAACTGTACGAAGAAACCGAACGGGAAGAGGACGAATTGTTTGACTTTCCCGACGACGACGAAGACGAATCCGAGCACGAATTGGAAGAATTGCAGGAGCAAAACAAAAATCCTCGCGATGAACGACGCAGCAGTTTGCCCGATTTGCACTTGGGAGAATTGGTCATTACGAGCAAGACGGAAGACTCGGATTTGACCAAGGACGAAGAAGAGGCGCAGCCCTCAAAAAAAAAGGAGGCTGTGCCACCACAGGTTGTGGAACCAGCCACCAAAGACGAAGAAGAGTACGAGGAGGAGGTAGTCATGGAAGAAGTCGACGAATATGAATGGGTCGAATGCGACGAATACGAGGAAGTCGAGATTGACGAATACGAGTACGAAGAGTACGTCTTGGACGATGGCAAGAAGAAAAAGAAAAAGCGCAAAAAGAAGAAACCCGTCACACAATCTACCCGAGAAGGACGTTCCGCGGGGCGTCCTGCGCTACGACGTCAACGATCCAGTTCCTTGTCGGAGATTGATCGTTTGCGGACTCGTCGCGACACGTACATTAAGCTGAAGGAACAGGAAGCCAAGGACAAGGACGACAAAACGGAGCTCACCAACCAGCAAGGCCGTGATTTGCTCATGTGGTACAATCGCATGAAGACTCCCAACAAGGAAGAAATGAAACGTCGTGTGGCCAAACTCCCCGCGTCCTGTGATATTACCCCCGAGGATGTGGAACTCTTGCCGTGGCTGTGCAAGGGCCGATTCTTGAACTTGAAGGTGATGAATCAATACTTTTTGGATGATTGGCAGGGAAAAGACGAGAAAAATCACACTGACAGCGATTGAGTGATGCAAGAATGCGATGAAAAAGCAATAAGTGTTTGTGATGGGCCCGGGCGGGAATAGAACGGCATGGGCAAGACGTAACCGAAAGAAGTCGAACGAAGAAAAAACGAACAAGACAACAAACTATCGACTGGACTCTGTGTATGTTGCAGGGGTGAATTGAGCGACAAATCAAAAAATACACGTTGAATGAATACGTAGCAGCGTGATAAGAAAATAAGCACAAACGTAGCTGCAAACATCGTCAACATGGACTTGGTCGTTCTAGCTAGTCCGTGCTTATTATGCCTCGTTGGTTTGCCCCCGGCTGATCCAGACTATCGTACCTACTCGGGCTTGGTAGCAAAATCATTTTCATCTTCATGGCACAACAGCCTGCGACAACGGGCTTGCTTGCCAGTAAACATAGTGGCACCTCCTCCAGTTGCTGTTTGGTAACACAGATGGGACATCCATTCCCTCGTCATCCGATGCCTTCACCAGAAACCTGATTTCCTGGAAGAACCACTTCATTATTCGAGAGAAGGCCAGATAGTTCTCACTGACCCAGCCACCAAACTTCCCCTCCCTGAAGTCCTGCAAGGGGAGCCACTCCAGATTCAGGTCTCTAAGTTTCTCGCTGAAGCTTGGATGCAAGGATGCAAATTCGATTGTTCTCGACATCTTGCTTCGATACGGTGGCTGAATGTCTTCCTAAGTAACTTGAAAGTGTGTTTGCCTTGCTATGGTAAGGTCGCACGATTTATTTGCTCAGCTGGCTTTGCACAGGCGCTGACTATCGAGGTGCTACCTGGCTGGACTGGCCAGGGCGCCTGAGCACTGTATCGTGCCGTGTTCGGAGGAGCGAGCTTTTGCGGCCATGCTTAGACCTTGTTGCTTCCTGGGCTACGACCGGCAGCAACCATGGGCTCGCTCGACAATGAAGCAACTTGGCTTTCGTAAATATCGCCCATCCAATGAAACCTGGTTGGGCTGGCCGCGGCAAATGACGACGACTGGGACTCAAGGTTACCGGTACTACTCCTGTGTGCAAAGCGATCAAGTGGGTTCCTAGCTGCCCGCTGCCACCACCAGGCGATGGCTCAGATGAGGCAGACGACAAGAAGTGGCCTGGCTTCTTTGGGCTAGTAGCCTACGGACGGTATGCTTGCGTGGGTGATTGACAATTGTTCAATCATCAGACAAACCAGTTTGATACCCCTTGTTCGTAAGCTGCTTCTCGCCTGACTGGTTCTTGACACAGCCAAGCGAGTTGGCATACTCTCTCAAGAACTTGAGTTAACGATGGAAGCTTGAGATGCTTCGCACTCATCATGCATCAACCCAGACACTGCCTCCTGGCTACTACTAGCTACCTAGAACTGGCAATTGCAAAAACTTATCCAGTCAACTGAGTCAGCATAAAGGGGGCTACATCCATCACGCATGGTGGTCTGAGCAGTCTGAGCCATCCAGCTAGTCTACTACCAGGTACCTAGTAGATGGAGTGAAATTGGGAGCTGCCACCGGTACCGGTACCGGTACCGGTGGCTACGTAACACACCAACACCACAAAAACATGAAGACTGACTCACAGTACTACTAGCTAGGTAGCTAGCACCATAGCTCTTGCAACCTTGGACCTTGGACACGTACGTAATGGTACTGCCTGCAGCTGGTCGGGAAGCACAAGAACAGCTATTAATATGTCACACGTACAAGAACTTAGCGCCCGAAATCCTTGCCGAGTGACTCAGTCATGGATGTGTATGTCCTTCGAATGTTCCATCAGCTGATTCGGAAACTGGATGGGAAAGCAAGAGATAGAGGGAAAGGGTTCTAGATGTCCCTTGGGCCTTGCTCTCATTCTCTCATAATGTCTCCTGACGAACTACGATCAAACTTGTTAATCCTCTGAGGATAATTGGAATACCGAAAGTGAACCAAGATGACCAAGTTGAAGTTGTTTAGCCTCTCACGCTTAACCAAGTGCCTCCATGACCGTCCTCCACTCTGTTCCAGATCCTGAATAGATAAGGAGAATCGAGGTCTTGCAAGAAGGCTTGAGACCCTGATGAACGACATTAAATCTCCTCCATCTCCTTGAACCACGTCAAAGCGAATGGTAAACTTCACGGGTACGTGGCATCAGTGCACGATCCGAAGTTCACGCTGCAAAGTTCGCATTCATTCATCCCTCCTTCAACTGCAAACTCCGCCCAACCTTTTATCTTCTCCAACTCTCTTCACAATCTCCATAAAAAGACAAAACCACAAAACCAATTGACCAACCACAATACCATCATCATGTCCCAACCAAATCCTCCTCAGCACTTTATCTGTCCCATGACATTGGAAGTCATGAAGCATCCTTACAGGCACCGCCAAACAAAATTCAACTTTGAACGAGACAGCATCCTGGAATGGATGTACTTTGGAAATGCTACATGCCCTCTCACTCGACGACGACTGCATCCGGACGACTTTGAAGAAAATGACGAATTGCGCCAAGAAATCAAAGAATGGAAGACACGTGAACAAAGAAGCGAGGACACCAATGTTGACTGCTGCAAGGACTGCGAAGACTTCTTGACGGTCGCCCCACGGAAAACTCGACCACACAAAGAGATGACAAGTGCACGAGAATCGCACATTTTGAATCTGAGAAACAGAGTACTGCTCAAGAGAGACGAACGAATCAGGGCATCAGGCGTAGCAGTCTAATAAGAAACTAGCCATCTTAGTACAAAACTTGCATGTCGTCTACCGGCTGCTGTTCTGTCAGGCTAGCTGACTACGATATATCAATGAAGGGTTTGACACCAGATGAACAAGATGGGTCCTCTAAACCTTTATAGATACGCTGTACAAACAGCTAGATAACCACTAGACGATTTCAGCAGGGCCGACGCCGCCTACCGTATCAGAGATCTGGATTGCTGGCATCCTCCATTTCCTTCTCGCTGATGGAACTGATAACACTCATGTTGGTGCTGCCTCGTCGATTGAGTCCGCCAGTCGAACCGGCCGACCAACCAGTCGAGAAGGACGCATTCAACGCGTCCATTTGAGCCAACGAAGTCTGTAACGCCAACAGGGCACCTTGGAGAGTGTGTGTGCTTCTTCGTCGGGCATTGCCAAGGTTTGACGGGGAGATCCCTGAGATAATCGGGGGCAGAGAGGTTTCTTCGTCTGACATGTACCCAACATAGAAGTTGCTCTTTTTCCCGACTCTCTTCTCGAGAAAGAACGCCTCTACCAGCCCTTTGCCTTTACATTTAACCTTCCCTCGACTTTCAAATTCAAAGTCCTCCTTGGAGACACATTCGACTACCGTCCGTGTTACTTGGACCTGGGATCACGAGCGACAATATCAGGAACACGGCGAATTGAGCACCAAAACAGAAAACAACCAACCAACGTAGGCTAATAACTTGACGTGACTTACTCTGGAAGGCATACCGGTCGATTCCATCCGACTAGCCAGATTTACAGAGTCTCCCCACAAATCATACAAGAATCGCGACGTCCCCACCACTCCAGCGACCACCGGCCCTGTATTGATGCCAACTCGCAAATCGAGCTTGTTGGTGGGATTGTCGCCATTGAATTCGTTCAGAGCATCGATCATGTCCAACGAGAAGTGGCACATCGCTGCAGCAGCATGGTCAGGGTCGTTATGGTAGCTGGGGATGGACGTTACCATGTAGCAGTCTTCATCAGAGCAAAGAAACTGCGTGAGTTGTGCCAAGCCAAGCAAACGATGCAACAAACTTGTGGCGCTGTGGTGTCGTCCGCAGACGGTTGCAAGGACGTGGCTGCTCTGTAGACTACTCACCTCCGATTGTCTTGACCTTGTTGAGGCCGTAGCGGTCAACAAGCGTGTCAAACCTCGTAAAGAGATCATTCAGCACCTTGACGAGATCCACCGGTGACATGGCTACGAGAAATACAGAACCGAGAAGTGTGTGAGAGAGAGCAATAAACTTATGCATTCCGTGGAGGCAATGTCAACGATTTAGTCTTACAGGCAGACATAGCAGCTGTAGGGAACGCAAAAAAGATGAGATGAGAACAAACAATACAGTGGCATGCACGTTCAGAAGAAAGTAATCATCTTGGTCTTACTGAATCCAACGATGTCTACATGAGCAAAACAACATTTGGAGCAAAGTGAGTCAATCATGTTGTGCCGCCGAACGGAGATATGTAACTGTACGTACCAGCAAAGAGAATTGTAGCCTTCTCGTGGTGATCGGCAATGTGTTGTGGGTCTATCTTGAGACGCGACGCAATCTCTTCAGGAAGCATATTGCACAGTAGCTCCTCAGCAGCACGAATTTCGATCTCCAACTCAGTTGCCTTTTTCTGGTCGGTCATGTCACGGACAAAAGCAACTAACAGTGGCTCCTCGTCCTCAGTCTCAATGCGTTCAATGCCCAAGACAAGAGGGAATTCAGACCCATCTTTCCTTCTGCCATACACTTCACGCATAGACCCAATGATGTGAGTTTCCCCAGTTTCCCTATATGCTGCTAGGTAGTCATCATGAAATTCCGCATGGCCACCTGCTCGAACCGGAAAAGCAAGCAAGAGAAGCGTCAGAAAAAGCGAGCACGATCAATGTTGCGAGCAGCGTCCCACCAACCAAGTCTGTGGTGAATCTTACCTCCAACAATCATCTTGATATTTTTACCCAGCAGCTCATCAACACTGTCGTACCCAAATGACGTAACAGAAGCTTTGTTCACCATCTGGATGATTCCAAATGTGTTGAGGGCAAACATTGCATCAAATGAGGCGTCCAAGATTGCTGCTCGTATCTGTTGGTCTCGTATTGCCTTCTTTTGCAAGCTCTCTGCAAGTTTGCGTTTGGTGATGTCGCGTATGAAGGCAACCATCAGTGGATTGTCTGAATCATCCCTCTCAACCCTTTGTATTCCCACCACAGCTGGGAATTCAGTTCCATCCTTCCTCCTGGCAGACAGCTCCCTGAGAGTCCCAATCAGCTTGGCTTCTCCTGTCTCTTTGTATCTTCTCAAGTATTCATCATGGAGCTTGCTGTGGCCACCACCTACAATAGAGTTGACGTTTTGACCAACCAATTCCTCCTCTGTATCATAGCCAAAGATGCTCAGCGCTGCTTTATTGACCATCTCAATCTTGCCAGCGAGGTCAATGGCAAACATAGAGTCAAAAGCAGCATCAAGAATTGCCGACCGCACTTTCTGGTCCTGTTGAGTCTTTTTCTGCAGCGTGATATCCCTGATGAAAGCCACCATCAGTGGATTGTTTTTGTCATCTCGTTCCACTCTCTGGATGCCAATCACAGCAGGGAACTCACTGCCATCCTTCTTTCTGGCTGAAAGTTCCCTCAGGGTCCCTATGAGCCGGGTTTCACCAGTTTCCTTGTACCGATTCAAATACTCATCATGGAACTTGGCATGGTCACCACCTACGATGCATTTGACATTCTGGCCAACCAAATCAGAGGGGAAGTCATAGCCAAACTTGGCTAGAGCAACCTTGTTGACCAACTGAATTGTTCCTTGCAAGTCAATGGCAAACATGGAATCAAAGGCTGCGTCTAGAATTGCAGACCTGATTCGCTGGTCTTCTTGAGTCTTCTTCTGCAGGGTGATGTCACTAATGAAAGCAACCATCAGAGGATTGCTTTTGTCATCACGTTCAACTCTCTGGATGCCAAGCACTACAGGAAATTCACTGCCATCCTTCTTTTTGGCTGAGAGCTCCCTTAGAGTCCCAATCAGCCTGGCTTGTCCAGTATCTTTGTAGCGCTGCAAATACATGTCATGAAACTGGTTGTCAAGGCCTCCAACAATGCACTTCACATTCTGGCCAACCAAGTCAGAGGGAGAGTCATATCCAAATGTGGTGACAGCTGCCTTGTTGACCATTTGAATTGTGCCAGTAAGATCAATGGCGAGCATAGAATCAAAGGCAGTATCAAGGATTGCAGCTCTGATTCTCTGATCTTCCAGAGTTTTCTTCTGCAGACTGATGTCCCTGATGAAGGCCACCATCAGTGGATTGTTCTTGTCATCTCGCTCAACTCTCTGTATACCAAGTTGAGCAGGAAACTCTGTGCCATCCTTCTTCTTGGCTGGGAGCTCTCTTAGGGTCCCAATGAGCCTTGTTTCTCCAGTCTCCTTATAGCGTTGTAAGTACATGTCGTGGAACTTGCTGTGGGCTTCTCCAACAATAATTTTCACATTCTTGCCAATCAAATCTGACGGTGAATCATAGCCAAATTGTTCGACTGCAGCCTTGTTCACCATTTGGATGGTACCAGTCTGATTGATGGCGAACATGGAATCGAAAGCAGTATCAAGGATCGCAGCTCTGATTCTCTGATCTTCATCAGTCTTCTTCTGAAGACTGATGTCCCTGATGAAGGCCACCATCAGCGGATTGTTCTTGTCATCTCGCTCCACTCTCTGAATACCAAGTTGAGCAGGAAACTCTGTGCCGTCCTTCTTCTTGGCTGGGAGCTCTCTTAAGGTCCCAATGAGTCTGGTTTCTCCAGTCTCCTTGTACTTCTGCAAGTACATGTTGTGGAACTTGCTGTGGGCTTCTCCAACAATACACTTCACATTCTGGCCAACCAAATCTGAGGGCGAATCATAGCCGAATTGTTCGACAGCAGCCTTGTTGACCATTTGGATGGTGCCGGTTAGATCAATGGCAAACATGGGATCAAAGGCAGTATCGAGAATGGCAGACCGTATTCTCTGGTTTTCCTCAGTCTTCTTCTGCAAAGAGACATCCCTAATGAAGGCCACCATCAGTGGATTGTTTTTGTCATCTCGCTCGACTCTCTGGATGCCAATCACAGCAGGAAACTCTGTGCCGTCCTTCTTTTTTGCTGGGAGCTCCCTGAGAGTCCCAATGAGCCGAGTTTCTCCAGTTAAATTGTAGCGTTTCAAATAGTCATCGTGAAACTTGCCATGTGCACCTCCAACTATGCACTTTACATTTTGTCCAACCAAATCAGAGGGTGAATTGTAACCAAAACGTTCCACAGCGGCCTTGTTGACCATTTGAATTGTTCCTTCCAAGTCAATGGCAAACATGGAATCAAACGCGGTATCTAGAATGGCCGACCTGATTTTCTGTTCCTGTATGGCCTGTTCCCGGAGTCGCTCCGCCTCCTTTTGTTTGGTGATATCACGGATGGACGCAAAGTAGAGGATTTTCTCGGCGTTGGACTTGCTTTCCATGTGAATGACTTCAATAAAGATAATGCATGGGAATTCGGAGCCATCCTTTCGTCGTCCCGATACCTCACGAAATGATCCAATTAAACTTCGGATCTTGGTTTCCCGGAATTTCCGGAGGTAGCCATCGTGAAATTTGGCATGCCCGCCACCAACGATAATGTTGATATTCTGACCCATCAGTTCTTCTTTGGATTCGTAACCAAATTGTTCTACAGCTGCCTTGTTGACGTGTTTGATGATACCCATTTGGTTCACAGCGAAATTGGCATCAAAGGAAGCTTCGAGCATGGCTTGTTGAATCTGGCGTGAATTGTGGCGGGAGAAGTAGTCGGCACTGCCCGAGGAATGGCTGCTGCGAGAGCTATGAGAGCCGACACTGGAATCGTCATCCGAAACAGCATCATCACCAGCTACCTCTGCAATTTCTCGCTTAATGGTCTTGATCAGAGCGCTCACGGCATCAATTCCAAATTCGTCCACAATCTCACGAATCTCGCCTTCCACCTCCACCGGCAACTTGCCCGCGAGCGTCGCCATGGTGGGAATTCTACCCGTACTGGCAGCATTTTCGGTCGCCATTCTTTGCCAACCGAAGCCAATATGGCTTTGCCAAGTACCGTACCGGTAGGGGGTAAGATAGATCTGGGATGTACTACTATCTATCTCGCAAGCTGATGTTAGCTAGATTGGATCCTGAACGAATGTTAGCTAGATTGGATCCTGAAAGCTATCCTGAATGAGTGTAGCTCGAGATCTTGGAATATCTGGAGGTTTTGGTTCTGCTGATGCTGCTCGGCTCCGGTAACGGTACCATGGTACTATTACAAAGTACGGTTGTAGAAGGGCATTAGTCCGCTATCCACTTAATTAATACTCAATCTAATTGAATGCGTTAAAGAATTTACTTCAGCATTACTGTATGAAGGGGCAGTCGGTTGACTCGGTTGTCCCCAATGGGCTTTTAATAAAATGCAATGTCAACAAGCTCCTGTTTGATAACGTCTTGTGATAAGTGAAGACCTCCTCTTGGTTGCAGCGTTGCAGCTGTTTGTAACTCTAAAACAGATGATGGCAGCAGAAGGAGAACGCGAGAACGCTTCCAATCTTCCAATGCTCAGTTCACCGTTCACAGCAGTACCAGGTACGCATATCTTATATCTTACAAGGATCTTCTGACAGAATTTGAGAGATCCTGGCTCCTGGTGATGTGGTGGGATTTTACGTAGGAAATCTAGGTACCCCCCATGGCACAGCAATGCGAAATCCTCATGGGAGGGGTACCCCCCTCCCTCTATGGTGTGCAAGCAGCATCAAACCTAGACCTCTGTGGAAACGTCATTCGTGCCAAATTACTTAAGAGACGATACACCGTGGCATAGGAGACGATCGAAATGATTTAGGAGACGAAAGCAATCGTCTCCTATATTTACGAGACGATTCAGTAGGAGACATTCCAATTAGGAGACGATCGTTTCGAAATAGGAGACGATCCTAAAGATTTAGGAGACGATACCATACAGTTTACATGGTACGCTTAGGAGATGATCCGTTGAGAATAGGAGACGATCCGTTGAAAAGAGACGAAAGATTTAAGAGACGATCCGTTTCGTCTCCTATTTTTAGGAGACGAAATCCTTTAAATAGGAGACGATCAAAAGGATTTAGGAGACGATCGGTAGCACGACTCGAGTTTCCACAGAGGTCCAGAAACCAAAGGTAGGGTACCCCCCCCCCTAAATCCTGCAGAGCCTAGAAAATCCAGTGTTTTCTTGTAGGGTTATCTTTCAGCAGATAGTGACCGTACCGGTAGTAGGTGCAGGAATCTGGGTGCTTGCAGATAAGTATGATGCTTGTGATCAGCTTTATACATTGATCAGGCAGGAAAATTTCATTGGAGAGGACGCAACCTACAAGCAATGAAATTTAGGATGTCCTAGAGGTCAATAGCTTGAAAATGCTATGGATGGGTAAGGTTATACAGTGGATGTTTGAACAAGCTATGAAAATACTAGGCTGATACTAGCATAGAAGCTACCCCTCCCCTTTCTGGTACATATTCTACGCGGGTCTACGTAGAGCAAGCAGCAAAGTCAAAAGGGCCAAGGGGGGGGGTACCCACCCCTTTATCCTGCAGAGTGCAGAGGAGATACCACCGGTCCTTGTGATGGATGAAGAGCTGCTTGCTTTTCGAGTTCTCCAGTTCTAGCTAGCTGAGCTATTTATTTCACTTTGCTTTGTTGTTTCGCTCCAATACTTTTCGAAGAACGAAGCAGAAGACACCAAAGAGTAAAAGGAAAATGGCAGTCGGTTGCATTCGTCTTGAAAAACCCCCACTTCCAGATCCGCCACCTCTACGCCAAGTGCATTGGTTTCGCGGCGGAATGAAGACAAACAGCCATCCAGCTACCAGTACTTTCCCCTGGTCCAAACGTCTGGCGACCCTTCAACGTCAACTCAAAGATCAAAAAGAGATTGGGTCCTTCTTAATGGACCGTGTTCAAGTCCGCAGCAGCCAAGACAGTTCCTGTCGATCGGCGACGTCCTTTGCCTTGCTGTTGTTGCAACGATTGGAGGACGACATTCTCAATGAAATCTCAGCTTTCTCGGGGGTTCCGATCCACCTTTCCTGTTCTTGCTGCAGCAATAGCCCTACTCTCATTTTTTCACACCAAGGCAAAGAGATCAGTGTAGAAAGTGACAAAGCTGAAGCTGAAGAACCAATTGTGACACCCGCTACTAGCAGTACTTTCAGTTGTCTTTCCGCCGTTAGATATTCTGACTGCACATCTGGTAGCAGTGGCAACTATTCGTGGTGTAATGCGTTAGTTGGGAGTGGGTTTGTCAGTTTGGCTTGCACCGAGACAGGCCTTTCGTATGGGGATACTAGTAGATCCTTATCGTGGCAAGAAATTAAAAAATTTGCTGTTTCTATGGAATGCAAAACCGAAGGTGAGTTGCTTATTATAGAACTTGTACGGTACTCGCATTTCTGCGAATTGGTTTACGATGTACCCACTCATTACTATTAATAATGGACGCAACACAACGCAACTTGAAACACAACACCAGATCAGGAATACGCTCAAGTGGTAAAGATGCGGTCGGGGGGCCGGTGTGTCTGCGTTCGGTTTGATGGTGTGACAAAGTTTGGAACGATTTCTACAGCTATGCATATGAGGTCGGGCCCCTGGAAAATTAGAGCTGGAGATATCGTTCTTGTGGAAAAATTACCCAAATACAAAGACAATGTCGTGTTCAAATACACTGCTAATCAAGCTTGTGGTTTAAAAAGCCATATGACGCACCGGAATCCTCGGCCAAGTTTTTGACGAGGTTTGTGTTGGACTTTGTGTTGGACGTTGTGTTGGACAAGGGGTCTACGCGGGATCACACGAGTATAGAATTTACGATGGGAGATGCAGATGCTTCCAAGCTTTCCCAATTCATGCTTGAGAAACAGCAGTCCTCTGACTCGAATCTATGTGAGTGACTCAGTCTGCACGCCAGGAAGAGTCCTCCCTGAATGGAAGGATAAGCGGTCTAAACCCAAAAGAACAATCGTCCGAATTCTTGTTTGATTTGCTTTTGATAAATCCTCTTGCCTCTTTCAAGCTGCAGCTCCAGATGGCACAGAAGAACGAAAGCGGAAACGGGGAACGCACCCAACAGCCCAAGCCAGCAGGGTGCCTTGCATCTAAGGTTGAAGGAGGCAGCGTTGAGCTGAGTTACACCGTGTTCATCGCATTGCACTTCAAGAAGCTGCACCATGTTGACGTACTCCGTACCCAGGTACCAGCACCTGGTACCGGCAGAGGGTATGTAGTTGCCCCCCTCTTGTCCACACGCTAGCGGGCTACCGTACTTAGCAACGTACCGTATTAGCTGGCTGCAAGAGGTATTCGGATGCCAAAGCCATCAATAAATCTTGGTAATTGGCCACACTTCCACCGCGCAAGGAGCTGCACCATCTGGCTGATGAGATAGATTACCAGCACCTGTAGATAGATGGTACCAGGTAGCCCCCCTTGTCCACACGCAACTGGGACTTCGTAGCTAGCTAGAAGTGTAAATTAGCTAGCTGCAAGAGCCAAAAATCGTAGTCTCATAGATCCTGATGTACTTGGTTTAAAAATAGATATTGCGCAATATACAGGTTGTCGCGCTTTTCTTTCTACTGGTACAAGACTCCTTTGTAACTCAAAGGTACCTGGGATCGAAGCGTGCAAAATCCAATTATGGCTTCCTCCAGGTATTCGCTATTGACTTTCAGGTTTCAGGACACGGACCTGCACGGCCACATCTTGAACCACAATCTCTCCTGTCTTGAACTTGGAATGCGCATCATCTGCGGCTTTGGGACTGCGGAAACGAACCACTCCTGTTGGGTTCGGCAAATAAATGAATACAGACGGTGAGCAAGGAGTACGGCAGCAAACACTCCAATTCTCCACCATGAGCAGCAAGCATGCTATTCACAATAAGAATACGTACCAAAGCCACGTTGGTTGGATGCCACAGCCGCATCGTCAATGTGCCCAAAGCGCCGAAAGGCTCGCAATACGTCGTTGGCTCGGACCGTCTTTCGCATCCCCGATAGAATAATCGTCGTAGGAGGAAGATCGTTTGCCAGTTGCAAATTCAGCAAAAAGGCGCATTCATGAATGGTCCTCGAGGCGTCGTCTGGCCCTAATATTCCTTGCCGTACGCTTGTGACCATCTTGTTAAGCATCAACTGCATAAAGGTTTGTCTGTAGCGCACGAGAAGAAAGAGGAGAGGAAAAGATGTGAGGTGTCTCGTTCGCATCTACCTGAAGCCCGTCCGTCGTCAAAAGAGCAGCTTCCAACAACTTACTTGTCATCGACCGACGAACCCTCGTTTCGTTTCATCCAGTCCGTCACCTCCCACAATGCATTGGCTTCAATCTGCATGGGATCCGACGCACCCGCCCAGAGCAACCCCGACGCATTGTCGCCACCGGGCATGAGTGCCATGGTCAGTGCCTGACTCATCATACCATCCATGCCAGTGACATTGTCTTCCACATCCGATCGCATCTTTTCCAGATTCTGATCCTTGAATCGATCCAATTCATCCAACGGAGACAGCTTGGAATGTCGTTCCAACGGATCATCCACTTCGGCCACCAAATCTTCTTCTTCGTCGTCATCATCATCGCCTTGTCCATTCGACAGCAGCGACGGATTGGACAAGATGGATTCACTGGTACTGGGAGACATGACCAGATTGTTGCCACCACCGCGCTGCATTTGGTAATTGGCCATTCCATCTCCGGAACTACTCAGTGGACTTGTCGCTACCGTGACATCGTATCGACCGCCTCGACTGGTTTCTACCGTTCCATGCTTGTTCCGTCCTCGTGCACCACTGCGTGACGAATGTTCTTCGGCCGCATTGGCCGACATGTTTTCCATGAGCAACTGTTGCATTTTGGATTGTCGTGTCTTGTAGAACCATGCCATGCCGGCCAAACTCGCCAGTGATACAATGGCCACCACGATAATGACAATAATGAGTGTGTTTTCATTGTTGCTACCATTGCTTCCTTCGCCGTCATTGTTACCAGTCCCATCGGCTCTCGACGCAATCGCTTCGGTCAAGTTCTCATTGAAAAAGCTCGGCCCCAAGGTCGGACCATCGGTCGGTGGCGGTCGCTCTGTAGGTTCCAGCGTGGGAAAGTAAGTGGGCTGTGGTTCGGTCGGAAAGTTGGTGGGACTTTCACTGGGCATTAACGACATGGTTGGTGCCGACGACTTGGTAATGAATGTAGTGACTTGTTGGATTTGCAATTCATTGCTGGCATTGAGATGCAATATCTCTGTCAACATGGGATTGAACCATGCCGCACTATCGGCGAGATTATAGAGGAAGAGCGTGGTAAAGTTTTCGAGGTCTTCACTGTCGGACGTGTACCTCATTCGAAATGGGTAAATGTACGTGTGCCGGACGGATGAATCGGATGCTTCTTGAATGCGCCGTTGATCGAGTATAGTATTGGTTGTAGTAGTTGTTGTTGATGATGTCGTGGTTGTATTGGTCGTGTTTCTCTTGTTGGCGGATATCCATCGCTTCCATTGTGATCTAGTTTTTCGCCACGACGGTGGCAATAACGTCGCATTCTTGGTAGTACTACTATTCGTTTGTTTTGGTTGTGGTTGTCTCCGTAATCGCCGTCTGGTTTGAGGTGCCGGCGTTGCCGTGGAGATCAATTCTTGTTGCGTCGTTGGCGCCAGCGTAACAGGAATGGCTTCGACAATGAAGGATTCGACAAAGAATGTACATTCGGAAACAACCCTGTCGACCGCATCGGGTGCAAACACCGCCGTTCGACTGACCATTTGGGCACAAAACTCTTCTTCTTGTGATTCGTTCATGTATCCTGCCGTAGGCGGCGCAATGACGGTAAAGTGTACTTCGACATTTTCTAGTTCGGTTTGATTCGAGACAAAGGTGGGAAACGCCGATGGCGACAACGTGGGCGACAAAGAGGGTGCTTGTGAGGGTGGATTGGATGGGAGCGCCGAAGGTGATGATGACAAGGAGGGTGCCGCGGAGATGGAAGGAGCCGCAGAAGGAGCAAAGCTAGCCGATGGAGCCGCGGATGGGCTTGTAGTGGGAGCATCCGTAATGGCCGCGGTTTCGTTCATGTTGACAATGGCGAGTCGTTCGTACGGAAGGACTCCTATAATCTGTGCCAGTCCAATACTAATATTTTCTTTGTTGGTGTTGACATACTCTTGCAACTCTCCTGGTCGATCGGTGAGATTGGCTCTTGGTGAATTGGATCGATAGTGCATTTGGAATGAATATCGAAAGTGGTGTGTTCCATTCAAGCCAGTGAGTTGTTGTTGTTGTTGTAAGAATCGTCTCTTTTTCTTCTTCTTGTTGTTGCTCAACTGTTTGGATGACAGTGTTGCGTTTCGTTTGATGGATGGTATTGTTGTCGTGTTGTTGTGCTTTCCTTTTGTCTGTTTTGCTTGCCGTAATGCGAATTGCTTGTTCCACTGAACAGACTCTAACCATCTTTGTCTGGCATTATTATTATTATTGTTTGACTGTTGTGGTGCTCTAGTAACGGGAGCACTGGTGGTTGTGGTGGTAGTGACTGTTGCTTGTGGTGTCGGTTGTTGAGGTTGTGCCGTGGCAGCTTCCACAACGACTGTTGGTGCTGTTGGGAATATAGTACTACTTGTAGTAGCCATGGTTGGTGCCACGGTGGGTGCCTCTGTGAGTACCGAAGGAAAGAAGATGAGTTCATCTCCATCGACAAAGAACCCTTGTTGTAGAAAGTAGCAGTCCACGACAATGAGTTCGTAGACATCTCTCGGCAAGTAATTCCGTTGCATGCGTCCCATGAAGAATTCAAAGAGCGCCACTTCGGTTTCGTTCATGTGTCCTTCTTCTAGTAGACCACTGCGAATGTCAAAATCCAAATGAAAGTACGCATTGATTTCACCGGGATTTTCCAACTCCACGGTTGGTGCGGTCAAGATCTGTTCCAAGACAGGTGCCAGTGTCGCCAGGAACGTGGGCGTCGGTTCAGCAGTCGGTTCCGGCGTTGGCTCCATGGTCGGTTCAAATGTCTCCACTTTTGTTGTTGTTGTATTGCTCATGTCGTCCGCACTACAGCGATGACTGCCGCTTAGTAGCAACAGCAGCACGCCCACATACTGGACCAGCATGGATGTCCTCACTCGTCGTCTTCTGGATCGTGTTCGTTTCATGCCGCTTCTACCACTTCTACTATTTATAGGAGGTTGTCGTCTTTCTATAATATGCAGATGATGATGTATTGACATTGATGTCTGCTTGTTGTGTGCGTGGCCTTGGGCTTGGCAAGTCATGATCGTACTCAAACTAGTACTCTCTACTCTAGTAGTATGAAGAGAGAAAGAGAGATCTGGATATACTCAGCGTAGTGAAGTGTAGTGAAGTGCAGTGTGCCGTTCGTAGCGTAGCGTGGATCGGATAGAATACAATATGTATATCTGTCTGTCACGACAATAGAGGTTCTCAACTCAATCAGTAACGTAACGTAAGCAATGGCAATCGCAACCGCTCTAGCAATCCACTATCAGATGAAGAGATGAAATATTCTATCTTTTGGTCTCTATTCGGCCAGCCAACAAAATATCATACAAAAGAAAGCCTTGCCTTGGACAACAACCACAACACTACTAGCTCTACTAGACGACTGTACAGCTATCTCATCAACCACCACACAGGTACTGTAACCATAGCGGCACAAGCAAAAAAAACAGACCCGGCACCACCTTCCATCCTTTCCTCTTGCATGACACAAAAGGACATGCTCGCTTGATTGGCACGGCTGTAAGCCATAAACGCAATCTTTTGCTCTCACGATTACAGAATGTTCTATTTAACGTCTTAACCGTCCACAAACTAAGTACAGAACTACTTTTAAATGTGATTGATAGCCTTATTCTTAATGTTCCCCTTGTATCCAACCAAAGACCAGCCTCTCGGGCTTCTCTCGCACCGCAAGGCCGTTCTTCCTTCAGGCAATGGGATTGATTGCCGGTACCATACCGTACATGACATTATAGTCTGGCTTCCGCCATCTAGCTTGAGCTAGCTAGCGAGCGGAAGTGCAGATAGATAAATCAAGGCAGCTACTCTTACTGTCTAACCGCCAAGATGCTTTGATACCAGCAGCTAGCTAGCGGTACTAGCTAGTAGGCTAACCTGTGGACTTGCTTTGCTTCCGAACCAATCATTCAATCTGGTCTTCTTGCCACCGCCAACACCACGCATGGTTCCAACCAGCTCATTCAAGTTTTTTTTGCCTCTACAGGATCAATGACCCAGAGATCCTTCACTCGGAACTTTCTAGTCACAGAGGATTGTTCCAAAACAATGACACACACACACACACATGTAACATCTTGATCCTTATTTATGCAATCTCTAGAGTAGCTAGCTAGCTAGAGTGAAGCACAAGGCAAATCTTTGCGGAAGCTCCGTCTCCAAACTGGCTGCAATGGACGATACCCCTCTTTTCGGTGCGAAAGTAGAGTGTCACCGTTCAATTCTTGGTGAAAGGAGCAGGACTTCTGGCTGGCTGGCTGGCTGGGTGCTGTAGCTACCGGTACCCCGTTGTCTGGACTGAGCTCCTGATGGATGAAGAAGTAAAGGCTGAACATACACTCAGGTGGCTGCAGTGGTGCTGAAGAGATGGGCTAGAAGCTCTCGAGAAAAAAAGCATGCTAGCTACTCAGGCTGGTACAGTACCACTCGTCTTGGTGGTTTTGTATGTTGCTTTGCCATAGATAGCTCTCTGCTAGCTAGCTAGCTAGTAGCTACATCCAGAATGTGAGAAATCGCTCTAAACATGGTATAGCAGGCAGTCCGAAAAGGGTACAGAAAGGGGCTATGTTTCTATCAAGTGACAGTCTATTTTCCCTGTAGCATCACTTCTATTGCTACATAAAACTGCTGTAGAAAGCAACGTCACCATTCTCGCCCAGCACAGCCGCTACCGGTAATCCTGCTTTAGGTACCGCAGCAGCCTCCACGCAAACGTCCAACAGTTGTTCCGCAACAGGTGCAAATTGGGATCCGCTTGATTGTTCTGAAACTCTTGAGCTTGTTGAACAAGAAGCTGTGCGGGAGAATGATCTAGTGGAAGTGTAGCCATGTCGTCTCGAGGTGCGAAACAACGAAGTTCTCCTGGTACAGCTTTCAGTGTCAGCAGCCGCAAGAGCGTCGCTGGTTCCGTGGCCTGTTGGGGCACAAAATCAAATTTGTACTTGCTCTCTTCTTGTCGTTCTTCTACCGGTAGTACAATGGCTACTTGCACATGAAGTGGCAACCAGGACGGACCCCCTATCAACGGACAGCATTCCAGCTGAATGGGGCTATCCTTGGCAATCAAGAAACGGGGCTTGGCAACGATTCGAGTGGGCTGTTGCAGAGCATTCGATACAGTGGGAAATGATATTGTAGGCAGCAGCAGAGTCCAACAGAACAGCAATACCATCTTGGTAGTCGGCATCTTCGGTTTTCCGTAGTAAAAATATTGAAAATGACGTTGTCGGCGTGTTGGCGAGTTGATGCATCACTCGGCATGAAATTCAGCCTCTAAATTTATAGCTTTTATGGAGTTGGTGTGGCTAGTTTAGTTTAGGGCAGCCAGTCCAAAGACAAGCAGTCATTTGTGTCCACAGAGAGGATCCTCGGGATGGATCTGACGGGGTGCATCACAATATGCAGGCGTAATAACTTGATATCTATGCAATCTAGAGTGTACTCGTTTACAGTGGAGACTATCTATATTGGTGACACGGTGATGAGGGTGATGACAGGACATGTTTCGTGACACGGCAAGGAACGTGCTTGCAGGTCGTTGGTATCAACCAACATCCCAACGTTGCTGGAAGTGCAAACGGAGAGTGGCCCCGCATGGGCAGGTGGGCAAACCACACGGAAAGTGGCTTAGCTGGCCCCCCACACATGAAAAAGTTGCTTTGGGAGGATGTGTCTCAGTAGTCTAGCACTAGCTAACTATTGAGCGGGGAAAGTAGCTTCATGGTAACTCCCACATTCTTCACCACAACTTCGTCCGTGTCGTGTTGTTCCATGGCAGCCATGCTCGACTTTTGGTTCTTGAACCGAACGATACCTGAACAATTAAGAAAATGAAGGCATCAAGATCGTGGATCAGTCATCGCACTGAGCTACTAGCAAGAGAGCCACCCAGACACACGTATTTGTAGACTTACCGAACCCTCGTTGATTCGATGCCACCGCGGCACTCTCGATATTACCAAACTTTTTCAGCACTCGAATGATATCAGCCGTAGTGGTCGCCTTGTGCATACCAGAGAGGACAATTGTGGTCACGGGAAGTTGATTGGCAAGCTTGAGACCCAATAGAAAGGCACACTCATGGATTGTCCGCGATGCATCTTCCGGGTCTACAATGCCCTTTCGGACACTTGTCACCATCTTGTTCAACAAGCCTTGCATATAGATATTTCTGTGGGAGTTAGTTGAACATCAGCAGCACGAGAGTAAAAGGAAGGAATGAACAGCATGGTTTAGAGACAGACGGAAGCAAAGTACCGGACACAAACATCATCTGCTACAGGGAGTCTTGCTTACTTTTCATCGTCTTCAGCGGATTCACCTTTTCGTTTCATCCATTCTGTGACTTCCCAAAGCGCGTTTGCCTCGATTTCGACTCCCGTTTTGGCTCCATGCCAATACGGTGCCGACCCCGAAGCTCCTTCGTCCATAATCAACGCCATGGTCATGGCTTGGCTCATCATGTCGTCGAGCCCTGTAACGTTGTCTTCCACGTTCGATCTCATCTTTTCCAGATTTCGATCCTTATATCTTTCGAATTCATCCAGTGGCGATTGTGTCGTATTGTCATCGGTTGTGGGTTCATCATCATTGTCGTCCGTGCTATAGTAGGGATCCTCTTCAATATCGGACAGTAACGAACCCATCATGTGCTTCTTGCTGTTGTCCTTGTCGAGTGCGGATTCCAGCTTTTGCGAATCCCCGTCCTTGGCTCCCATAGAAGAACCATTGGTCAAGTCTGAATGAAGCAGATCGTCGTCGGGACCCGAACGGCGACTTGACCCTCCCTCGCTTAAAATGTTACTTGGCGGCCCCGAGGATTGTCCCACAAGTGCGGCATCGGTACCAACGGTCGGGGACACCGAGTTGGCCGTCGTCGAGGGTGAATGAGCTGGCATTTGATAACTACTACCACCGGGGTTCTGGTAATCCATCGCAGTGGCACCCGCCGCGGCGGCTCCTTGACTGGGACGACGTTGCTTTATCAATTCTCGCATTCGTTGTCGCCGTGTTTGGTAAAAGTAAAAGAGAAAGACCATTAGCCCGGATGAAAAAATCACGACAATGACCACCACAATGGCAATGATCGTCGTGTCGCTTCTTGGAGTGCTGGGGACAAGAGTCGCCTCTGTTGAAGGACTCTTCGTGTTGCCGGGTGTCGACGTAGGAGATCCTTCCGGTGGCAAAGGGTCGGTTCCGTTCCCAGGAGGAACAGTACTGACAGGGGCCGGTGTTGGTGAAAACGTTGGCTCATCCGACAGGTAGTTGTAGGATGGCTTCTCCGATGGAGATGCGGAAGGTTCCGAAGACGGAGGCGTTGTGGAATCAAACACCACTTGGAGTTTGTTGACGGTCAAGTTTGTTCCATCATCTTCGGTAAGATTAAAGAATACATACAAATCTTCTCCGACTTCCACCGGATTACTGTTGACATAAAAATGGAGGAGGTTGGAATACGAGGTAACTTCGTATACAGCCGATTCCCACCTCATGACAATGGAGAATGTGTATTTGACGGCAGGATACTCGCCATCCTCATTGGCCTCGTCAATGGCATTTTCAATGGCAGTACCGTTCGCTTCGAATTGCAGCTCGCGCCTCCCTCGGAGTCTTGTCCTTGTAATATTGTTTTCTTCCAGGTATGCCGCCTGATCTTCCTGATTTGCCTCCAACGTTTCATTGTACTTGCTTTCTGTAGTGTCATCATCGTAAACAACCCTGCCGGTTGGCTCCAACGTGGGCGCCAGTACGGGTGGCGAACCGGGAGGAGTGGTAAAGGGAACTCGCGTTTGTGTGGGGAAACTAAATCCCAAAGACGCCACTTGTGGGCACGTCGTCATGACGTAGTCCGCGTTTTGTCCTTCTTCCACAATTTCCGGTGTCAACCCGATGAAGAATTCGCACATGAGTGCGGTATCGCGAAACAAGTGACTTGGATTGGAGACATTTTCCATGGTAAAGGTAAAAATATACTTTTGTCGTTCCGTGGAATTTGTTTCAAAGGTAGGAAACATGGAGGGCGATACGGAAGGTGCATCGCTGGGAGTCCTTGTGGGGCTCTCCGAGGGTCTCATGGAAGGAGCCATCGAAATGGTGGGTTGTAACGACGTCGAAGGTGCGTCTGAAGGAACCGTGGTCGAAGTGGGCATGGCAGATGGTTGGATACTGATGGCGGATGGTGATGTTGATGGAGCGATTGACATTGTGGTGGTGTAGTTTCTCGACAAGTCGATGAGAGCATCCTGAATCTCGTCAATGGCATCGGTAATGTAAGAGTCCGTCTCGTTGAGTGCCGCATTCGAGGAATCGCTACCAGTAGTGTTTGTGAGCGTGTCTTTAATGAGATCTGCTTCGTCCACAACGTCTTCGACCTGATCTATAGTGTTCAGAGTTGCTGCCGAGACATTTGCCGGCTGGGCTTCCGTGACAGTTCGGTAGACACCTTTTACTACGAGGACGCTGTCGTCTGGTACCTCGAGCCACAGTCTTAGTCCCAGCGTGAGTTGGTCAAACTTTTGGTAGATTGTGTCTTCATAGAAATAGGTGTAGTTTTCGACATCTACCCAGAAGGAACTATAGTTCATGTCATAGACGACTCCATAGGTCGTATTGCCAAAGAGAGAGCCTGGCGCCAAATCAATCAAACTGTCCACTATACCGGCACTTTGCCGTGTCAAGTAGGGATTCCTCCGTCGACCCAGGAGTTCTCCTTCGTAGATGGCACCTGGCATGGCAGGAGGAAGATCGGTAGGTTCGTCAAAATTCTTTTGGGTTCGGTACAGACAGTTGGTCGTCACATTCTCCACTTCTTCCAGCGTTGCGAAAGTGGGTGCAAATTCCATGGTCAAATTTCGCATAAACCAAATCAATTGTTGGAGTGCCGGAACGTCGCGAAAGGCGCCATCTCCTGTAGGACCATCCAAAGTGTAAAACAGTGTGAAACGCTGGGAGGATCTCGACAACGTGCCTAGAGACGACGCGTTCAACACACTAGTCCACACGTCCACATCCGCCGCAAGGTCACCACCATTGAGCTGCGCTTCTCCCAAGGTGGATTGTTGTGCCGACACTTGCGCCAATTGGCTAGAGAGCACCACCAGTACTAGAAGTAGAGGAGCACTCCACTTGATCAGCGTCTTTCTCATTATTCTTCTTGTGCGAAGCTTGTGACTTTTACTTTCCCTCATTATTGCTGCTTCTAGACTGTCACTCATCCTTCTTCTCCAAATCTCTCTATTGTATGTGAATGTCCTTTGCTAGCTTGCCAATAGATGTCCTCTGCGAGACCGACAAACCCAAAAGGGAGAGAGAGAAACAGCTGCCGACGAGGTGCTCGGTGTGGAAGATGATGCGCCGCCCACTCTTGCTTGCTTGTTGGTCAGGATAAATCTGTCTGCCTGTTCAATGAAATGATTGCAAGTGGCTGGAGGACCCCTCGAGATCCGCAAGAGCCGCGAAATTTTAGTCTGTGCTATCTCCAAATTTTGAACGCAGGCATGTCCTTGACAGGCGCGTCCTCAAGAGCCTTCTTTTGTTTCCTCTCATTCATGTGGTTGGCGCTTTCAAACAGGTCTCAATGTCTAACTAATAAATTAGTGGGAGTTGAACAGTGCACAGAAGACGTCATGACCACATATCCAATGCAACCGCTGGCACGTCCTCATGGGGAACACCCAAGGCTTGGTTGGACCTTTCGGATCTTGCTGACAAATACATGATGTACATGATGTACATGGAGTCTATCTACTAGCTAGTCCTTGGATATCTGTTGGATTTTGCAAGACTACAATAGATAGTCACACTCTACTCTATCTAGCTAGCTATCCTGAGAGCTCTTGCTAGTTCCACGAGCGCACTTACTTGTAGGCACGAGCAAAGAAACCGAACATAGGACCAATCCCCGACTATCCAACATACAAGACATGAACTGGCTGCCTCGAATACGGTCGAGCAGAACAGGAATAGAAAGGAGGGTGCATCCACCCCGAACTAACTTTTTCGTCCTTGCAGCTGCTGTAAAGACAGCCAAAAGGTAGTAATCTCAGACAAAGCAAACTTATCTCAACTACCATACTACCGCCGTGGGCTAACCACCTTGGCTGGCTGCGATCATCTCCATGCTTTGCTTCTGCTTGTGCCCCACTGTACATCCCCCGTGTTTATTCAATCCTCGCTGGTTGGGGTTGGCCAAAAAAAGTCCCATGCAAGACCCAAGAACCCTACAATGCATATATCTAGTTTTCATGCTGTGAGGACCATCGTAGTACTAGGGTAGTGTAAATTGCATTACGTCGCATGCAGACGAAATCTCTTCAAATGGTGCGAAACATGGCCGGTCGCTGACAGCCAGTTGGTATGTTCTCGTTGCTTGCTTGCCAGCCGTTGCTTCTTGGACTCTCCATCAGTATTTTAATACCCTACATTCCTTACAGCGTCCGTTTGGTGTGGTCGCCGGTTGGTTATCACGCCAAAAGACGAATGCTTCACGCAAGATCAGCCAACTACGCTGTAGCTAGCTAACTACATTGTGTCTAACCAGCAGCTAGCTCGCTCTATCTTCTACCATCTGAGTCGAGTCTCTCCTCCATCAGCAGTTGCTTTCTTCGTCACGTCGCTCGCCTTCACCGGTGGCAAGAGCACTGCTTCCGTCATCATTTTGACTGGCTTTGGGAACGAAAAACGCACTCTCTTTTAGAGGAGTCCTGGAGGCAACCCCCCCTTTGTAGCTATGGTGTACCCGTCATTAAGCTCGCAGAGGCATTGGGTTGCTGTTTGGGCTCTTCTGCTACGACTACATGTATGTACAGATGTGTGGAGGGCAGCAAGCTTTAGCTACTAGCTAGCCAGCTAGTACCTGGTACTGGTACATGTACCCTTGTAACAGGACCGGTACCGTACCGGGTACTGTACCAGGACCGGTACGTCGTACCAGTACCCCACCCGTGCGCCGCGTGTTGGCAGTATCTTCTGAATCATGAGTACAAGTCACGAGTGTCATTATTATTTTTTGCCGACAACGGATGAGCTGGTTATTTCCCAAAGAGAGCAACCTTGCCAAGCAGCCATTCATGCAGATTGATCATAATCCTGTGCAAGCAACAACACAACATATATACCTACATACGTCAAACAGCCTACTTGTGATATCCCTTCAAAAGAAAGAAGAATCCCACCCATCAATTACTAAAGCATAACCATGGTGCTATTCGAGTCCATCTTCGCCAGCCTGGAGGCAGAAGAGACCTTTCACCATCAGTTGGTCATGGGAGTGTTCTACATCTGCCCAGTGATCTTTTTCGTGCTGCATTATGTGATTGCGGCTCCCTGGGGCAAGACCTTCCAGACCTTGTTGGGTCCTACTATTCCGGCACCCATTGGTTGGTGTCTCTTTGAAATTCCCAATCTCCTTTGGGCCGGGTTGTGCTGCTACGATGCTTTCTCCCGCGACAAGTTGACCACGGCCAACTGCAGCTTGCTGGCACTCTTTGTGGGACATTACATCAATCGAGCCTTGATTTATCCCCTACAACTCAATGCCCACAGCAAACCCTTACCAATAGAAGTGGTCCTGATAGCTCATTTCTTCACTCAAATCAATGGCTACATTCAATCCAGAGCCATTTTGCAGTTTCAGACGTATCCCGACAATTACCTGCAACACCCACAATTCTGGACTGGAGTTGTACTCTTTCTCCTGGGGGTGGCCATCAATTGGCAATCTGATCATATTCTCCGAAACTTGCGCAAGCCGCCGCCAACCCCAACAACTTCCACTGCTACTACTGCTACTCAACAAACCAAGAGCCACTATGTGATTCCCCACGGAGGCTTCTTTCGCTACGTTTCGGCACCGCATTATATGGGAGAAATCCTCGAATGGACCGGGTTTGCCATTGCCACTCAATCCTTGGCCGCCTGGAGCTTTGTACTCTTTACATTGATCAATCTGGTACCCCGCGGAGTGGCGCATCATCAATGGTACTTGCAGAATTTCAAGGACTATCCTTTGGAACGAAAAGCCGTCATTCCGTTTGTCTGGTAATACCAAATTATATAATTATGTATGTCTAATAGCAGCAACGAATCGAATGGTAATTCTATCTATCTATCAATCTACAGGATCCATGCCATGACGAAGCAGGAATCTGCATTATGATTAGAGGGCAATTGACTCCAAATAACTGAGGTACCGTAGCCTTGGTGTGCATGCCGTCACAGTTTACGTGATACGGTACGGACAAGAGCTACCGTACGTGGGCTCTCCCTGTGAGTAGATAGCTGTTTGCATGCAAACGTTCGCACAAAAAAGAGTCTTGTCGAGATATCTCTTGTGTGGATTGCCGCACCCCTCTCCCTCTAGGGCTCTGTGAAAGCTAGCAGCATCTTGCTTTCTTCGAGAGCGACACACTGGCTCTGCTCTACTAGTAGCCTCCGGGGATAGCCTAGCCTAGACTTGGCTAGCTAGCTAGCTAGTAGCTAGAGCGTCCCCATGCGTCGATAGCGGTATCGTTGCGCCGTGCTACCCGTCAAGGGCGTCCATTCGCTGTGTTGTTCCTCCACAATGGGATCGAGTTGTGCCAGTTGTACTTGGGTGGTTCCGGCTCGTCCCATTACGGGTAAAAGCTTCGGCGTACCTCCAAACATCATAAAGTGCCATTGGGGCCGTCGTGATGGTATTCGTAGGGGAGATAGCTCGGGAGGCACTACTGATGAATCTGGTTGTTGTCGACCGTAGAGCAGTTGTCCAATCTCCATTTGGGCCTGGAACCGATTCTCCAAACAGAACCAAAAGGTCACGAGACTCATGACGACATTAAAGGAAAGTTCCAGGTAGTGCGCCGTGGATGCCCGTCCCAAGTTGTAGACACAGCAGTTCATGATGGCCACCAATAAGCAGGCTACTCCTCCTATGATAATGTACAAGGAGTCCTCATGAGTGGATTGTGGTTGTTCCGTGCTTGTTGTCTCTGGTGGTTGGATGAGTGACAGGAGTAGAATCATGGTGACAAATGCCAGGGTCCAGGAATTGAGGAATTCCAGTTCGTGTGCCAACGTTTCAAAATAGCAAAAGTCCAAGGTAATGAGGAGTGCCGGGATCATGGAATTGAGGACATTGAAAAAGAGGAGTAATTTGAGGAGATGGGGTTGATTGTGATGATGGTGGTATTGGTAGTATTGCGTGGGGGATGTCATGATCAAGGCAAACGCTTCGGCAGTGGAAAAGAGACACGTGGTCCAGAATTCCAGCATATGAAATGTCCTATGGGAGACATGTTCGGCCAAGACGAATGCACTCGTAGTAGTGTCATCATCATCATGGTCGGGATGGTCTTGGCGGAACAACCAGTTTAGGTACATGAGGACAAAGTTGACGGCACAGACGCCCAGGCAAATCAACCCCAGCCAAAAGTTGGTATCGGCGCGACGGGTCAAGTCGTACAGCTTGTACTCCAACAGCACATTTCTCATTGGCAACTCGTCGCAGGAACAGCAAGGCTCGTCGGTCACTGTTTCTACTAGTGGCAGAGCACTGACAGATGTGGTGATAACCCCGGATTCTTCTGCATTGGATGACGAAGAAACATCGCGAGATGCCAGCAAGGACAAGCGCTCTTTTCGAGAGACCCTCGTCGTGCCGTCGCTTCGACTGCTAGAAGCACTTCTTGTTGCCCGGGATGTGGACATGGTCGCTCTCTGTCTGTTGCAGAGACTTCTTTGCACAGAATGGGAGATTTGATGTTGGGCTTCACGGCTTGGCTGTTTACTGCATGGTGATGGAAGCAGATCTATCTTGGAGCCTAGCTAGAGGCCTCGGGCTCATTACAGCTCTACGGGCTTCATTTGGATCTTCTTTCGGTGCTTGCTTGCAACCTTTGTGTGGGATTGCCCTCTCTCAGCAGTTGCCTGCTCCATCTGTTGCTCTGGGTCTCTGACGAAGCGGTTGATTGTTGGCTTGCTCACAGTCATCACATCATGGGAATGGGGGAGAGCCTCATCAACAATGCCTGAGCTGAGCATGGAAGAAGACTGCGAGGTGGAGTTCAGGATTGCAGGATGAGAAACCTGAACTTTGACGCAAGCAAGTTGTCTACTAGAGGCTTCCTCTGACCACAGGTGGGCAGGTTGGGGGCGGAATCTTGCAATTTCTTGACAATGCGTCGGGAAACCTTCGTTCGCTTCCAACAAAAGCGAACCTTCCTCTTCATCGTTCGTTCCGTTATTACCTGCACCAGTATGTAAAACATTACGTTACGTTGTTGGAAGAAGATATATATGATATGATTCTATAGTGTTGTTATGGATGAAGCATTGTATGTATGGATGGATGTATGTATGTATGGATTTCTATGACTTGCTCTCGTCTAACGGTGACATCTAGCGTAGCTCTGTCCCCATTCGCGTGCTGCTCATGCTGCCTTGGGTGTGCTGCGCACATGGTCCGAGTCGTCGAGGAATTGACGTGGGGCAGATGTGTGCTTGATTTGCTCAAAGTAATCGCTGGCTAGTTTGCTGTCAGTCTGTGCATGCATTTCCAGAATGCGAATCAAATCTTGGGGGTGGATCTGGTTCGTGCTGATATTGACTCGAGGATGATGATGATGATGATGATGACGCTTGGAAGTACTCTTGCCGCTGCTAGAAGTGGAAGTCGATGATCGCAGAGACTTTTCACTGCGATCCTTCAAATGCTTTTGGCTCTTCGTGTTGCTGTCCTTGTGGCTCTTCTTCATGGTGGTGATCTTTTCGACAAAGGAGTTCATGTTGAGGATAGTAGTTTTGTTTGGGTGATTTTGTTGTGGTTGTTTCTTTTGTGGTTTGCGTTTTGCGGCCTGAAATTTGTGAGATCGATGAGAAGCTGTTGAGAAGAGTTTGGAAAGCTGTTGTGGAGGAATGGAAAGGGAGCACGACCCGACTGGCGAGGTCAAGAGATCCTAATCCACTCTTCTCTTGTATGATGTCTTCACATGCTCTGCTTTGACAGGCTTCGGGTCACAAATCAGAGCAAATGTACTCTTTGCTGATAGTAGACCAATGACCTGTCAAACTAGCACTGCAAAAGAAGTCATTCACCGGGTAAGAATTGAATCTTACAGCTGCCCAAGACTCTTCAATACAGCTGAGGTGTCAGCCTTCGGGTTCCATGAACTTCTTGGAGCTAGATCTATCGAGCTATATCTCTAGACTAGTAATAATATCTAATATCTGCATATCTACCGTCCGTATGGTGGTCAGTGGTCAGAGGTTGTGGAGATTGGAGATCGTACATGACAATGTAGATGATGAGGTGATCAATTTTTGATTGATTCGATTCTTGCTGAAGGGTTGGTGCAGTGTCCAGTGGGAGATTGGTGGTGGGCGATGCTATTTGCTAACGATACCGTACGAACCGTACATGTAGTTGCTGGCTAGCTAGCTAGAGAACGTAAAGGGAACCAAATACTAGTAGCTAAAATTTAATTGAGTGACTCAGTCAGGTCCTCGCTGTAGTAGACCCACAAAACCACTATGATGCAGGCGAATCCATCCAACACCAGTAACCATGGGAAATCTTGGGGTACAGTATTGGTGTAAGACTGGTGTGAATGCGGTGCTAGCTAGCTAGTAAGACTCGGAGAGCTGGTTCCAAAGTGAATTTGAACTTTCTCTTGGGAACAAAAAGTGCCCGGAGACTTCGGCATTTTGGCAGACTGAGGTCTGCGGTACCGATCTACGAAAACCGGTCTGAGCTCCTCGAAAGCATGAGGGGGGCATTGTCCGCCGCTAAACAGCCCACTGGACTTGTCGAGATTCACAGGCGTGAACAACAAGGATGCCAGACTGGAGAGGTGGATCCTCAGCTGCCGAAAAAAGCGAGTTCGGTTGCGACTGCACCGGGGCAATGAGGTGGAAGGAAAGTGGACGGAGAAAAAGAAGTCTTGTCACCTTTGATGACTTCAACAACCTACAGCATTGAACGTGCCATGCTAGGTTTGTACGGTTGCCAAAACCCCAAGAAAAGCGAATCCACTGGAAACTAAGAAACTAAAAGAAGCTGCACTTAACTTCAACTGTTTTGGTTGTCGCATCTATTAAAGAGCAAAGAATTCGAAGGGTTGTCTACTCCTTCAACTCTCCCTTTGGACTTCGGACACAGCTAATGAGGTTCATGCGGCTTCTGGCTCGGTGGATGCCAAGACAATGTTCGCTCAAGTGGTACCACCAATACAACCAGCAGCCAGGGGATACATTCCTTGATCTACCGAGAGTCGGACGTAGCATCCTCCATCTAAGCTCTTCGTCTAGCTGACGAGGACTAGCCGTTCATGCCTCTCTGACGGCGGGTTTGGCTCGGTACCATGTACTATGCGATGTTGGGACACCGTGAAGGTCGAGCAACTGGCTGTGGGTGAGTGAACGTTCAGCAACATGACAGCATCGCTCGGGAAAGCGACGACAATGCCTTGCAATCGTCGATACAGCGTACCGTACTCTGCCGTCAGGCTGGCTAAAGAGGCACGGCTTCATTGGTTGCTCGCTTGCTCGCTTGCCCTGAAGCACATGAGACAGGTCGTCACAGCACGTACAGAAGCATTCTGTAGACGACAGGGCTTCATTCAGCTCGGTCAGCAGGTCCTGGAAGCTTGCAAGTGCACGCACGGTACTGAACCAATGACTACAGTCAAGCAGCAAGAAAGCAGCGCTCAGGGCCAATGACTAGAAGGATGAGCCCCAGCCCGACGCCAGTGACGAGATTGCACCATGCGAGGTGATGGGATAGTGGCAGGCATGGTAAGAGCTCGAGATCCAAAAGCGTGAGGCAGCTCAGCAAGTGGGTATGAGGTAAAAAGATACGAAGAAGAATCATCCTACCGGTAGCGGGTAGCCACAACAGGTACGCCTGGCTATGCTACACCACGCTTTGCTAAACACCATCGACAAAATAAATGGGAGCCCACAAAGTGCTGGACAAGGAAAAGGGCGATACCGGTATCATCAAAAAGGAACCTCCCAATGGTGCAAACGTATAGTAGAAGAAGAACGAGGTGCTTGACGGCTGAATGAAGCATTGCCCCCCTTCACCTGAAAAGAGCTGCCCCTCAAAAGTGAACAACTATAGAAGAGGAGCGGTATGAGTTACTTGCCAAAGCCAAATAACCACATTACAGACTTGGAACTAAAGTTATCACTACCAAGTGCCAAGGTTAGTAGACCAATGGCAAGAACAGGGACAACCAACAAGCAAGGGCTTGCTAGGCATGAGGTTGTTGGCAACACACCAGCTGCCCACAGTTATGAAACTACTGATATCATAGCCTCTGTACAGGGCATGGAGAAGAGAGGGAATGGAAAGTGTATCACAGTCTCAGCTTCCAGTTGCCAACCACTATGCCATAGGAATGTTCTCATCTTGGGGGTATGGCACAGGGAATGCTTCCTGGCGCAAAGGCACTGGGGACGGCTGACATGAAGTGATGTGGCAACATCGCTGCCCAAGTGGTCCAGAGTCACCCATGGACATTGTGATTGACAGACCTTCCACCTTGACTTTGATAGGAACTAACCAACCATCCAACCAACTAATCAACTAAAGAAGAGTGAACATCTACAAGACAAAAGATAGGAGAAGGGTATGTGCTGCTGGTCAAGGCTGGCCACCAACTATCGCTTGCCAAACGGCAGCCCCACGGTTGACACTGAGCTATACTAGTTATGGTGAGATCCTTATCAGACAGAAGCAAATTGGACTCTGCAATACCACCAACACACCGGCCCAACAGCGAGCAGCACAGAGGCACCAAAACGACCCGACATTGCTATGCTCAGACATTGAAAATGAATGAGGATTGGCTGTGGTCTCTGGCATCATCTGGCATCATCTGGCATGACATGAAGGGAAGGAAGGAACCACCAACACACCGGCCCAACAGTGAGCAGCACCGGCCCAACAGTGAGCAGCACAGAGGCACCATCAAATGACCCGACATTGCTATGCTCAGACATTGAAAATGAATGAGGATTGGCTGTGGTCTCTGGCTTCATCTGGCATGACATGAACGAAGGCAGGAATAACCAACACACCGGCCCAACAGTGAGCAGCACAGAGGCACCATCAAACGACCCGACATTGCTATGCTCAGACATTGAAAATGAATGAGGATTGGCTGTGGTCTCTGGTTTCATCTGGCATGACATGAAGGGAAGGAAGGATCCACCAACACACCGGCCCAACAGTGAGCAGCACAGGGGTACCATCAAATGACCTGACATTGCTATGTTCAGTTATTAAAATAAAGGACGATTGGCTGTGGTCTTTGGTTCTGGCATGACATCACGTTTGTTTGAGAGGGGATTCGCATGCAGCTAACGCGGTGGTAAAGACTCGAGTGTGACTGTGTGACTGTCGTTGGTGATGTTGTTGTAATCGAAGAGCGATGATTGTTTAAGAGAGGATTCGTATGCAGCTAGCGAGAGGTGGAAAAGGCTCAAGTGTTACTGTCGTCGATGATGTCATTGTCGTTGTCATTGTTATTGTTGTCGTCGAATAACGAAGAACCGTGTGCTTGTGGACGCGCAGGGGTACAGATTAGAACACAGACGGTGTCGCCCTGCGCAAACGGACAGATAACGTTCGACCGAGACACCATCGTATGACCTCAGTTTAACCTCAACCTTTTCGACTACACCCGAACCTCTAATGCTTTGGAGAGTGCTCTTTTTTGACAGTCATGAATTCAAACAGACTTCGCGTGACAGCTATGGTAAACAGGAGAGAAATCCAAGCTTGGCCGACAACAATGGTGAGTGCTGTATCCAATCGGCCGATCGATCGATTGATTCGATTCGAGGTAAGCCTATTATCAAGAGTGTTAAGGATGTCCCACGGGGGTATTTCTTAAAAGTGTGAAAAACCCATCCTCTCCGTGCTTTTATCGCGACAAGAAAAGTGAGGGGCCATCATTGTTGTGCTACCTTCGAACTATTCCTACTCCACCAAATGCTAGTGTCTGTTTCTTGTTGAGATATTCCACCTTATAAAGTAAACTATGCTCTATCCAACTGACCACAATGGGACACAAAATGTGTTGTTGTGTGTTCAGCCAATGTAACTGCCATCGGCCTTGAAAAACTGTTCATTCCAATGAACTGCCGTGCTGTGACACCCACTTCGCTCCATAGACAGCCAATCTTTTGTGTCCCTTTCTTCAGCATGTGCTGCACCGTACTCAACAATGTATAGTGACTTGCCATCATGTCATTGGAGTGTGCCGTTCCAGAGCTGTTATGCATGTTCCCAGCGGCAGATTAGTTTGTTGTCGTGTTGCAATAGTGAGCAGTCCAAATGGTTCGCTCCGATCCACGGAAACCCATGGCCACTAGCGAAGAACGGCACGCTCGAAAAGGAATTTCGCTGATCAGAGAAATCGAAGATCGACACAAACAGAGTTACTGCGACACTGTTTAGCGCCAAATTGCAATTTGGCTACTTACAGGTTTCCACCATGATGAGCGACAGAGTTACCACTATCCAGTATCATGATGTTGCTTGCATTGACTTTGCTGCCGCTGCCTGCATGCTGAAGGAGTTCCACAACACCACCATCAAGCCAGCGGCCAAGTATTGGATGAAGGGAGAAGGTATTCGCCCTCCCTCTCTTGAAGAGACTGACCAGCCAGCTGCATTCACTGTTGTTGAGGCAAAGAAGATCGCACGTGAGTACAAGACGCATGACATGTCGAGTAAGATGTGGTGTTACAACCTTGTTTTGATGGATGGAAGTGACACTTTGTTCAAGGCAACCACCAATAGTGGACTCTCCCACTACTTCGACGCATACCAGATCTTTGTTGGAATGACCATCTTTGTGGAAGACTATTCGATCGTCTTTCAGACATCCAACCAGTCGTACACATACAAGATGTACATGCTGATCAGGAAGATGAGCTGGAAGCTGCCTCCCCAGATGACTGGAATGATCATTCTTCCTCAAGATATGCGTGAAAGTGTGGTCATTACAGGTGTCAGGCCCAAGGAAGTCTCCACGAATAGGAAGCTGGATTCCTGGGGTATCCATTATGTCTCTCGTTTCGGTGCTGTGGTACCACTCATCGAGGCGACCAATTCTCCTGCCGCCAACAGGGACATGCACCACCTTTGGATGCCAGCAGACAAAGGGCCTTACAGTCTGCCCTCTCTAATATATATAAGGGGGGAAGGTGGATCTCAGTAAATATAACAGTGACACTAAATATAGTACGTTCTGGAGGCTAGCCACTAGTGAAAAACGAATGGATAGAGCCATCACGTTCATGTTGGTCTAGGTCGGATTGGATCCTTTGGTATGGTTTGTGTGAAATTGTTTGGCAGCTCACCTGAATTGTTTTTGTCTCGTCAAAACCATCCTTCGAAAAATGCACGTAAACAACCAGGGCTTGGGCTGGCACCGACGAGACAGCCTCGGAGAGGTGCGTGCAGAGATACCGCAGAGGTACCCAGGAATGACACCTCCATTGGATCGATATCGGCATTTGACATGCTGTCTCAGTCAAATTGAAACGGTTGGAATGGATTGTACGACGTTGTTGGGCTGCTCGAAAGATTTGTTCCTTCATTCACGGATACCCGGGACTGGGGGGGGACCTCGAGATTTAATAATTATAACAGCGACTAATAAATACAAGATTATAATTATTACAGCGGGCAGACTGTACTTCAAAGGTGAATGGATCCAAGATCCCTCGACTCGCCAGGAATGGAAGGATGTCATGGACTATCCACTGATGGTGAGGCGTGGATTGGACATGTCGGAGTGCATTCTTCGGACCTATGACCTTTACGACGAGGAAGATAACAAGCGTCAGAATTATTTCATCGTGGTTCAACCAAGCGAGGGTGAAGAAGGTCACCACAACAGTTGCCAGTGCTGTTCCGAGTATGGTTTCACCCAATGCATTCTTCTCACCTTGCCTCTTGAAGATGTTGACATTTGCGAACTGTATCTTTCAGTGTCCAGCAAACTTCAAGGACATCTCGACGGTGATCACTTCGATGACTTGGCTCCCAACCACAAGCGCTGGTGTTTCTACTGGTACTATGCTGTGAACGGTTACAAGTTTGTCAACGGGAGGAAGCCATTGCCGGTGTGCTTTGTCAAGGGGGTGCGATCGTTGTATCCGAATCCGAAAGGAGTGAGGTACAGCACTGTTGGGGCTGCTACTGGAAACAATGACGATTCGGTGGCTCGCAATGGTGCTAGCTGTAGAGGTGTCAAGAGGAAGAACATCGATCTTTGGGAAGACTAACCAGTTGGTCAACTCTCAATGGAACCAACGGTCCAGACTGCTTGTTCTCGGAACCGGCCGGAACAGTTTGCAGCTTCGTTTATCAACTATCAAGCCCTGATGCATCTTCAACCAAGATGGATTCTTCGCCCTTATTTGTTCGTGTTTGTCTATGAAAAGAAAGTAGCTTATTGCTACAACAGAATCTAGCTATTGATAACCCTAGAAATCTTATACTAATTCAGTACTCTAACGTAGACAATCGCTCGCTAGATTTGGTGACAAAATCGCTAGTCTGAGATGCAGTTCGCCCAGACGCAAAAAAGCCAATGACGGTTGAATCTTGCGTCAGCGATCTTCAACTATCATTATCCAGTGCCGCGGACAATTCCAATACGTGTTTATCGCTTGTAAGAGGGATGTTGTCTATGAGCGAAATTTCCTCCGCAGGATTGTCGGCGCTATCTTCCTTTTGGCTACTAAGATGTTCATTGGTATGTACGTCTTCGTTGATTGTTTTGTCAATATCACTGGCGATTTTACTCCGTTTCTTGCGATTCCTCGCGTTGTGGACACACTTTCCACTCCGAGCGTCTTTGTGTCCTACCTGATGACATTTCGAACAAAAAAGGGTTGACAATGATGCATCTCCTCCTTCCATTGCCGATCCTGCCTGGTAAGCCATCCCATTGCCTTTGTCAATCCTGAGTTGCTGCATGTACTTCTGTATTCGCTCGTGCATGTCGCTTTTTCGCTTGATTCTATTGGCTGTTTTTCTCGATCGATCCAACTTACCAGCTCTCGATTTGTCTTTCTGCAAGAGACGGTATTCAGTCAACCAGTCTTTGTCCAGACCAACATGGAAGAACAGTTCGCTCCAAAACTTCCGGTTCCCAACAAGGTGGATGGCAATGGCAATCCTCACTCTCATTCCCAACGAAACACTGCCGCAATAAGTCTTGTTCTTCGGCGACAACCATGCGATCTGTTGATTGAGCGACTCGTTAACTTGGGTGTCACCACCGTGACTCAACTCTTCCAGCTTTGCAAGGGTAGTGAACTCTTCCACCAACTCCTTGATGTCTTCCCACAACCCATTGTGTCTTTCCTTGCAGCGGTACGTCTTTTTGGAATTTGCACGCTCCTGTTGTGTTGCTTTCTTTCTCTTGCACCACTCACCACATTGATCGTGTATATCGAAATGATGCTTGTAGATGCACTGGGCTCTGGTCACCCACTGATCCTTTGGTATGTTTGGAAGGTCAAAGATGAAGAAGACGAAATAACAAGATACACGGAGAATGTCACCTTCCTGCATGTCATTTGCTGTTTTCACTGGTCTTGCCTTCATCTTGTACATTCGATTTTTCATTGTCTTCTTGCGATGTGCAGGATCAGCAAGGAATCTTGGTTCTGGAACAGGGTACTTCAACATTCCCGAAACATGGTACACCGGTATCATCTTGATGTGGTTTGGATCCTTCTGCTGCGAAGGAGGGGCAACTCTATTACCAAGAATGAGTTCTTTTCTGTCGCCCGCACCAAACCCACGATGCTTCAACCAGTCAGCATTGCTCCATTTGCAGCGAGCCTTCATTTTACTGTCATCGTCAGTTATCACAGTTTTGAGACACACGGCCTTGTCGAAGTAAATGTCTTCGGTCATCTTCAACAATGCGGAAGCTTCCATGGCGCCAGCTCCTTCCTCATGGTCCACCACACACTCGTGGTCTGGTACGTCTTCACCCTTCTTTCTTTTGGCTGTACAAACTCGACAGAAGGTGCATTTGGTACACAAACTGACGGGTTTTCTTGTTTTCTCTGCTACTAGACATGCATGACCGGAATGAGAATCAAAAGTCCTCCCGCTGGATCTCTTGTTCCATCCCATGTCTGTGGATGTTCCTATATAAGGAAGTGTTGAGCCTTCAGGAGGTGAGTTACCCGTTTCGAGGCATTCTCTCCAGGCCTTCAAATCTTCTTCTTTACCGGCATATGTAAGCCTTATCTCCTCCATCAAGTTGTCGTGTAGGTACCCATCCACAAGATAGTCCACGTATGGTGCCACTGTCTTCTCTACCTGAGAGAATGTTCTCCTCTCCATTGAGTTAGCTCCCGGTAAAGACATAAAGTCAAGGAACCTGGCTGCTTCTGTCCCACCATCTCCACTTCCAACAAAAGCAAGTACCAAGCGTATATTGACATCATAGTCCACGTTCGAATTGCCCATTGCGTCTGACTGTCTCAGTGTTGTTCCTTTAGGACATGCCAGATTAGGTTTTACAAGAGGATCAAGCTCACAGTGGGTGCAGTGCAGTGTTGGTGTTGTTGCCACCCCAATGGATGTAAAGGTCAACTGGATGGTTCCCGCCTTATGACACTTATTACAAACACAATTGCCCTCAATGAGTCGAGACAAGGACTCTGTTTCCAGTATGGCACGGGTAGGTTTTGGTGGTTCTGTCATTGATTCCACGTCTTCAGCCACAACTTCCACTATGACTGATTCTTCCTCTGATTCATTGTCTATAGCCTTTCTTTTGCCGCTTTTTCTATTTGCAGGTTGAACTTTCCTTTGCCGGTGGTCAATACCTTCAATAGGATCTACCCTCGATGAGCCACCAGTGTCAAGACGTTCCTTGTTCCATGATGGGCCTCCCTTGGGATGGTGCTGGTCAAGCTTTCTAAGTGAAGCGTTGTTACTCCTATTGCGGTCCATGGTGGTGAACTTTTGCTGTTGTGGCAATAGTAGTCAAGGACGCAAGCTACAAAAGACCATCCACAAAGACCGGAAGCAGTTGGCTACTTGGTAACATTCATTGAGATCAACATACCTGTCTCTCCATTCATGGTTAGCAAAAAGCCAACTGGCTAGCCTGGTGTGCGAGGAAATTTGGGACAATTTTAGCGCGGGTGAATGGCGAGACATGCTTCGAGGATGGAATGAGGAGGTCGGAAGTTCCAAATTCCCACGAAATCATGGGATGGATCTAAGAGCTAATGAAAAGTTTATCTATTTGGAGAGCTTTCGAAAAAGTGAGCAAATATAATCTTAAAACTAAAACGCACTGTATCCCCCGTTTGAGCTACGAATTTGCAAATATCGTAGTGGAAGCGTAGAGATGGGCCCAGAGATAAAATGGGCACTAGCTAGCAACATAAAGTCTTCAATCTTTCTAAGGTGAATCTTCCATCTCCTCGGCAGCAATCTTGTAGATAGACAAGTAGTAGTTGCCAACGCGAAAGTCCGAGTAGCCAGTTCGATCTAGACTCATCAAACTGAGAAGCACTGGGAGATGCAGGAAAAAATCAATATTTGAGGGACATACTGCCATATGATGGCATTCGGATGAGCGTGACCCGCAATTTCCACTTACCTGGTCCGTATGGGCGGTAGTCAATGCAGTAGCCCATAAAGACGGAGTCCGGTGAAAAAACTTCCATAATGAAGGTCCCGTCGGTCTCGAGCGTGGCATCAATCATGAGAGCGTCGAATCCTTCAAAATTCTGATGATTTTGTGAGACCAGCATCCAGGTGCCATCCTCCTCCTCCTTGTACAAGTTCAGAGCACCAATCGTGACGTTGTAGTCCTCATCATAGTAAGGGAAAATATCAAAGCCATTGAACTCGGCACTAATGACCTCGCCAGCTTTCCCCTTGAAGCGGTAAAAGTCTGTCTCACCGGGAGCACTAATGCTTCCCTTGACAAAGATCTCTTCGAACTCAAGTTTCTTGCCGGCATGCACTCCTTCGGGCAACGTAATATCTGTGTGGAGTTTGTTGAATTTGATTGAGTTGTCGAGTCCGCCAACATCTTCTTCGTGAAGAACCTCTCCTGCCTCATTGGCAAGCAACTTGAGCATGGAACGCTCACTGAAAAAGTCGGTCCGATTCACTTCAAACCAAAAGGGTTGACCAACACTGGCACCCGAACCCATAATGTGCAGGAAGGTTTCGTCTCCTTCGTTCAACCCATCGTAGGTTGGGTAGAAAGAGCTGTAGGGAATGGTTGGCGCAATGCCATTTCCGTATGGTCCAAAGGAGTCATGGTGACGCAATCCAGTCAGGTGTCCCAACTCATGAGCAGCTGAAAGAGAACAAAAGGGGATGACAATAACTGTCAGCTGGTCTGCCGCTAGGGAGAGGACACATGCGAACGACTTATGCATACCTGTTCGAGAGGCTTGTCGCAGAATCACACTACGGTACGCTTCATCTCGGTTTTCTCGGTTTTCACAATCCACCAAATCGCAAGCATTCGTGTATTGCCTCAGAATGAAGTCATTGTAGTCGACACTTTTTGCGAACTGCCAAAAGTTCCCCTTTAGAATGAAACAAGAAAACCAAAGTGTAAGCCGAACAGTGTGGCCACCTCGATAGTAGCAACTCCACCAATCTCATACCTGTACAAAGGCGTTGTCACTATAATCTGTGTTCCTCAGATCAATCTTCTCGGCTTGACCAAAGAGAATGCGGATTCTGCCACGGAAATCCACGGAAATGCACGAATCGAACCAACAATCAAAGGTGATGGTTGAGTACTCCGTCGAGTTGGCTTCTGGCTGTTCCTGGGTGAATGCAAAGTCATAGCCATCAAACATAGCTTCTAGTTCTCCTTGAATGTGATCCATGTCTTCTCGGGAATATTGGTAGGCTTCGTAGGGCCTTGGTCCGTAGACAACACGGCATCTGTAGGGATCATAGTATAGTTGCATGACATAAAAGACCTCAGTGGATGGGAACTCAAGGTACACAAGCTGAGTCTCATGAGAATCACAGTCGCTACCGTTCTTGTCACCTTTCTTGCCCTTCTTACAACCCTTCTTCGCTCCTTTCTTTCCCTTCTTGGGTGACTTGCCAGCACCTTTCTTGTCCTTGGGTTCCTTGGGTTCCTTAGGCTCTTTCTTGCCCTTTTTATCATTGAGCTGGCGATGCGCCCCACGAATGTTGCCGGGTTCAACAGAATTGGTGTTTCGTTGTCCCTTCAATTGACGATTTCTACGACTGCGGCTTGCCTGGTCTGCACGCTTCGAATCCAAGATCCCGAGAAGGTCATTCGTAGTCATGTTGCGTCGATCCATGGCTTGATTGCCTTCAACGACGGTGATGTCGACAACGTTGTCAATCTTGAACTCTTGCCCAGCAAAGTCTTGATTTTCTTCGTCTTCGTTCTCGTCTTCTCTCTCAGTATCAGTTCTCTCGCGGCGAGGCCTACATCGCTGCAAAGCCCGACGATCTTCCGGTGAAAGCATCGATTCATCGGGAACCAGTAGGAGATTCTTGGGAAGATTAATTGGCGAATCCTTTCCGTGCCAGCTCACCAGGTCGCCCTGGGACCCACCGTTGGAGGAGGCCACAGAAATGCACAGCAGCATTGAGAATGAAAGAATCGAAAGTAGGACACGCATTGTCGTGGGTAGGAGAGAGAGAGAGATGACAAAGATTGAGATGAAGTGGGGACTGATGGAGAGTGCCGAGAGTTTGACAAGTCAAGTTGCTTTGGCTTCGAATGTTGTCGAGGCAAGCAATTTATGAGATGAAGATTGGACTAGTTTGGTGCTCTCTGTTTCGTCCCTTCGCAGTAGGGGTGAACGAGTAATTTTCAACACGCTGCGACTGTAGGAGTTGTCTTCTTTCGTTGCTGCCTCGGCAGCAAGCGAAGGCTCTGCAGAAAACTGTCAGGCTTGTCCACGCCATAACCGATGAATCGAATCCACGATGTTCACAACTGGTTTGTACCAAGCCGTCTATTAGCCCTCCTTCCTTTCAAATCGCTTTGTTTACGCTGTACTGTACAGTCGTAGGGAGTCTCTTCGGTTCTTCGGTTCATCGCGTTCCATCGAAAGGTTTTTCCTCTAGAGCAACGTGAGATTCGAACTTCGACTGGAGCATCGCGGACAACTCGGAATCGATTCATCCTTCGCGGTTGTTGCCGCCACCTGATGAGAATCGAATCACGTTACTGGTCACGTTGAGTCTTCGTTTCGATGCTAACGGTTCGTTCTTCATCTCCCTTGTTGGTGTCTCTAGTTTCGATGCCAACTTTTCGTTTTCGTGTCCTTCGTTGGCGTCTCCAGCTAGTAGAGCGTTTAGTTATTCTTGTACCGCCGTGTGGTACCGGTACCGTTACTTCGTACAGTATGGTATGTGGTACCGGTATTTTAAACGTGCCGTCGTGACATCGCCTGTGATGCCCCTCTCTGAAGTTGAACCCAAGAGACATGCGATCTTTCCCCGCACCTCTAGTGAATTTATCACGGCAGTCGGTTGGAGCGTCTTCCTTGGCACTTGCCCAGGCAAACAGTGTTGATACACCTCACCCATGAACAAAAATGTCTTGGTCAACAATCACAGACGAGGAGATAAGACGTTGCGGAATCCGAGTCCTTCCAATTGTGCATTGTCCTCTTGACCAGCTCCTTTGCATTTAACCCAATGCAGTTACGGTACCGATACCAGTAAACACGCATCACGCCGAACCAGATCAAAATAATGAAGTTGAACTTGTCTCCGTCTCGTCGTCGCCAGACGTACTAGTAGCACTGCTTGGCTCATTAGTTTTTGGAAATCCCGCAAACGCCGACAGCACCGCTGGCTCCGATACCAAGACCAATGGTAAAACCTAAGATAACTGGCCCACCGCCCATAACGTTGCCGTATTCCATGCCCATCTGCAGCGCCACACCAAAATCAACGTCGAAAACAAAGTGACAATTCTGGCCAATGGCTTGCGCATCGTTCGTATTGAGGGCCATGAGGTACAGAAAGCTGAATTCAACACCACCTCCCAAACCCCCTCCAATGCAATAGCGGACAAAGCCATTGCTGTCATCGTTTTCTTGCCAAAACGCATCAAAAGCAGTATCTGCCAATACGCCAATTTCTAGATGCAGCCCGAGATAGTTGACTCGTTCCCCAGTGTTCAATGGAGTCGTTCCATTGGCCGTCGTTCCTGCGCAATTGTCGTACATGTCAAAAATGGCATTTGCGGGAGCTGGATTGTTACTGATGGCTCGTTGCAAAGATTGAAAGACAGAAGTTTGGAGAAAAGCTCGTCGGTCGTTCCCCAAAGCACTCAGCTCGTCTCGTAGATCATCGAGAGTCAGCCCTGCTTGTTCTAAGATGGTTGTCTTATAGTCGCTCATGTCTCCAAATTCGGCATAAAAGGCTTGCATGCCTTGTTGGAAACAGGTCATGGGAAGACATCGTTGGTTCCAAAGAGGACCGAGTTGTGTGCATTCGAGGTCACTGCTGCCACCACAAGTGTCGTCTCGAAGGAATCCTCCGCACTTGTCTCCCAGCTGTACTGCAGAGTTTGACGAAACTTGTTGCCGTCGTCGTTGGTCATGTTCGTACATTTGGTGGGTTGTGATCATGTCGGCCATTTCCTCGTTGCTTGCCAAGCCAAGAGCCCGCCAAACGTCGTCGACGGCAGATACGGGCAAGACGAGTAGGAACAGTAGTATCAGAAGCGACATGATTCCGGACGGACAGAGTGGAACAGAATCCTTCATCGTTGGACATAGAGTGGATGGAAATTGTCTCTGCTTCCTGTTCCGCTGGGTCGAGATGATACCGTACTATTGAAAAATCGGCGAGTTTGATGTTGCCGTTGCGCGCAGGAGTTAGAATGTGCAACGGCCAAATCTATGCTCCCGTGTTTGGATACGAGAAGCCAAAACCACTCTCCACAAGCAAGTGAAGGGTTGTTAAGAGCACAATGATCCATGCATCATTGCTCTCAACATCAGTAATTGGCCCCATTGAAGCCACACCAACATGACGCTAGGAACGAGAGGTGCAAGTCTTATCTTGCCGCTGCTTTTCTTCGTTCAGTCGGTTCGTGGAAGGGTATCCTCCCAAAGATCCGTGGACACAGCGATCGTCGGTACTGAGTTGAATCGCAATCATCACAGAGAGTTGCAAGAAGGGGATCGCTGTGGACTGTTTCAGGGTGAATGTGCCGATGGATTGTCTTGCGTTCGTGGCCCCGTGGGCGGATTTGGCTTGTGTTTGCCCGTTGATTGCATGGCTGACGCCGTTCGGAAGTCGGGCCTGGATTTCAACAATTTTACTCAAACTATCTTTGCCCAAGCTCAAGTGACACCGGAACAACTAGCCATCTCCAGAGCTAATGAAGCCAGAAGCGATCAGACCTTTAGTCAAGATTCCAGCGCCATGGCATCCATTGTCGACGTGTTGACGAATCGAATGGACCATAGTCCTTTTTATGCTCTGCAAGAGTCCATGGCAGCGTGCTCTTCCGCCAGTCTGAATGTCAACAACAATACCGCCAAACAAGCCACCGTCTCATACTATGGTTTTCACATGGAAGGAGGCGCGCTGTACGATGGCGAGTTTTCGGTTCTCGTGGCACCTTCCGAGACAGAAGGCAGCTTGACGTGGGTTCGGCCATGCTTTGGAGGGGGTGGTGTTGGGATCGATATTTCGGCCGTGATTGGCACTGGATACACTGGTTCAAGGGAACACTTGCTGGGATGTTCTGCTTTGGTGACCGACAATGAGTTGTACGCGATTCTTGGTTTCGGTGTCGATTATGGGGTTGGCTTCAATGGCGTTAGCTATCTTGATTTCACAGTTGGCGTGGGTTTGAGCGGGGAGGGACTCGGCATTGGGCTTTGTGGAAACTACAAGCAATAGCTATCAAGATCTCACGGTTGGTCTGGGTCTCTCTTTATTGTTTCTCTTTATGATCATACAAATGGTGCTACTCCATCAACAATCTTCCATGCCACCACCTATTACCGCCAACATTAAGTTTATCCAAACCTTCAGATATCGATGTCTTCATCCTTGGCGATTTCCTTGCTGGCTTTCCGGGCTTGTCCCCGTATCTTGCACTGTTACATGGGCTGCTGCGCAGGTTTCCATGCATCCTTATTTTGGGGGCTTTGGTAGAATTTGCGATGAGTACTAAATGGACGTCCCTGTAGAGCCGTCACAAGGTCAAGAGTGTCTAAAGATTCGTTGTCCACACTCGCCACTGCAGGAAGAGCCTGGATGACCCAGTTGCTATTCTTTTTGTCCCCTTTGATGTTGGCAATCTCCTTGCAAATAGCACAAGCGGCTCTGAAATATTGAATGCCAGATGTTTTCTCCTCAATGATTAGGAATAGGTCTTTCTGGAAACTACCAGCAACGATGATTGAGAAAGTAGCGGAAAACAGCACCTGCACGAAATCAGGATCCAGCTCCGGGACGGATCGGAAAGAGAAACAAGTGCCAGCAGGAAGCGTCGTCACCAAGAATCTCGTTGCGGCCTGGTGTGCCCTTTTGCCAAAGAAGCTTGTTGACAACATGTGCCACAAGGAGAGATAACTAATCTTGCGCAGGACTCCGCCCCAGCTGTTCCCAGCCAAACCTAGTTTAACTTTTCTACTTTTTTGTTACAGTTTAGTCTGCATGTTCTCGTGTTCATCTCGAAATGTGTAAAAAATTGGAGGTTGTCGCTGTTGGTTTGTGCAGAAATTCCATTGAGTCGCTCACTCCTTTTACTTCCTAACTGCGGGCATCCTCCTACCTGATTGTTGTTTTGCAACAGCCTCCGGAAGCTCCTCCTCCTCCTCCAAGGCAGTGGTTTCTGTCTTCTGTTCCCTTCTTCACTTATTTTTTCGTAGGATTTGGATCCTTCCATTCATAATTGATTTGATCATAATCCAATCCCATTTGATCCTGTCTCATGGCACGCAGAAAGAGTCGTTGCATGGGTTGTCCCACAAATTGACAAAGATGATGCTCCACCGTTTGCGTGTCGGTATGAATGCCAAACGTCTTGAAGAATTTTTCCTTTTGTCGGACACGCCCTAACGAATACAACTTTTCTTCGGCATGATCGTACGTATCGGCGGGATCACCCATTCCAATAATGCCATTGAGCCGCTGCATGGCTTTGGTTCCCGCCGCACGGTACGTTTGTGTATTTTCCCAAAAATGCGGCACCTTGTCTCGTTTGGCCTTGTTTTCGAGCATGGCGTACATGTGAAAGCAAACCGATTTTTCGGGCGTGTAATAATCGTATCCAAAGGTGAATCCCCGCAATCCAATACTGATTTCTTCTCCTTGGAATATCCTGAATGAAAACAATGAAAAACAAATTTGACGCAAAGCAAGGCAGAAACGAAACGGAAGAGTGTCAGCTTGCGCACACAGAACAGAACTGAATCTCTTGCCCCTTTCCATTCCATTTCCACCCTTCTTTTTTGTTGTTCGTAACTCACATTGGCAAATACTGATCATACGGAACTTGCACGACAAAATGTCCTCGTGCAAAACTAAATCCCGCCGCCCAAAAGGGATGCAACGTGGGTTGTCCATGAATCATGGCAGGTCCTTCCGGTTGTTGTCCATGTCGCAAATGTTTGTATTTGCCTTGTCCTTCGTAATCGGTGGCACACATGATGGGTCGTCCCGGTCGAATGGCGGCGTGGGTGACGGGATCAATACTATTATTGAGATCCGAGAGATACGTGGACAATACCGCCATTTCATTGTGCGCTTGATGCCATTGTTCGACCAAACTGGCATCCCAATCTTGAACAAATCGGACATGAGCATCGACTTGCATGGCAAAGTATTCGCCGCGGTAATGTCGGTACCCCAAATGCCGGGCAAAGACGGGTCCAATCCCAAGTCGCGCATCCATTTCGAGGGCTTCAATTTGATTGCTGTATTTGCACAGCACTTGATGGGGATCGTCCGAGCAAGGCGTGGCCGGGACAATACACCGCATATCATCGTCGAGTCGTTGATCAATAACGGCGACGCGAAGTCGTTCGGGATATTTGGCGCGCGTAAAGAGTGAATCAATGGTCACGGGACATTCGGGATCGCGATAGGATGCAATGGTAATGTAAATGGTTTCGACGGGTCCATCATTACTGGCGACTTTACTGCCAATGGCGAGTGCTTCTTGCGGTGTCAGGAGGCGACTGCCGTAATCGCCCAAGAATTTCCGAACGTCGCCTCCGTATTGAGGTGGATTCCAGTATTTGGGAACGGTCATTTTCTGTGGCGGTGGCGCTGGCCCCTTGAAGAGTTGTTGATTGGCGTATTGGTATCCCGGATGATCAATTTGTTCGACCGAGTCAGTGGCTTTGATGGGGAAAATGGTTTGGATTTTGGCAATTTCGTTCCAGTCGACGATGACGGGTGGACTTGTGCTAGCAATTTTGGCCATGACATTGTGTTGTTGTTGTTGTTGTTGTAGAATGGCTTGTTGTGGATTTTCTACTTGTTTGTAATGATTGTCTCGTTGTTGTTCGGGCGTCAATTTGGCTTCTTCCTGAGCAATCAATCCCTTGAGATCGGCGGCCGTCATGGCGGGTTGATAGTACTTGCCATTCAAGAGAACCTTGGCTCGTCGCACCAAATTATTCTGTGATGACATGAACCCTGTATGATGCGGCGTGGGCAATTTCGAGAACGTTCCCACTGTGACAATCAAATAGAGACCAAAGACCATGGCCAACCCCATTTGCAAATTCGCATCCAAACCGGCAAAATACGCCGTCGTATGAGCGCGTAACATGCCGCTGTTGTGGCGTCGGGGAGTACTACTAGTACTCACCCGACTGCCATTGCCATTGCCAGAGGATGTGGTCTCTAGCATCATGACTACCGTACTATTCAATCAATCAATCAATCAATCAATCAATGCAAAAGAAATGAAAAATGGTCGGGGGTGACTTTTTTGTTGTGGATCTTGTGGTTTGTGTTACTAGTAGTCTAGATATCTCTGACCACTGATACTGCAGTGGTCGACTGGTTGCTGGGTACCTATGGCACAGTAACGTATTCTGCCTTGTGCTTGGAAGGATGCGAACTTGCTTTGTTGTGTCTGTGCTGAGTTAGTGTTGTATTCGGTCTATTCGTAACCTGCGACCCAGTATTGGCATTGGCATGTGGCATCCCTTTACTCACTCACTGGTTTGGGGTCTTGGCATCTCTTGCCCGTTGCGTTCCCTTTTTTTGCAGGGAAGCCGGCCTAACCGTGACCCATCTGTTCGGGAATGACAAAATATGTTCGACTGTGCGAGCTTTAACGAGGACGAGGTGTAAAATCAGCTCTACAATGCTTTATCCGGATATCAAAGGCCAGACCCTCAAAACCAAATACATACATCAAATCAATCATCAATGGAATGGTAGCGGTCTTTCCCTTCTCGGCAGCCAAAGTCAAGGGTGCCACCAGCCACCAGCTAACTAGACTAGCTAGACTACATACATGTACATCATACCTACCGCATCCAAGACCCAGCTAGCAAGCCAGCTTTGGTTGGGCCTTTGCAAGCAAGAGCAAAAGGAAGTACAGGCAGCTTCGATTTTATTGATTCAAACGCCCGCCACTCTTTTCAGTACACTTCTACACGAGCTCTCGTAGAACTGTAGCAGAAATGCCGGCACGCGTTTGAATCAACAAAATCGAAGCTGCTCGTATCATGCTTTCCAGCTTTCCAGACGCTTCCAGGCTTTTCACTGACTAGCTAGCTACTACTAATAGGCTACATGGCAGTGGTGATCTGGTGACGAATGCACGTTCAAGTTTGTAAGCTCTGGTTGCCACCTTGCCACGCACAATGCGCAATGCCAAAGCAAGAGGTGCGGGAATACTTACCTGTTCTACACATACATTTCAATGTCATGAACCAGTAGAAATCTTGGTGCTTGGTACACTACTTTACCAGTGAAAGGGCCCGAAATGGCGATTTACACCAAATTCCGATTTATACTTGTGTTTCGATTTTATATTTTGGTTTCGGTTTTACATTTAGGTTTCGATTTTATATTTAGGTTTCGGCTTGATTTCACTAGTTATTTACCATAGTAATTTGGTTTCGGTTTTATATTTTGGTTTCGGTTTTATATTTTGGTTTCGGTTTTATATTTAGGTTTGGAATTGATCAATTTAATTGGATTCTTAAAATCCTGATTTCGGGCCCTTTCAGTGTGATGTGAACTAATAACTTGTCGGATGGATGACATGGTAGCGTTTGCTCTTTTCAGCAACAATGATCTCGAGAAAAGAACCTCTTTATCGCTTACTGTGTGGCGGTACTGTACAGTACTATGAATGGGCCAGTCAGGCAGGATTTACGGTTGAACTCGGCTTATTAAACATTTATTCAAAGACACGGTAGTCTCGTATTCGTGAACCGCAAGATAAGAACGACTATTTACCTTGACTAGCGCAAATAGAGCGACTACCGCGGCTTTGAAGCGTGTTGCATTCGTAATCCTAGCTGAAACCTTGTGCCTTCCGGTACTCTCTCTGCAATCCTGGTAATAATTTAATCCAAGTCCCACCCTGCGAGCTCGGTTTGCCATGTTCAGCGTAATAACAGGTTTATGGAGTAGCTATGACAACCACCACCACAACCAGCCACAACCACTCTTTTTTTTTAGAGTTACGTGCAGGTATGCTGTAGCATAGTTACAGCTATGCTACAGACTTCGCATTGTTATATGGACAGTTGGTTGTCTACTGTATCTATGCACAGTTACGTGCATTTACGCCTAGCTAGATTGCATTGTGTACGCATACTAGCTAGTAGCTTTGTCAAGGAGTTGAGTGGAGTCGAGTCGAGTCCAACATTTCCCCATACCCCGCTAAAACCATTGTGACGCAGGCTCGTCCGTCCAAACCTCCTGGTACTAGAGCTAGCTAGTACCGTACAGTACCTCGAGACTCGAGACCACCCATCTTATTCTCAGAGTTCTCATTAACTCCTACTGAGTAACACTTCAGCTTTTGGATCGTTCCAGGCTCATCCAGACATTATGCGGAAGGTCATTAATCTTTCAGTATAGAAACAACTGTACAGTAACAACTTGGGTTCGGTTGACTGTAGAATGGAGTAGCAGATTGACTATTCCTTCGCGGCCACTGGTCCATGGCAGCTCTCGGAAAGTTCGGCAACAGGACCTTTGCTTCAAATGTGCTTCGTTCCTGCATTTGAAAATTTGCTCGTCCAGCACCGAACCACCAAGCATCTTCTTGTGACAAGCTTCTAGTGAACATAAAAACTGATGGAAAACTCCAGCCACGGCCATAAAGAGCAAGAGCGAAGCAGCAAAAGCCAGAGCGAGACCAACAAACTACAACCACAAGGAGCATCAATGAAGAACTTCTCGACCATATTAGAGGCATTGGACCATCATGCCAGAGAGACTCCCAACAAGACGGTGCTCACATGGGTGGACATTGACTGTAAGGAAAGGAAGAAGATGACATTCAAGGAGGTGGAGGATGAGGCCAATGCGGTAGCTGCTCGTCTTCTCAAGCTGGGATGCCAGGAAGGAGACAGAGTCATGGTGGCATATCCTTTTGGCCTCGAGTTTTTGGCTGCTATGTTTGGAGCCATGAAGATTGGAGTCATCCCTTGTTCCATCTATCCTCCCAATCCCCACCAACTCAAGATGGATATGCCGAAGTTCCGTGGTTTTGTGGAAGATGCTGGAGCCAAGTTTGCCCTCAGCACCACTGCATTTGCTACTGTCATGACTGCAGCAAGTGTCTTCTATAAGACTGGGGCCAAATGGATTGGAACAGATAAGCTGTCAATCAAGAAGAGCAACCCCAACAAGCCCAAACCACATGAGATGTATGTGGGAGTGCCAGAGGACATCTGCTTTATCCAGTACACATCCGGCAGTACTGGACGACCCAAAGGAGTCATGATCAGTCATCACAATCTAGCTGACACTTGCCAGGCTGGTGTTTCCTTGACTGATTGTTGGCAACCAACTTCTTTGGAAGTCTTGTGGGTGCCCCAATATCATGGTATGTTCGAACTGCAGCTACAAACTTCATTGGCATGCTTCTTTCTGCGCCTCATCTGCTCCTGGAACCCTCTTCCTTTGGCTAATATCCAGACATGGGGCTTGTCACTGGGTTTATGGGTGCTATATTTTGTGGCAACCCCCTTGTCATGGCATCACCCTTGGATTTCATTGCCAATCCATTGCTGTGGACTGATATGGTTGAGACGTATCAGGCCACCATCACATCTGCCCCTAACTTTGCCTATGCCCTTCTCCTCAAGAGGTTGAAGCAGGCCAATAGGTCAGCAGACTGGAGTTGCATCAAGCGTGCCATGTTTGGTGGTGAACCCGCCCAAAGCCATGTTGTGGAAGCAGTCGCAAGTACCCTCTCCATCAAGCCAGATAATATCTACAATATATATGGGATGGCAGAAATGGTTGTGCTTGTGACTGGTGGACAAGCCAAGGCAGACTTTGATGGTCTTGTTTGCTGTGGGGAAGTGGACTCACCAACCCTCAAGCTCCGGATTGTTCAGGATGGAAATGAGGTTCAGGATGGTGAGGTTGGTAGCATCTGGGCCCAGTCACCTCGTGTGGCAGCCGGATACTTTGGCCAACCGGAGCTGTCCAATGCTACTTTTGCCAATGTCCTTCCCACTTATGAAGGACACTGGCTTGACACTGGTGACCTGGGCAAGATTGTTGATGGGCAGCTGTACATCACTGGCAGAGTCAAAGATGTCATCATTATCAATGGCAAGAACTACTATCCAACGGATGTGGAGCTCTCTATTGATGAGACTTTTGGTGGAATCATACGTCCAGGGCGGACCACAGCTTTCCAGCATGGAGAAGACACTGTTGGCATCACAGTGGAGGGCCGCAAAGGTTTTAACAAGTCAGCAAATGAACATTTGGCTACCCAGATTGCCAACCATGTGTCCCAAGTCCATGGGTTGTCAGCTTTTGAAGTCGTGGTTCTTAAGTTGGGTGTGACACCGAAGACCACTTCTGGCAAGCTCAAGAGGAGTGAGATAAGGAAGATTACTACCACAGGTGACTGGATGGAGTCTACTGTGCTCCTAAGATTCCAATCCCCTCTCAACAAAAGTCAAGAATCTTCTTTCCTGGAGAGGAGTTTTGCCATGAATGGTGTAACCAGTTGTGAGTTTTACCAGACAGAAGACAGGGTCCATCAAGCTATGGAGCAACAGGAAACACTACCATCTAGATCCCTTGCTGGCACCTTGGAGGACCAGCCGCACATTGCTGTTGTAGGTGCTGGAGCTGCTGGACTCATCACGGCTCTGCGATTGGCTCAAAGAAATGTCAAAGTTACTGTGTTTGAACGAAATGAGCAGATTGGGGGACATGCCAGGCATGTGGAAGTCTTTGGCCACCAACGCAATCCGGCATTTGGTGTCTTTTTGTTGAGCGAGTCACCCAATCTAATTGTCCTGGCAAAGGAGCTTGGTGTTGAACCAATCCCTCTGGGAGAGTCAAGGAATAATCGCGGCATTATCTCAATGGGGGAGACAGAGATTCCGCCTGTACCACAAGCTGAAGTGAACCGTTTCATAGGTGAAATGCAGGTTGTTCACAAAGCTGGTGCTGGGCAAGATGAGACAATTGGGGAGTTTTTTGAACAAAATCAGTTTGATCACCACTTCATTGTCTACTTCTACATTGGGAAAATTGTGAGCTTCTTCCCTGGTCAGACAATCCAAGACTACCTCAACATCCCACTGGAGCTTGTGGCTTGGTTTGTGGTGGGTGCGAGCATTAGTGGCGAGCAGCTGTTGCGTCTTTGCAACAAAGAGTACATGGATTCTTTTGAGGCTAAGTTGAAGAGATTGGGTGTGACAGTGAGGGTCAACAGTTCACCCAAAGTTTTGAGCCGTGATACTTCTGGTGTCACCATCGCCACTGGAATTGATGGTGAGGATCCAATTAGAGTTGACAAGGTGGTGTTGGCTGTCCCGCCCAATGCTGCAGCAAACATTCTTGGTGATGCAATATCAGCTGATGAAGATGTCTTAGCCAAATTTGATTGCCCGCTAGAAACTCTTGTGCTTCATACAGACTCAAAGTGGGTTGACAAGCATGCACAATGCATACTCTATGCCAATGTTCCGGACTGTGAACCATCAATGTTGAAACCTTCTGATACAATTCCATTGACATCATCTTTTCTCAGTGGTGAGTGCATACATGTGTCTTCTGTTGGATTGAAATATACTCTGCCGATTCTCACTGCTGCACATCTTCCACTGAACTGACAGACACGGATGGCTGCACACCCATCTACATCACACATGCATATGCCACACACACAGAGCTTCAGTTTGATTCCCCAGTGAAGAAGATGTCATTTACCCATACCAAAATCACATGTGAAGCAAGCAAGCTCCGGAAGTCTTTGCTGCAGCATCAAGGAAAGCAATCCACATATTTCGCTGGTGGATGGACAAGAGGATCAATGTTGCATGAGGATGCAATTGTTAGTGGACTATTGGTTGCCAATGCCATCCTCAGGGAATACGATAGGATGCAACACTCTGTACTCAATCGAAATACAGAAATTCCATCAAATCAACCGAGCCACCAACAAGCCACAGCTGGAGCACAAACAAACAGGAAGATACCCTTCACAGATGATTTCTCAGACAGATATCTCAATACAGTCATGTCTGTGTTTGGTTCACAGATTGAATCATCCAAGACTTGGGCAGAGAATGGCATGACATCAATCAAGAGTGCTGAGCTCAGGAACAAGGTAGAGGAGGAGTTGCATGTTGTGCTGCCACCAAATTTTGCACAGCTTTATGAAACCCCAGAAGAACTTGAAGCGTTTTTGCTCTTATCTGAAGGCCAGAGCTTCCCAACTTCAGCAGCTGTTCAGCATCCTGAATTCCAATGGAACAATCCTAGATCACACTGCACCAAGCTCCAGATGGGCATTGTGCAAATTCTGGGTTTTGTTGCTATCATACTCCTTCTTTTGACTGCAGTTTTGCCGTCCTACTTTGTTGGAGCAAAACTATCTGCCCAATGTGATTCCAGTGATGCCCAAAACTGTTCCGCCGCAAGTTGGTTGCTGCTTCCGCTCCTTTTCCCCCTATTTTTCTTCTCTTTCTCTATGCTTGTGGTTGTTGTCAAGTACGCTGTTGTTGGCAAGTATCGCCATCAAGAAATCAATTTGATGTCATGGGACTACATTCAGTGGTGGTTCGTTGATCGACTAATTCATGTCTGGGAGCTTCTTGTTGGTCAATTTCTGTTGGAAACCAAGTTTGTATGGCTCTTCTACTGGCTGCTGGGTGCGGACATTGCATGGTCTGCTAGAGTGGACAAGTTCATCCGAGAGTGGGATCTTGTCAGTATTGGCAGGAACACCACTGTTGGGTATGCTCTAAAATGCAGAAAGTTTAGACCATTGACAAATGAGAGCCCCAAGTTGATCTTCCGCCCAATCATCATTAGGCCAGACTGTCAGGTATCTGGCATGATATGCCCTGGGGCTGTGATCGGAGCTGGATCCAAGATTGAAAGATTGACTGTAGTGGAGGAAGGGGGCCAAGTCCCTTCTGGAGCCATTGCTAGAGGAAACCCAGCATGCAATGTCGGGGTATTCCAGTGTGTGGAGTCAGACTGGAAGGAAGAGTCCCTTCTTGATGTTTTCAGAATTCTCTGGATGTTTTTGGAAGCCTACCATTACTCAGCCATTTACTTCCTCGCCAACTCTATCCTGGAAGAAGTCCTGCCAAGCTGGCGGTATGATGCGGTGCTGCACTGGTTCTTGCTCTTCCCCCTGTCCTCTCTTTTCGCCATTGTTACAAGCATCATCTTGAAATGGCTCTTAATTGGAAGGAGAGATCCATCAGAGGAATATGAAGGCACGCTGTGGAGGAAGGCAACCAACTGGGCCTGTGATTTCCACTTTCGTGTGGCGTCTTGGATGCTCAGCAGGTACATGGGACCATCCAGACTTGATTGCTTGATTCAATGGTTTCATGGTCTAGATGTCGATGTTTCATCAATCATGTACCACGCCTCCACAATCTGCCCTCCTTCCAAAGTTGATTTTGTGAAGGTACGCCAGTCCTTCCTTTCCCTGACCCACATTGAACTGGATAGTCCCTCTGGAGAGAAAATTGAGATTTCGCAAAGCTCTGTTGGAAGAGATACCACCATTCACGCTGGTGCCAAAGTCATCCGATCAAACATACCCTCAAGAAGTCAAGTCTCAGACAAAATTTATGATTTGAACCCTCCCAGCACCCAACTAAGATTGACATGGAGCTATGTGCTTCTGGAAATGCTTCTACCTGAAATACTCCAGATTGTCCTTCTTGCCTTCATCTTTTGGAGCATCATTCCAGAGTACGAGTTGGCTAGAGCAGCTTTGGAAGACAACACCTCAACAAGAGTGGTTGTGTCGGTTGTTGTGGGCGCTGCTGTCTTGCAGCTCATTGTCTGGATCATCCTTGCCAAGATGTTTGAGTGGGTTGTCTTGAATGCAGTGCATCCCTCCTTACAGAGTGGAATCTTTCCTGTTTATTCCAATTATATTGGCAGCTTCCGAGATGGAAATCCAATTGAGGTCCTTCTGATGGGAACCCCACTCTTCAATCACTATGCTCGATTCATGGGTGCTGAAGTCACTGGTGATCTCTGGTTCTTTGATTGCTCTCCTGATGAGTTTGGCAAATACCATTTCCAGGGCCCTACGATAATGGACAATGCTTATCCCCGTGGACACTATCTTGATATCAATGGGCTCACCCTGGATGATGTCTACATTTCTGGAGTGGTGCATCCTGGATGCTACATTGCAGCTGGAGCTGTTGTGCATGGAGAAGAAAACGGTCCATTGAAATCGTTCTTTCCCACTTCTACAGGAAAGGCTGGCAACAAAGAGGGTGGCACTAACACAGTCGACAATACGCTTCATGCCTCCGTCTCTCTACACTCTTCTGCATACCCTCTTATGAATACGTCTGTTGCCAAAATGTGCAGTCCCGGTGCTTCCGTATCCAGCTTTGCCCTTCCGTAAACACTCCCACGATGGACCTCGAACGGCGTACTGGTATACCTGGTATCTGTGCTTCTGCGTGCCGTACGGCTTCGCCCTTCCAAAACCGCTCCTGGGCTGACTTTGGACCCACCAGCTCCAGTATCTTCAGAATGACGAGAGGCGGATATCGTACCAGTGGCTATTGCTGTCGCTGTCCTGGTCTTGGTGATAATGCCAAGGAAACGACAGTACGTCACCACTATATATATTGTGCCGCATGCTAATTCCATTTACTTGTGAGTACAAGCTGTCCATAGTGTAGTCTATTGTTTGCAGTTTGCAGTTGTTCTTTTGCTACTAGAGACGATTGCTCGCGCCGTATGCCGGCCCCAGTGCCCTCTTCGGGGCCGCCCGGAATGAAAACATGAAAAATACTGCCAGCAACTTGTCTCGACGACGAAACAGGTTTCTTGGTGTCGGTCGTGCAAGCAATGGAAACCTGGACGAGGGTGGGTCGACTTGCCAGTGGAGGGAAGCCTGGACGAGGGCTTTCGACTTGCCAGTGGAGGGAGGCGAAAAGCTGAGGGACGATTCCTTGAATGAATCGATCGTGCAAGGGGCGCAGTTCATCCGACGATCGCAGAAAGTTTGGTTTGGTGTGGGCGCCCGACTGCAACGCATCGTAATATAGCTAGTACGGTAGTAGGGTGGAGACGAAGCCAACTCTGAAGATCTGAAAGGTGATGTTTACATGATACACTTTTGCCCTTCGTTATCTCGTCCAGTCGATTCGATTCATCATTCGATTCCGTGCTTGTTGAACGAGCATGACAACAACAAACATGCCATTCACAGCAGGTCCATAGTGAGTTGTCGGCTCGTGTTTTGGGTGGAGAAAGTGACTGGAAAGAGAAGGAACCTAACTGTCATCATGGCTCCAAGAGTGGTTTGGCAAGGGCTATGCTATGCTTTATTTAGAAACATCACGGAACCCAGCGATTGAATGATTCTCACAGACCGCCCCATGACTCATGCTGTTAGCCTGACACATCAAACAGGGCACTACGGGTATCTCTCCCAGTCCCGTGTCCAGAACTGTGATCAATCCACTTGAACTTTCTGCCCTTTTCTTCTCAGTAGGGACAGGTAATAGCTAGGAGGTCGATCCAAACGCAGGCTCCAGGATTCCCCGAAGCAAGCAAAAGGCTCCTTTGGCATCGATATGCATGGTTGATACCGGTAGCTCAGATCTCATACAGATCCTACGACTGCATGATAGATACCGGTACTACCTGTATTGCCTTTCGAGTGCGACTTCATGGACCGGAAAGATTGTCACTCGACTCGTCGCTTCTCTCTACAAGACCAAGCAAGCAATTAAGAACCACACTTCCTGGCCTGCTACTGATCCAGTTCGACGAGCCCGTTTGCGACGTCTAATACCTCCTGCTGAGCCTGCCAATCTACGACGTCAAGGACATGGGTTCGGGCGTGACTATACCCAGTACTTGTTCGATCACTGCCCGTTTTGATGGGGCCCACAGTAGCTCAATCGACAAAATATGAACCTACGATGGGGATCCTTCTTGCGTCATAGCCATGGGCCGAATCCTATTCGAAGGCGTCATCATTCTTGCTGGTTGCCGACTTTTCGCCGTTGTGAAACGCTTGTTGCGTCGCTGCGCCATGACAATGGTGTTTCCTTCTGCGCTTTCGAGGATTCTCGAATATGGCTTCCAGCTGCACACTGAATGCGTCCATGCATTCTTACTATGGGTTAGAGGGAACTATGAGGATGGGGTGCAGAGAAGGGAGGGCAGGATGCAGGAACGCAAGCAAGCAATCGAGTGCGAAAGCCGGGCAACATCGAAACCAAGGAAAGGGGGGAAGGCAGGAGGGCAGGGAGGAGCAAAGGTGGAAGACTAGGGGAAGAGATCGAGGGCACCACCATCATCCCAACGCTTGGAAACCTTGAGAGCTGGGACACGGGAGCCTCTGAGACACAAGGTCGTGGCTCTAGCGAGCGCAATGCTCAACCTTGCAGAGATAAAAGTGCAGTGTGCTACTGTAGCAAAAACACACAATCCACTTCCTGAAGGCAAAATACAAGTATCTTGTATTCAAGGGTGAAACCTTTCAGAAAAACTTGGTGACCTACTCTATTTAAAAGTCATACTATTTGCTGATGACGAGGGGAGTGCCTGCGTGTTATGTCATGTGCCCTTGCTTGGTAGGCAAGTCACGCAGTGGTACAAGACTTGCCTGCGTTCCCTTTACCGAGCTAGCTATTTTAAAATAGTACTCTTATGCTGTACACTACCTAGTACAGTACTAGTACTAGTACTAGTAGCTACTAGTACTAGTACTAGTACTAGTACATGTAGGGCAATAACCAGGGTTCGCTAACCAATCAATTATGTACTGGTTACTGGTCATTGGTTATTCAACCACTCAATTGGGGGTACTGGTTACTGGTTATTGGTTATATAACCACTCAAGCTAAGGTACTGGTTACTGGTTATTGGTTATTTAGCATTGGTTATAGGTTATTTTATAGGTTAGTAACCGGTAACCACTGGTTATATCAGTGGTTCAACCAAAGGGAATTGAACATGGCCCGCAAGACTTGTGTGTTGTTTGCTCCCGTCCCATGTTCAATCCCAATTGCTACACCTTATGCATTGGCATCAATGAAGGCTGCATTAGCAGCATCTTCATTGGCGTAATGCTCCAACTCGTCCAGCATTTCCTGGGTGATATCTTCAGGCTCGTTGCCCTCCTCCTCTGCACGGGTCAATTTCTTCCCATGTTCTCTGAGGAGTCTCTTTGTGCGGTTCTCGGCCACCCGCTTCCTTGCAACGCTCACAAGGTGACGGTGTTGGCGGAGGAAGGAACGATTCTTGTAGGTGAGAACCTTCATCTGAAATGTGATGTCTGTTTGCTTGGAGTTGAGCTTTCCATCCATCTACGTGGCGCCACTGAAAGTTCTTTCCTGATCCCCATTACTTTCGGGCAAGGCAAGGACGATGCATGCAATAGGATACAGCAGTGGGAATTCTTCTTTGCCGGCGTTCTCCCACCATTCCATAATGTCAAACTTCTCGGCAATGAAGTCGACGTGTTTGATCCAATCTTCCTTCTTGCTGCCAATTTTGAGGAGCTCGTCCTTATCCACGGGGATTCGTGTCTGCCCTCTGAGGACAGATACAATGTCGAACTTCTCGTTCTTCATCCATTTGTTGATCGCAAGTTCCACCTTGTCAACATCCCCCGTCACTTCTTCCTCTACCGCCACAGTCTCCGTTCTCTGTCGCTTTCTGCGGCATTGCTCCAGCCTGGACAGGTGTTCTTTGGGTTCCTCCTCCTCTGTTGCTGCTGTTGCATCTCCTGGCTTATTTACAAGCGGAGCCTTCTCTGACAGTAGTTGATCGCACATTACCTCGATTGCTTCCTTGAGTTGCTGTCTTGCCAAGGCCGTTATACCCTTGCAACTGTTCTTGTACTCATCATCGGCGAACTCCTCTACATGGTCGGCAAGCGTTTCCAAGTCGGGAAGAACAGTTGTTGTTGAGAATGGGTTGACCATCATCGCCAAAAGACGGATCGCATTGAAGCTACTTCTTGCGTCGGCTCCATACTCCATGAATTCATGTGCAATTCGATCGACCAACTGCACAGATGATTTTGCCATGGTCTTGTGATTGTGAGGGACCCTTCTCATCCCAACCGTTGTCAGAGAGCTTGGAACAATGTACGTATTCCCCAACTTGGTTGGAGCTGGATCAAACGGAGTTCCATCAAAGGTTCGCCTGGGGAAGTTTGCATCTCCATCCCACTTGTCGGTCGCGTTTGGATTCTCAAGAATTCTCGTCTCTGCAATCCACCAGATTTCTGGAACGAAATAGAGGACGGCAGTTCTGTAAAGAAAATAGTAAGAGTACGAGATGGAACCGAAGCGATCACTCTGAACAATCATAAGAAGGGTATACAGAGGAAACTGGACGGTATAGTGCTGGGAGACAATGTAGAAGTTGTCATCGCTGAGATCCTTGTTGCTGACGTTCTTGTGGTAGTAGATGCGAAGGTTCCATCTGGCAATAATCATATCCCCGTAGTGAAGAACAACTCCACCTGATCTAGTATGGTTGGGAACACGGATCCTTTTTCCAACTCGACCCTCATCCCTCATCAGCTGGAGGAATACCTTGTAGCGTCCCTTGGATTTCTTTTCCATCAAATGCTTTGCACAAGCCTCACTCATCTTTCGTACCACCTGTTCCGGCTCAAAAGAGTCAACAACCTTCTTGTTGTCAGTCCTGACCATCCGACCATTTGCATGGTCAAGACACAACTGCATCTGATGCATAGCACAAACACCGTTAACTCCAGTAAGTTTGCGACCAACAGAGAGGGCTACTGCGGTGGTGTCATTAACCGCCCGGTACAACATGCTTTTCTTGATACCCAAAGTAGATAGGACTTCTTCGATCTGAGCGACGGTTGGTGCGGCCTTCTTGTTTTCCACAATACAAAGTGCAACGGCAATTCTGAAGTACTGTTTCCGGACGGGAGAGTAGAAGTAGATAGATGCTCCCAACACTTCCTTCTGGTTGGAATCCCAAACATCATGACTGATCATAATGAACTCTTGAGGCTTGCCAAAGATTCGGAAGTAGGCGTCGGCTGCCTCCGTCACATACATTTCCACTCCAGCAGAAAACTCAAAGCAGGTTTCACGTCGCTTGGTTCGCAAAGCTTGCCTACCCATGAGTCCGTAATTGTTCACTCTCTTGAGGGCCTCGGCGTTGGCAATGATGAACTGAATCATCCTAAAGTATTCAGGACAGTTCGTGTGATCAGTAACAACACGCTCAGGAATGTTGTTGAAAGTGATGAACTCATCCTGTAAAATCTTGAACTGTTCGAGGACACTACCAAGTCCAGCCTGAACAGCCATGTTGTGCACCACATTGACAACACCAGGTGGAGACTTGAGTTGGCTTACCGGTGAGCCTCTAACAGAAGCGATATGAGACGAA